GGAACGCACGCTAGCTGTAAATTACTGCCCTTAAGGTGGTAACACTGTCTGGTAGAAGGGCAAAAAGTAGCAGTCTAAATCAATATAAAAATCATTCTTTCAAGCGAAACTTGTAAATTTTTCAACAGGATTCTCCTGATTAATACAAATTTGGAAATAGGTTCTTGGATAAGAAATGTGCATATAAAAATATCAGATTTGAGTTCTCTTAGTATTTGTTAGTAATTACACATTTATAATATAAATTTTTTATCAGTCTCCCGATAGAATCTCTTCCCATTACATGATCATATGACATATTAAACGAATCTTTGTAACATTTAACTTAGCCATGTGGTTAAGCCAAATGACAAAATGCAATAGATGTTTACTTAGGGTTTTGTAAACTTTTAATTGTAATAATAGACTTACGCAATCGGTTTGTTAAGCGCAGTAGTTCGTGTTGGAAGACGCGGGTTTAAATCCCATTAAAGACTGCTATGTTATTTTAGCTGTGTAATAATGTCACAGTCCTATAGCCTAGAGTACATGTAAATACTCATTGGTTCACTTATTTCACAACACAACAATAGATATGACTTGTAGACTAGAGAAACAATCTCTTCATTCATCTAAAATTTTAATTTCCAAATAAGCGGAGTTACATCTTCAGTTTTAGCCTGAATTAAGATAAATAATCGTCTGTCAAGTATATGGTCAGAAATCCACGTTTAAATGTAACGTAAAAGTCTTATTCATCACTCCGTACAGAAAGTTGCTATAGTTTCTGTTACATCTCTACAGTTTATACAGTGGAACCTTGATAACAAGACCCTCGATAACAAGTCACCCTTGATAACCAGTGTCATTTTCAAACTCCCAAGAATTTATTTTACCCTTTAATTACATGTTATTGCAAACCTCGATAAAAAGTCAACCTTGATAACAAGTCTTATTTGATAATCTTCATGAGAGTCTTGTTATCAAGGTTCTACTAAAGGAAAATAACACTGACTGATATATCATCACTCACTCTATATAAAAACCCCACCTAGAATGATCAAGTTTAGTATAGGGGGTCCCTGTATGGTGTAGATGGGCAATGGGTCCCGTCGCTCGTATTGCAAAGCTATACACACATGGAACTTGAGCACGCACTAGAATATGCCACTTTCGGTACTTGTAATTTGTTGAAGTAACATTTACTTTTTCTAGATTTTTCATGATTAAAAAGTGGCCTATCATTAAATATTCTATAACGTCAGACTCATGATGCAAAAAATATATAATTTTCTAAGGGTTGTCTAACTAGAAGCTTTAAAAGCTATTTCTGTGGCGTGATAGCTATAAAACCCTCTTTTACGTAAAAACTACAACACTTGGAATATGATAACATCAGAGTCAAGGATTCTTTGGCACGCCATGCGGTCTTTACAGAGCTGAAGATACGTTCGTTATCGTCGCAAGACGAACTTTGTACAATGTCTATATTGACTACAATGACTTATACTTTACAGTAAGAAATTGGCAATAGTTTTTATACGTTATACAATAGATAGACACACTAAATCTTTGCAAAAATAGAAATACGAAATACTTTTTGTACACATTTTTAGTTTGATTCCGGGGGTTTAAGTGTGTGCGTTTGTTGTTTGTAAAGTTACCTCCCGCTATCTCCGCGTCCCGCCACCTCCGTGTCCCACCACCTCCGAATTTCAGAGTGACCCATATAATCCTCGGTTAATACCTGCGGTAAGACTTTCTGTCCTAACCTAACCTAACCTAACCTAACCCAACCTAACCTAACCTAACCCACGGGTTAAATTTTCATTAAATCTCCCATCCACGGGGCTTCGCAGCCGTGGATGCAATGACAGCTACCAAAGCAGGCAGTGAAGGTATTATAAGGGTCACTCAAGAATTCGGAGGTGGCGGGACAGATTTGGTTCGGAGGTGGCGGAACGCGGAGATAGCGGGAGCACACGGTTTGTAACACTAGTTAAAGGTCCAGTGCGGGTATTTTCAATACTGAATAGCGAAACATAAATTTCACAACGTTTCGGGATATGAAATATGATCGCTTCGTCAGATGGGAGAAACCATCATCAACATGACAAGATGCTCATGTTTTGTGTTAACATGACAAGATTAGTACACAAACTGGACAGTTCCGGAAATACAATAGCTGAAAACTGCTCAAAATTGGTTTCATTCTTTGGAGCATGTGAGGGAAATATTCCCATGATTTATTATAATATGCAGATAACATTTTAAAATGTAAATTTTGAGGAACAAATTTATATTTAAGTTTCTTTTCAGGTTTAATGTTCAAGGTTTAGCCTAATTACGTTAATAACACATTAGAATGCAGATAGATTAAAAAATGTATATATGTACCTTTTATTGGGGGAGATCCTCCTTCGATATATGTCAAAATTCGCAACAGAAAACTGTTATACTTGATAAGGTGAACAAAACACAGTCTTCAATGGGCTCCAAAATCGACGAAAGAAGTCCCGCGTATTCATTCAATCAGAGTCCGTTCCTGGGTCGGTACAAAGATGTTAAGGCGTTGGGTAGTTGATTTAGCTACACGTATGTCGTGCGTTGTTTGCCTATAGGCCAGGCGTGTAAAACTATCACAACCAATGGGAATAAATAAAGAATACGTAGCACATCAATTTGTATTTAATTTGTAATGCTCTTTAAAAATTACTTTTACCAACGTATACACGAAGATAAGTGTATCTCAATTTAGAAAGTTAATACAAAATTATCAAATATGTTTCTTTTTACCTTTACTGAATGATCTGAACCGAATGTAATTTTTTTTAATGTTTTAGTACAGTACTGTATTTTCGCATCGAGCCTGGGAACGAAGTAGATTTCCATTTGATTTATGATTTCCAAACAGGTCAATAATTTCAATAATGTTCTACTTGATTTCCATTGATATTCTATTTTCTCAAATTTCTTTTACTGGACCTGATCTAATGGATGTTTCATTGGTTATTGATTAGTGTTGAGCAACGCGCCAAAATCCAACTAAACTACGGAGTTTACCACCAAGACATCAATACACAGTCAGGTTTACGTTTACACGCCATCCCTTATCAGATGACCTCTGCCTCTGACCTTGGTTGGTCTCCCTTGAAGTCCGAATAAACTGATGGAACATTCGGTTATTTCGTTGCTCACTTGATTCCAACAATATAGTAACGTAGCATCTCTGTTTGTGGTTAAAATGCAAAATTGTATTTTGCAAATAAATATTTTGTTAAATTATACTGCTGTGGCCGACGTGTTATAGTGTTGCAAAACATATTTTATTTCAATATTCTTAGTTCTGTTCCACAAGGATTTACTGTATGAATAAAAGTCATAATGATTCATAGGCAAAACGGTTATCGTATTGCTGTGAAACATTTTTTAGGCTCAGAGGTTGCGGCATTACCACTTCGATATAACCATTGGTGATTGTCGGGATTTGAGCTAGGGACCTCTAAGACCGGATACGTTGTACCACTAGACCAGGTCGCTCCATATTCCGTGAATAATATAACTTGGTCAGTTTTTGTCTTCCACCTAATCTTAAAATGCCTTAGTGGTCCATCATTCCGGGCTTTCAAAGTTACCATGGGCATATTTTTAGAATCTTTATACTCTTTTAGTTTCCATAACGAAAATAACCACTCGAAATCAATTATCAATTAAGGCATTTCATTTTTGTTTAAACGTTTATCAAAATCAATCAGGCCAAGTGTAACTACGTCGCCACTCTTCATGAAGAACTGATAGAATAAAAAAATTATATGTGTCCATCTTAGATGTTTCATCCTTAACCAATTTTTATTAAACTAGTCAAGTAAAGGGACCTCTCGCAGAGTGTGCTCCTAAAAATAACACTTTCAAAAAATACATTATTTTAAATTTATATTTTTCCCTTACATTTTGATACTAGCCTACGACAGCCGATGTCAATAGAAAAGATATGGTAGGCCTGCGTTAATCTATTCTACAATAATGCCATTGATTATGGATGATACATAGTATTCTGGTTTCGAGCTGTTTTCTCCAGTACTCTCATAGAACTTTATCCTTTCACAGTTAACAATCTGTTGCGATGGACTGGTAAAACGTGTAATATTTTTTATCGTGCGACTACCACTCAACACTCACACTGTTCCTTCAACTCATCCAAAGAGTCTGTTCTTTGTCCGGTGACATCGATTTACGCTGCGGTTGCATGCGACGTGTGATGCAACTTTAACTAGTCCTTGGTGCAATAGTCAACAAGGCAAGACTGTGGTCGATTCTGCTGTGTTGTTTTCCATCTTGCAGACCAGTTTTGATTTAGTATATAAATTCCTGGCATAATGTAGTGTAGTTTGAAATTGGAAACTCTTAAGTATGAACAACATGCCTGTTTGTTTAGATATAACTATTTTCGTATGCTATTCAAATGACATATGACCAGGACATTTCTCTTTATTGTAAAATCTTAAGTTTGTTCTTGTCTGTTCATCTATTGACTCAATGTAAATGGCATTTTGTGCTCTTGGCCTTAAAACAGAGGACGTTTGAATTTTTATGTTTGGACGAAATAATTTGGCAGTTGAATAAGTTATCCGTAAATTAAAAAAAATAATATATCGATGTATCAAAGCGTTACTAGAGATAAGGTTCTTAATACTGTCTTTGGCTAATCCGTGAACATAATACATCTATATATAAGGGAGTGTACTGTCGACAAATCGTCTTTCCGGGAGACGACAGTGTCGTAGATCTAGCGAAAATATCGAATTCGTCACATCAATCCATCTCCAACACAGTTCAATTGTAGTTGAATTGAATTGATGTAGTATAAGAGTGTTTGATCCAATCATTACCAGTTTATACATGTGGAAGCCTCCTTGACGTTGGCAGCTCGTGATATTCGAACAGTTAAATTCTTGCTAAAACTTCAGAACGTTAATTTTATGTTGCAAGCTTAAAACTAAGATGGAATTTGACATTTTCAGAGATGGGAGTCCCTTGCCCTACGGCAACATCATGTTTGACCGACGAGTTGTCCGAGGCAGCACGTTCGCTCAACATCCGACCCCAACGGTGAGTATCACAGTACTAATATCACGTGCAATACTAACATGTGGCTAGTATTGTAGTCGTTGAGCAATTCAGTAGTAGTAGGCTGTGAAGTGGTGTGGTTTTCAAAGGTTTTCACCAAAGAGTGTCTTTAGAAATTAATTCCTTACAGGAAAGGTTAAATTTGAATATGAGTGATTGTGCTGTAGAAGTAGATGAATAATTTCCAGTAGTAGTTGGTAGACAATTAGTTTTACTTCAAAGATTTTTTTACCAAATAGTGTCTTTAGAAGTTAATTCCTTACAGGAAAGGTTAAATTTGAATATGAGTGATTATGCTGTAGAAGTAGACGAGTGATTTTCTAGTAGTTGGTAGACAATTTGTTTAACTTGTGAATACTGTACTGTTATATACTTGTGAAACGCAACTCCTTGCCGTATACATTGCTATACATAAATATATGACACGTAAAACAACGTATTTTTAAATATCAAAGGAAATCGAATTGAAATGTTCGGCAAATGCTGATTGCAATGATATCATAGACAATAGTTTTGATTACACACATACGCAAATATAATATACGGCCTATTATAAAAGCTGAGCCAATGCTACTGCTTCAGCCTGTCGAGTATTCTTCATGCATTACACAACCGTCCTCTGAACTCATTGACTCATTGAAATCTGAAATTTTTCAAAAAACACATGGCTCTCAGAGATTTTGACATGGTTGTCGTATTATCAATCTTCAAATCTCTCATCTTTTTGGAAGCGATATTTTTTTATAGTTCTCCGTGGAATAACTGCAACGCTTAAATTTGTTGTATGTTTAATAAATTCTATCCATTTTAAAATGGCCATTAAATTAATAAAACAAGACATTTTTTAAATCTTTACCCTACTAGTAATTTTTATAAGTTTATTTTACCATTTATTTATTTGACTATAGAAAACACGATGTGTTACATAATCGGTGGTAATACTTAACTGTTTTAAAGTACACCCAAGTTTTGAAAGTAGGCTACTATGTCGTTAAAATAAAATCAAAAAGTAAATACAGTAGGTAGTAGTAAATAGGAAGGGTAAATAGTTCGGTGAAACAATTCAAATCACTTAACCCAGAAGACAATTTTTATCAAGCCGGTTGAGAGTGTCGTCGTCGCCAAGTCGTTGTTTTGATAATCGATCACAGACGGTCAATTAATTATTCAATCGACACTCCAGAAATAGGACGATAGACGGTACTTGAGTGTCGATAGACATTTGACACTTGCATCAGTGTATTGCAGGGAGCTGTCAGCTGTAACGCTTCTACATAAAGTACTGACACAGAAATGTCTTGGAGATTGATCGACCGAAATTGCACACATTTCAATTTCTAATAAATTGTTAGTTGCATAAAAATAAGAGAAATATGTTAACCGATGTATGCGAAATTAAAAGCGAAACATAACCGGTACTTACACCTATTAAACTTAAACGTTATAATTGAATAATGCATTATTAATACAATCGTATCAAAATGTAGTTTGAGCTAAGCTTATTTGTCAAATATGCAGTTTGTATATTTTTATTTGGCCGATTACCATAGGACAAGCTTCTTTTTTCAGATAACGGAAAGTACAGTGCATCTTTCATTACAATTAATTGCATTATTAAATAGTGCATTCAGAAAGGAGTAACCAAACGGTCATATGCAAGACCGTCATCATTTTTCTGTTCGAGACCCATCCGGTTCGGTATCCTGTCACAACTTCTGGCTTAGGTGTACAACAAAAAACGACATACATACATACATTTGGCTGTTAAGGATAGCAATGGTTTTGTAGAACTTTATATTGAATGTTAATATAACTGACACAGACAACTAATCGACAGACAGCTTAGCTGGATATACTTTAGTTACATAAGGAGGCTTAACATTGCAAAAAGATTTACCACAGCATTGTTCATTCAGTAACGCTATTGCGACATTTAATCTGATCTAACATTTACACTGTTCATAAAGGCAAAGTGGAACCCGTATGTGTCAAACGCTAGAGTTTTGTCTTCGGAGGTGAGAATATAATTGATAAAAAACAGTTTTTAGTTAAAATGTTTTGTTTTTGGAATAGGTTTTATTTTAATAGCATGTTATGCTTGTGCAATAAAACTTCTGGGGTTGTTTTTAACAACTTTTGAGTTTACAATATCAATCAAACCAAAATTATTTTAAAAATAATTGTATAGCAAAAACACGACTTTGCCTCGTGTTTAAAAATGGTATATTTTGGTGCACATTGAGTGACACCTAATTTGGTGTCCTTTCTTACTGTAATTTAGTTCAATGAAAGTACTAGGCTTGAGTTCTTTAAAAATTACCCGCAGAAGTGTTAATTCAGTAGTCCTACAACACTAATCTTTGTCCAAACAGAGATAGTCATGATTATATTTTTAAGTTTTGAATGACTGCCTGTTTTACTGGGTTAAAAAGATAATTATATTTTTCAGATTGGTTGTCTTTAAAAATGGGACGTAATTTAAAGTGCGTTCAATTTATACAATTTGGGGCCTCTTAAAATATATCCCGTTTTAGGAACAATGGGCAATTGCTAATTCCCCTCATCCATTTAATTTTCATCGCTGAGAAGAGTTTCTAATTTTTATTTACTTTATATTGGCTGTTCAAAAGTCATAACGCTATCCCAGACATTTTATTAACCCTGGACACAGCAAACTATAATAGGGCGAGCCTGCATGTCCTAAGAGCCTAATAGTCAGAAGTAGTACTCCAGAGCGCTTGCATGACACTGACAGCCGAGTTGTCACTCAGAATTAGCAACAGCATGAATAGTTTAGTTGCAATTCTCAAGGAACACTTCGTTCTTTACATTCATTCAAGCACTGCAACTACAAGGCGAAATTGCATGGTTCGCCTTTGAGATAAATTATTCGCCACCTTATTATTTAAGGAAGACAATATCAAACTTGTGAACCATGAATGGGTAAAAAGGTAAGAAGTTATCTTTTACTTTATGCAAAAAATACAAAGTATTTTTATATTTTTTTCATGCAAGAATACAGTTTTAAGAAAAATATGTTTAAACCTATCAAATGTCTGTACAAGTAACGGGAGCAAATTTTGATTTATTTTTACGTTTATTAGCATTTGACTATGGAGGTGTAAAAACATTTTGTACAAACCAAAACTAGATGAGGGGTCTTAATGATGCAGTATATAATCTTAGGTCTTCTTTAAACCCAAGATCAATTTAATTCTTTTATTTAATCTTTTGAACACATTTGCACCCAATGCTGCATCGTACAATACTCATTTTTCATAATTTTGTAATTTTGTAAAACAATTGCTCTCAAAACTACGTGATTATTTATAGTGTAAAGTTTTGGTGTTGTAAAACATGTCTTTAAAGTTTTTTAAGAGGGCATCAAGCAAAACAGTAAATAAACTTGGATGTATTCACCGACTACTAAACCTCATTATAGAAAACAAATAATTAGGCTATGATTCTTTTTCCAGTTTATGGTTTGTAAATTTATTGTTAAGGTTAAGGTGTTAAATTGAGGCTAAACTAAAATTAATTTTATAATAAAACTGTTTAAGTAATAGTGCGGTTGGGGAGAAATAAAATTATCTTCAATAACTATATCCAGGTAGACCTACTTAAAGTGATAATTCCTCAGTACAGTCATATGCCTACACCTACATTGTCTAGTTTTCTCGGGGTAGCGGATTTCTACCCCCGGATATTTACCCCCATGAAAAAACGTCTACGTCATTTTGACGTCACGAGGGGCGGGGCCTATACACGTTCAAGAAACAGCCCGCGACTGGAAATTTACCCCCAATATATTATTAAATAATCGACATGTAATTGTTTGATTATAAAGTGATTTGCAATAGCACGGAAATCTACCCCCGGATATCTACCCCCGGACATCTACCCCCGGATATCTACCCCCGGACATCTACCCCCAGACATATACCCCCGGACATCTACCCCCGGATATCTACCCCCGGACATCTACCCCCGGACATCTACCCCCAGACATCTACCCCGGGACATCCACCCCCGGACATCCACCCCCAGTGGTTAAATCATAAATATCTGACCCCGGAATTCTACCCTCGGAAATCAACGGCTCTTCGGTTAATCATTGTCTTGTAATATCCAGTATAAAGCATGCGATATGTCATCGTCTTGTTTAACATTATCTATCTTCCTAATTCAATAAGCTGTAACAATCCTTTTTCACCCGACCTACTTTGCCGATTGTTACGATTGAGGTGTCATTTTAAAGCTTAAGATCTTGCGCAGAGCAAAATGGTATAATTAAAAAGGATATTTTGATTAGGGCTTCAAAAGGTTGACCCCTAAGCTTTTCATGTTAATTTTCTATTAGAAAGACGTTAAAAAAAGCGTTAAAAACTATCTTTTTGATTGAAAATCCACCATTTTTAATTGTTCAACTGTTCATCTTTCACAGCTGTTCGTTATTTCATAGATGTCGTATCCTCCAAACAAATTATTAGTATTTCATAAATTACTGGTAAACATTAGGAGTAAACTTGACAAAAATGCAAAAAGTTGGGGGTTTGAACAAAATTTATTTTAATTCTAAAGTAGTGAGGTCATATTTTAATGGCTTAAGACACTCGTGTCAATCCACCAAATCCAAAAAGACTATTTAAATCGAATCACGATCGATGCTCTAGTTTTTGAGGAGAAGGCCACGTAAAATGCCTTCTGGGCCTTGACACAGACAAGACAGAAATTGAGATGAAGACTTGTTTTGTCTTCTTTAATGTATGAAACGTAAATACCCCCGCCGCAGCAAACCTGCAGACTAAGCGAATTTCCATTTGACTGATTGGATTTACACTGAAATGTCTACTTAAAAATATAACATTTATTCTTGATTTAAATAGAATTAGTTTAACAAGTACTTAGGTTTGCTGCATCAGGGAGGGTAAAACTTTTTTTTGTAAAATGTGAATAGGTAGTGAGAAATAAAAACATTTTCCAAATTTGATCAAAATATGTTCACAAACAAGCAAACTACAACAGTTTACTTATTCTCCATAAGAATAACATGGGAATTTTAAATTTACAATTTTTTGGAATTTTCTCCGTAACTATTAGGCGCATAATAACGCTTCAATATACTAAATTATTTGTTTTTTTAAGCTCTACAAAATGGTTTGGAAAGAAATTGCAAAATTTTATGTTTTTTGGGTCAAAAATAGGAAAAACCTATTTTTACCCCATAAAACCCCCCGTAAACCACCGTTCCCATGGTCCGATCATGCTGGATCGCGAACTCGTTTGAATAAACGTACGTTTACACGTTTGTACCAAATTTCATCCAAATCGGATCATTTTTGCTCGAGTTATCGTGCTGACGGACACATATATATATATATATATAAATATATAAATATATAAATATATAAATATATAAATATATATATATATATGAATTTGAACGGATGGTGTTTTTGGCCTCTAGGGACCTCAAAACGAAAAAAAAAATCGGTCCCGCGTCCAGGTCTTACTATGAGTACTACGGTAATAGCTTATTCCCTATATGGGAAATTCGCTAAAATGACAAAAAAATATATAATTTTGAGCAATGTTCATACTAAACCCTAATTTCATTTAAATAAATTCGAAAACCCAAAAGAACCATGAGGTAAAAATACCTTCCCTATCCCGAAATATCCAATTTTATTCTTTTACATTATTCTCCGTTATTTCAGAACCAGAACCAATCATAAAATATGTTTATGTTTTATTTTTTACGATTAATTATTTGTGTAAACAACTAGACTTTTTGGCTAATGTAAAACTCCGGATAGTGTCTTCAGCATAGGGATTATGCTATTTATTACTAGAAGGTAATTGATAGTGAAAAAATTATTAATTCATTAATCAACCTGTGGCAGGCTTTTTATCAACATTTAATCGCATTTTTTACCACTACTTTTCTAATTTTATTTCAGAAAGTGTCAAGTCTATTTCAGAAAGCATCAATTGTATTTCAGAATTATAATTTTTATTTCAGAAAGTATCATTTGCATTCCAGACTAGTAACTTTTATTTCAGAGCACATCAATTGGATTTCAGAAGTAGTCATATGTATTTCAGAGATTGTCACATATACTTTAGGGTTAGTCAAATGTACTTCAGACAAAATAAATTTTATTTCAGAAATGATCGATTAGACAATTTTGCACAGTCGTAGCGGATCTGATTCAAATTTAATTATAAGAAGCCTAGGGTTAAGTTTTAAGTTAATTAGGTTAGCCTAGAAAATTCAGCTTTTATCAAGATTTTTCCCTGATTTGTCCAGGGCCTAATGAGATATTTTTTCCGAGTGGAATCACATCCTATGATACCAAAATAATACTAACTGAAGGTTTTTTTCTCATAACGAATCCATAGCTAAATACTAAAGCTGATGACAAAGTTGTCAACACAAATTATTTCTGAAATACAATTGATATATTCTGAAATGCAAATAATCATTTATGGAATATAAATTATAATTTCTGAAATAAAAGTGATGATTTCTGAAATTAAAATTACTATTCTGAAATACAATTGACGCTTTCTAAAATTAAATTCTTACATCTGAAATACAAATCGCCATTTCTGAAATACAAATGACTATTCTGAAATACAATTGACCCTTTCTGAAATAAAAGTGGAAAAGGTGTAGTAATCAGAAAATAACCTCCTTCAGTGATATGTTTAAAATTTGACGATCTGCGCTCGTACATGTGCTGTTAGCTATGAGTGTATGTGCAAATTGGTCAACCATTTAAATCACTGTCTGAAAATAAATCAAATGCTTATGGGTTAAACTTTTGAAGCCCTTTATCAAAATATCCTTTTTAATTACCATTTGCGTTGCACTAAATCTTAAGCTTAAAAATGACACCTAAATCAGTTACAGCTTAATGAATTGGGAAGATAGATGACATTATACAAGACAACGACATATCACATGCTTAATACTAGATATTAGAGGGTAATAATTAAACGAAGAGTCATTGATTATTTTTATAAACCAATTACTAAAATCAACTACAACAATGAATATTGGCCGATGCGTAGCGTAGCACGGGGGGTAGATTTCCGGGGGTAGATGTCTGGGGGTAGATGTCTGGGGGTAGATGTCCGGGGGTAGATGTCCGGGGGTAGATGTCCGGGGGTAGATGTCTGGGGGTAGATGTCCGGGGGTAGATGTCTGGGGGTAGATTTCCGGGGGTAAAGTTCCGGTGTCAGGCTTATTAGCATTTTGATTAATTACAACTGTTAAGTAAACCTTGAAATGCGAGTTGATTGAATAAATAATAATTTATCCATCCTAAAAGCTCGCGGCCGGAAATCTACCCCCATACATGTGACGTCAAAGTGACGTAGACGTTTTTTCATGGGGGTAAATATCCGGGGGTAGAAATCCGGCGACCCATGCCTGTGATCTACTCTAAAGTTCCTCCACTGTTGTAGGCGAGGTGTGATTCCCAGGCGGCCAGGCAGGCGGAGGCCCGACGACGGTCCATGGCTCGCAGGAAGGCCCAGGGACAGCAGACGAGGGCGATGAGGCTCAGGATCGGGACTCCGCCCCCGGTGGAAGGTAGACAGCACGAGGTTGTGCAGACTGACCAGTACATGGAGGAGGTGAGGACACAGGGATGAGGTGGTGTGGGGAAAAGCTGTAGTTGAAAGATATACGCAAAAACGAGAAAACTGATAATAAAGGGTCATCAGACTTTCGCTCGTGTCTTCTTCTAGTTTAGTAGAGCACAAATATGTACGACAAACCACTAAGTGCACCACTTTCAGTTAGAATACCTCTCCTATTTCACATTAAAATTGTTTTTAATTTGAATTTAGATTTCATTACATTGTTTTTACCTTTAACTACATGTTAATGTTGATTATCACTTTTTGGCTATTAGAACTGTAGGTTTTGAAGATACTATGAAATTTTAATGTCAGTAAGTAAATTCTCAATTTTAAAGTTCATGTATAGAAAAAATGTTCAAGGTTCGAGACCAGAATCCCGCACTTACAACTAGACTTTTGACTCATGGCCCTAGCTAAGGATTTGGTGAACTTAGACACATCCTACAATAGATTCCAAATGCTACAGCACATTTTAAAACTCGATTTTAGCTACCGGCACCACGGTTTATTTTGTCCTTAAAAGATTACGAAACTTTTAATACGTAACAGAAAACTTAAAAACCATGTTTTGTTTCTAGCTGTTCGACCATCCGCCAGGAGCGACAGTCTCCTGCCAGACTGACTTCTTTCTAGACCGTCCGGAAACCCCGGTCTACGTTCCCTCCAAGACGGGACGAGACGTGGAGACGCAGATATATCCAGGAGAGGTATGCACTACATTACTTACACGAGAAACATTTTCTTTCGAGTTATAGTAATTTTATTTAATCTTTTCTCAAAGGTACTATAATAAGCTTTGATTTATCCAAACGTATACACATCCATTGCCATATAGTAATGGCATAGTTTTAATGACCTTAACTACAATTACTTGTGTTTTCGTGAATTTCCCAACTATTAGAAATAATATCTCTTTTACCCAGCTTCCGTGCCATTAATAAACGTGTGTCTTGGTTTAGTATAACCATAGGAGAAAGGATGTAGTATTTTTGGCACGAGTAAATAATTTGGCCATGTGCATTTTGCTTGATTTATCAAATCGTTTTCTCATAAGCTACGTTAAACGTCACATAATTTAATTTAGTTCCTGCGCATCCTCCGACTGATAATATACGAAATAGGCTGTTATCAGATCATATCAAACGCTTCAAATCCTTAAAGACAAAGATATCAAATACTCTAACGAATTTGGATCAATTTATGATAAATATTTTCCTACTTTTACCAGTTTGTTACTCCATAAACGATATCGATACATATCATGAACATTGACACAACAGCCCACGTGCAACTCGCACTATAACACAGACATCAGTGCGGAATTGCAGCCAAGTCGATAGAGCGTCGATACAAACCGTCGTAGACTCAAGTTACGATGACGTTCATATCTATGTTGGCGGAAGTGTCTCTTTATCCTGTGTTTGTCGGAGCCAGCCAAACAGTCGATATTGATTTTGTAATTTCTACAGCGACAAATGCACTTGTGCTAAAAATAGAAACTTGTTGTTGTTCGTCTTTTTTCTTACTAGTATACTTTTGATTCGTCGGTTTAAATACACTACGCCCTGATGATTGTGGAAAAATTAAGCTTGGCCAATTCGTAGATTCATTTCCACTGTAGCGTTTCTTTAACTGTTAATCAATGATATATTAAACATGCTGTACACTGATGACGTTTTCTTCTTCTCAGCTGTTCCACTTCGACACTGAAGTGCAGCCTATCCTGGAAGTCCTGGTTGGCAAGACTGTGGAGCAGGCGATGGTCGAAGTCCTGGAGGAGGATGAGCTTGCGGCGATCCGCGAACAGCAGCGAAGGTAAAAGTTTGGAAAAGATTCCTCGTAGATGATGGTACCAGTACATAAAATATTTGTTCCTTAATAGGTAGAAATGAGTGATTTGTGGGCATCGCGTTAAAAATATAAAAAATCTCAAAATACTTTGATTAATTTAGAAGTGATTAGTATTTGCTTTACGTTATTTCTGGTCTTCGTTTTTCTCATATTGCATCGGTTGATTTTTGCAGGTACAAAGAGATCAGAGCTGCGGAAAAGGCTGAGGAACAAAGACTGGAGGCACAAGAACTGAGGAGGAGAGAAGAAGCGGTAAGATTTGCAGAATTTTACATGTAATTCGTATCATTTTTGTGTAAACTTTATTTAATTGGTGTATAATCAGATTTGTGAAAAAAGGTTATGTTAGTAAGTATTCACGTCTTTTTGAAAGTAATGTTTTCATCTGACAGTTTTCGATTTCCACCAAGTCACTTTTAAAGGAATACACACATTCCATTTTCACTGTTTATTGCCAACGCCTCCTCATCCAACCTCTGACCCCAGGAGCAGCGGATGGCCGAGATGGCAGAGGCGGCGCGGATACAGAAGGAGACCGAGGAGAGGGTAGCAGCCGCGGTCCTCACTCAGGGATACATCGCCGACCTGCTGCCGTCCGTGCTGGAGGGGCTAAAAGAGGCTGGCTACTTCATAGACGACATCAGACAAGGTGTGTGGTACAGCTGCCTCTGGGAGATTGCTTTAGATATACATCGGGCTTAGTTTTAGTTATTTTATCTTGATAATCAACAAAATGTAAGCTGAATGAAAAGGAATGTTGTTCGATTTGGCCGAACTTCACTCAAAGTTGTCACGATCTAGAACTTCTGACCACCCTCTGATAGCCTCTCTGAAAAGGGTCAGACTCCCTACTACTTTTGGCGTCAGCAGCGTCCTCTAAAAATAAATACTGCCTGACGTTTATCCTGTGCTTTAAAGTGGTATCATTTGAGCTTCACAGTAAAGTGTAAACACAAACACCACGGTGTATGACAATGTATTTAATCTGACTCTCATGGCCTGTTAAGTTCTATTAATTGAGTTTTATAGTCAGTGTAAATAAATGATCAAAGGTGAACTCATTAGAAATATTATTTTTTTAGAAAAGAAAAATAACGGAATAAAATCCACAAGGTGTTTACAAACGGTAAAAAGTATTATGGAAACAATAAATTTTCTCTAATACGCATGGTCATATTTTATACTTCATTCTAATTTACCTATAAACTGTAGTAAATGCATGTTTACTCAATTTTGAACAACGTTTTAATGAACAACTTTTTGTGTTGGAACTTGTTGATGCTATAATATGTGTCGTAAGACTATACATTTTATCTTGGATGAAACCCATTGATTGGGTTATTAAAGAATCTGATAACAGGTTTTGTACTCGTATTCATCTACTTCTTCTGTTTTATGACGATCTTAGTTTTATTCGTACAAGGAAACTAATTACACTCTCTATATCATCTTCCTTTGATTGTTGTTCGTTCCAGATGTGGAGGAGAACTTCATGACGTGGCTGATGGGAGAAGTGAAGCTGGAAATGCAGAGGATGGTGGACAACAGAGACTTGCTTTCTGGTAAGATTCCTCAAGAGATTGCCGGTAGGATAAATGATGGATTTGTTTTGTGAAATGTCACCCTTCACGAGTAGCCCTTCAGTTATTGACAAGTTTCTTACTTTATACCTTCTTAAATTTTCCAATCTCCTTTGGGTTCATCCTAAGGTTCAAAAGAGCTTTCGCACTAATGCAGCTTTTGTATGCTATCAATCAACTAAAACCTCAGAATAATCACAGTACTTCTAAGATCCATACTATTCTATGCCTTCATATTGCCTGACAAAGCCACTACACCTTCGTTTATGTTTTATGTTTTTTTACCTCAAGCATCGTCACTTTAGGTCCATAAAGTGGGCCATTCCTGTCACTATAACATACATACGCCTAAAATAACTCATATAAGTAAAGCATCCATGATCATACACTATCGTGATCTTCAAGGTAGACCCGTATCACCAACATGGTATGCTGACATTTGGCCTGGTAAAGATAACCATCATCAAAACAGTAACAGAGTATGGCTTTTGCTCTGAGCATGGCCATCTGCAAAGATTCTCAAATGCAAGCCTACCATGGTAGTGATGGAAAAGCCCTTATGGATATTCTTCCTAGACTTTCATGAAGGAGTTGTTTCATAACTAGTAGTACTAGTGCGCCTCCAATGTCACCAAACCGTGCATTATTGACAACTTCACTAACTGTCATATCGTCAATTACTACAAACCTTTACACCAGTCTCTTCGCGTGTTTTTCCAGAGATAGTCCGTGAGATCCTGGAGACGCGGGCGGAGGTGTACCGGGCGATGAGTGACGGCGGTGCTGCGGACAGACCCGGCAGTGAGGAGCCCACGTCCACGCCGCTGCCTGGAGTGTCGTCCGTCGTGTTCAGCAAGGAGGCGGAGGACGAGGTCCAAGAGACCGGTGACAGCTAGACGTGAGTTTTGTTTTTATTTGTGTTTCCACACCTTATTCACCAATGGTTCTTGTTAGAGGGAGATACAAAACCTGAACCTGTCGGTAGCAGACATCGACACTTTTTAAATGACATCAATAATTGATAACCCAATGACATATGGGTCAAGAATTATTTGTTCGTTTCGGGATACGATCAGCAACGTTCGGATTTGAAGGCGAACTCTATAACTATTCGGATACCCCAGAAAATACATATTCTTCGAAAGGGAAGGGTGTTATGGGAAATAGTAAAAGAAAACAAAGTCCTACATTTATATCTATATTGTTCCTATTCTTAAACCAAAGAAAGAAAATACAATTGTTACCTTAGGCTGGGGTCCGAAGAGGCTATTGATGTTTGATGTACACTATTGATTAGTCACAGTATACAGTGTTATTTACAATACCCCAGTCAAGCACTTGCGGAGATTTGAGAGAGTTGCCTATTTTCTGATTACAATTTTTTGTGTAACTTCCTTTTAAACTTTTAAAATGAAACCTCAAGTGATCACTTAAAATCAAATAAAAGGTTAAACCAAAATGCATTTGACGCCCTATGCCTACCATCTATAGGTCACAAAAACAGTTAAAATAGTTTCCATTCAATATATTTTTTTATGTGTTTGATGCCCTGAAATACTTAATTACCAAATTACCTTATATCAAGCTTCACAATCACATAATTATAACTTTTTCAGTTTTTACAAATGTAGTGAGATTTTGCTATTTCAGCAATTTTGGAAACAACATTGGCAAAATTTCCTGACATAAATAACGAATAAATCTCATACTGTAGTTTAAACGTTCATTAAAATATGCAACCATTCATAATTCATGCAAAATATCAAATTAAATTCATTTGAATTTACATAAATAAATGTCCTATAACGAAAGAAGATTATAGTACAATTTGGAATACGTGTACTTACAAATATTTAATTTATGGACTTAGTATAAAACAAACTCCCTAATATTTAATCTATGTTATTGGGCTAAGATTTCAACTCATAAATTAATTTATTGTTCAACAAAATGTAATTTCGCAAGAGAAAACTGATATACAAATATTCACAATTAATTGTTTTTGGCCGAAAGACTCGTAAATAAAATATATTATGCAGCGTGAGGCGTAGCTGGGCGAAAGGAGGTTATGGGAACGGAATACATTAAAATCAACCTGCCCTAATATCGGTGCTTGGACATTAATATGCAAACCGAAGTATGGCACGAAGTGTGATTAAGAACAGCTGCAACTTGTCCGCGCTAGAAGAACTCACTCAAAAGAAAAGTATGGGAATCATTCATTCATTGGTTTGCATTATGCATTAAATTAGGTAGCGAGATCTGCTACTGCGCCTTTCATACAAAGCGATCAAAATTATTTTACAACAATTAGATAAAATGGACAATTTGGTTAATAATGATAACGGTCCAATTCAAAATGTTACATTACTAAATTCTAAATTTACAAAGTTATAAGTTAATTCTACTTGATATTTCATTTTTATACATATATGATTTATTTTTGTAACTTTAGCTAAATGTACTTAACAGAATAGTTTTTATTTTTAACTACCCATATGTTATATTCTTTAAAATTTATAATTGTAAACATAAACATAACCTTCAGTTTTTTGATGTGTCTGATGATGCCAACATAGCTGGCGAAAGGCCTCATAAAAATTAAAAATTCAGATATATTGGCGAAGTTATTATTTCAAATTAGTATTAATTCTAATATAAACAGTTCTTCTTGAAAATTAGATAAACTGTTTTTCCATCAGTCCTTTAGGCACTTCCAAAACCGTCAATTCGATTGTTAATAATGATTAGGGCGCTTGTCCTATACTTGTTTGGGCAGTTTTCTGCGTTGTTCCAGATCTTGAAATGTCTTAGCACTCTGTCACCCTGGGATGGCTAAGTTACCTTGTGTAGCTCCTGAATTTGTTATCAATCACTACACTTGAATACTCACTCCCTTTTATGCTAGTCTTTTTAATCTCGACACGAACTATTCGGATTGGCTTAACAGGTTAAAATATTTACAATTTCGACACTACATCACAATTTAAAATCATTTTAGTTGGCACCTTAGGCTGCGATGTGCGAGAAGTACTTCTTCAGCGATAGTAGTACTTCTTTTCAGTCTGGAACAAAATGTTGGGAGGATAACTCAGAATTAGAAAATCTTCACTCTTCTAAATTATGCATGGGCCTATTTATGAGTGAGGTCCTTAAAACTATCTTGAGTGCTGTACAATCGATGCTCCTTATATTGTCAGACAGATGATTGAAAATCTGTATTGCCAAACAAGGGTATCTCTTCAATGTGTGACGGCACCAGGGCGTATCCAAGGCATGGGCTCTTCTAGACCATGATCATACCTGCTATGTCGATCTCAAATTCACTCAGGTTCTCTTTAAACATTACAATACTGTAGATCACATACTGGTTTACAACTGTGAGAATTCGCAGTTCCTTAAATATAGGTCGGCAATGCTCTCAAGGGTTCTTCATTCAATAAATCACAGTGTTATTTTAATTTTATTTATCTTTTTTACAGAGTACGTTTCATCATAAGGCTTTCCATACATCGTATGATTACACAATAAGGCAGAATAGGCCTACATATTGTTATCAAATTGGTCTTCAGAGTTTCCTTAGAACATAGAACACTCCAAATAACCCAACACATACTTATCGGTTGTGGTTGGTCCAATTTATCCTCGAGTCCATCCAAAATCCTCGCAGCTTCACACTTCATTCCGATTGGCCCACGGATAAACAATCGACAAATACTTTCCAAAAAGTCCTTTTAAAGTATCCAACGAAAAAATTCAAGCCACTCAATCAACTTTAACCTCAAACTTTCATATTTTCAACCCCTGTGTCCAAATCACCGCAACACTTGTCACTTCCCAGTGGGGGTGTCGTATCAAATACAATAACCATCATAGCTGCATCACCGGCCAATGTATTGTGGTGGTGGTGGGGGAGGGGTGGCGACGGCTGGTGGTGAGTCACACCACGTGGTGCACCATCATTCGCCACGGCCGCCATCTTGGTTTCTCCCGCAGATTCGTCAGGGCGGGGGAGATATTGTTTCTGCAGCGAGTGTGTGACCGCAACATGTGGCTGCAGAGTTGGTTATGAGGGTGGATGTGCAAAAGCTACAGGACTTATGAATGTGAGCAAAAACGGAGAAGGTTTTCGATTGTGATAATGGGTTGGTAATTAAATGAAATGGGATTAGGTTCCTGATCCTGATTCCGGTTTGTCTCGGAGATACACTAATGTCAAACAATTATGTATGAACATATTAACTCATCACCATAGTATATATAGGTATTATTTTTGCTTAATGAATAAAATCAATAATTAGAATAGAAAAACATCGCTTCCATTCTCATTTTGTATTTAAATATCGAACCCATGCTAACATCAACATCAACCGAGCCAACCGACAATGCAGGATACGCGTCCATTGCTCAACTTTTGTATTACAGATGTCGGAATCACTTTTGATCTTATAAATTGGTGTTACCTCTTTATTTAATCCATTTTCCACAAATATTTATCCATCAAACAACCACTTTACCAAATTTTCTGTCGTCTTTCGACATAAATCGATGACTTATAAAATCCTCCATGTTTCTTCTAATGGCGATTTTCTGTTGGTTTTGAATCTCAGCAATTCCTCTATACATCGTCATAAACTTATGCCACCTCTTTACTGTTATATTTTTCTCATTTTATAGTCAACATTTACGGTATTCAAAAATTAATTAAGGGACTTCTCAGCTGCTGTCCAAATTTTCCAAAAGTCTTTTGATCACCAGCAATAGATTATGTTTTCTACATGTTTATTATTCTTTAAATGTCAAATGTTGGCGGTGGTATTTTCGACCTCTCCATAATCTTCGGTATTTAATTTTGAGGATTTAATTGTATAGTGGTTACGATCAATTAACCGAGATGAATTACTGGTTTAGTCATGGTTGGACAAGGCTATGGTTTATTCACATCATTATATGATTTATTATTGATTTATAGTAACTGTAGGAAAAATATAATGTGTAACACGAGTGCAAAGTGCGTGAAAGGTTTCTTGAGTGCAGCACTACGCAGCACCTTTTTAGGTTAGGTTAAATCCAATCGTTGAACGAAATGGGAAACACTGCAACAGCTGATTGTAATAATTGTAATATCTTTAAGTGTTGCCAACCTATTTTTATAACTAAACATAATGTTTATGTGAGAATATTTGAGCAGACGTTAAGCTAATACCGTACGTATTTCGTGTTGTACGTCTAATAGTACCAAAACATTCAAATGTACAATGCCAAAGACGGAGGTATTTGGTGTTTGCCACAGAAAAGGCCGTAGTTGGGAGATGACAGCCTGCGAGTTTTGCATCACTCCATGAATACAAACCGCGTTGCTTTGTTGCTTATAATACATTTTTGTACGGGTGCAAAAGTAATCATGGCCCAAGGAGTATAATGTTGACCTCAAACGTTGTATATACAAACGTGTTATTTTCTTGTTTCTTTAAAATTGTTAGTTCCTTCTCGCTTGTATAACTCGTTTATATTTGTTTTCTGAACAAAATTGAGCAGAAGCATCAGAAGAGATATACGAAAATCCGACAACACACAATTTAGCTATGGTATACTGCAGTATAGAAACTTGATTAAAATGAAGTAGCATAATTTTATTCTAAGCCCAAGGGTGGCTAGAAACCCAAGAACCAATAAAAATAAGGGTCACTAAAAAAATATCTAAATCTTTTATGATCGCTTGAAATATTAATTTTTATTATTTTGTCCACCATTACTTTACCTCATATACTTTTATATATGTAACATTGTAGAGAAAATAAATACACTGCACGACTATAAGCTCTCAATTCTCAACAATAGCATTTATTGACCTATCTCAACAGCGTGCATTATCCATAGTGCAACACCCACCTCAGTTGCTAAGTTTCGATACCCTTGCTCAAACATAACCTAACCTATTAACCTAAGGAGCAATCTGAACCTAGTCCCAGTTGTCACCCCATTAGTACCAAATCCATCAAAACCGGTGACTCACTCGAGCACAGACTGACAGAGTACTTAGCCTCGAAATGTTGACACAACGCGCGGAAATACTCGGCTACAGTGTCTAGTGCGAGGGGGTGTTACTTTTGGCGGGAGATAATGGGCGCCAGAACTGCGGCCGTCGGCTGAGTACACATCCACCACCTGTGTTCTCCCACCCCATCCCCACCCCAGCTGACCGATATCTTCATCTCCCGGCAACAATGCAGCCTTATCAATCGCCATTGTTGTGCCCAACTCTCTTATCGGTGCGGTTTTGCGTAATCGTTTTCAGGTGTGGAATTACGTTTGATGGAGTGGTGGATTTGCAGTTGATGCGGTGCGTTTTAAAAGAGATAAAAATTGGTTAATTTACCATAATCGAACTATTGATTAGTATCTACTTATGTTGAAGCTAGGTTTGAGTAAATACTTCGATTTGTTCCGTATGTGCGTTCATATGTGAATAAGTCAATATGATAAATACGCATTCAATTTTATATTCAAACTATTTTGATGCACGGTCACTGGATGCGAGGAGGGATGAACTAATATTTTTCAGGTAATTTGAATAAGGCAAAGAACAATAGAGAGTGTAGTTGTTATTCATGCTGGTACTTTTTTCCAGTTACATTTTGCGGAAACATTTACAATGAGAAACATACGTATTACCATGTCCAATTTTATCCTATTACATCGATGACACAAATGAAGATAAAATTGATATACGTGACAACATTACTCAAATGTAATCGCATAATTTTCATACAGTCTTCTAGTATATTTATGGACCAAATTAAGTAAATATTTTGATCCCAATTCTTAATAGGACTATGAAAAGCAAATTTGCCGTTTTAGACAAATCATTTACATCGAATTGGTTTTTTTCGGGAGCATCAAAACCACTTGTCATCCAAAACTAAAATGACTTATGACAACTAACCCAAAAATAGATGTATTTTACAAAAACGATTTCTAAAGCTTAATTTCTTGTCACCCACCCCCACCCACCCCTTGCTAACTAGACGCCCGGGTCAATCGAGGGCGGATTAAACCAAGCCGCTTTTTACCCCCGCGAACAAACAGTCGCGTAATCTACAAACAAAGCTCGACCCCCACCGGGTGTTGGTACATGGTCTATGTAGTCCTGTAGTAGATAGGGGTACAGAGATTGCGGCTGTGATGTAAATTATAAATGTAGAATATTAATAGATTTAAAACCATTATGTTTTGGGTTTTATTAAATTTTTTGCAAGGGAATGGTTGTTACCCTCGTCTTGTTACTAACGTCAATATTGTTTTTATTTATTGACATTAATTTAATTTATGTCGATAATTGACTTCACTTGGGATTGGGCCAATCTTCAGATTTTGCCAGCAATGTTTATTCCATACTATTACTGTTTGAATATAACGTAGAAAACATTTCACACTCACCGTTGGTTTTGGAAACAAAGCTCTTCTACACCAAAATTGTTCATTTTCTAAGTTACTACTAAGTCTATTCTAGTCTCTGGTATGCCCATGACGTTAACATTTCCTTTGCTATATTTATAAACAAATTTAGACAATTTTTTTTTAGGTTGGCAAACGTAATAGTTACCTTTGAGGTTCGCCTAAATTACTTATGGGAGACGTAGCTCAGAATTAAAGCCGAATTTGTTCAACGAAAATTTTACTTTTAATAACCCAATATTCGTGAAAATAAACGAAAATCAAAAGAATGAGTTGCCTCAAAAAACATCAATAAACAATCAAACAATAAATCAATTTGCTAAATAGTGAGTCAATTTGTTTTCGTTTAGGATGTATTAGGTCTGCGAATATTGTGAAACGTCGAAGGTTTCGGGTGACCGCGTGATTAACTGGGATGTATATTTTAACCTGTGATCAGACTGTGAAGTTAGCGTGTTCGTGTTGTCAGGATCGACCAGCTGATTCACTTGTTAGCTCACACTATCAACTAACCACAACAACCTTACACTTTGGATAACTTACCGTTTAACTAATTCAATTTACTATCTACATTTTTTAAGGATAAAGCAGTTTATAGTGAACCATTTTCTCCTTGGCTGTAACACCACACGACAAACGATTCATGTTTACTGTACTTGGATAAAATAGTTTTAACCCTTGTAAAATATTCATGAATAAGTTGTAACAAACAACAAAAATATTCCAGAAAGAAGCATGCCTTACAGTTTTCTTCCGCTAGTTCAAATTTCAATGAGTTTGGACATTTCTTATCCATGGTTAAATTCAAAAGATTTACCTCAAGATTCAACAACCACCATTTTAAAAGCCTTCAGAAATATGGAAAAAGTTAAACACTCAATGAATAAAAATAAGATAAGAATGCATAAGAAACTCATAATATGATATCTTCTCTTGTATAGAAAATTATATTTCCCTCGAGCTATACAAAATTTATATAGCAGGTGCTAACCGACAACGTCTTGAAAAAATCGTAAATACCTTTTGAAAATTTATAATTTCACAAAAAATAGCCGAAAATCTCAAATTTTTTCTAAATGTTTCCAAACGTGTACAACAGGTGTATAAATTCTCACATTGCGTCTCAGATTTTGGCAACGTATGACGTATCGCCGGCGGGCCGCAGTGTACCAACAATACGCATAATTAAAGGGCGCGTGCAGCGTGGGGGGATAGAACGCAAGGTGCACAACCCCCCCCCCCCCTCCTTGGTCAGGACCCCCACATTTTGACTTGACACACCAAACACAATGCCCGCTTCAGCTGGCGGTCGCGATCATACAATCATTTAATCTCAATTTAGCGTAGCATATTTTCCAACCCCCCCCCCCCCCAACAAACTGATCCCCCCTCTCAAAGGCCCCCACCCTCTTACACCACTGACGCAGGCGTATTTCATTATCTTGTCAGTCTATTGTCCTACCAGGGTTCATTACAAATCGGAAAGGGTTCATTCGAAAAATATTAATTTCCATTGTGGTGGTCCGTGATGCGCTCTAGTGGCACAAGTGGTTCTTTTCGGTGGGGTTTGAATAAATTCGGACGGAATATCAAACAGGGGTGGAGGGTAAATTAAAAGTAGTAAGATAGCGTTGAGTTTTGTGTCAAATGTATTTTGGGCAGTAAAGGTACTTCCTCAGCTACGAAGATACCATCCGATTCCAGATTTCGAAACGTCATGGAAACTTGTTTTAACCCATCTTTAGGGAAACTATCTAAAAAAATGTTTCAAATGACATAAATTAACCGTCAAATAATGAAATTCAAAGTATTACAGTAGTATTTCACGAACGCCATGGCTCTTGGTTAATTAGTGTTGTTTTTTACTCATTATTTTTAGGATGAATTGTTATACTTGTTGTCTAAGCGTATTCTACATGTAAACTATTAGTTTATCAAGATTGCTGTAACGTATATTTAATTTTGCAGTAAAAATCTTTGATTTGAATTGACATTTTTTGACAAAAAGCAAGTCCAGCGTAGAACAATATAAGCAACGTTCTGCCAAGAAATATTTCCAAGTCAAATTAGGCAACAAAAAATTACATTTTTACCAAACATCACTTTGGTGTGTTCAAGTCGAAATGACTCAATACGTGATGCAATTAGAAATTAGTGTAAAACTCATTTATTTCATTACAATGGTAGGGTACACAGTAGAAAACAAATATGTTTTCGTCGCTTGGCCAGCTTTTGGGCCATTTTTACTGTTTAGCTCACTACAGTTTAGAAAGTGAAATGGACATAACTAACAGTATTACTAGCGACCGTGGTTCAGTAACCTATGTAGATTAATGTGGTACGTTCTCAGCCATCACGTGACCTTATCTAGATCTCAACCCTTGCAATAAATTCTTCTTTTATCATCGTTCTTATCTCATACTTCTGGCCTGTAATTTACACAGCACAGAGTTCTGTCAAAGAGGGATGAGATTGTTGCAAATGTTCAGATAACTAAGTTAAGTTCAAGGGGTTTTTTTGTTTTCGAAGGAATTTCATTTTTTGAATATGTGTACTATTTTCCCTCATTAAATTAGTTTAACTGAAGATACTACACTATAACAACTATCTACAAGTTGTCAATTAAAGCTGACTAACCCACCTGAGCAATGTGTCTTTACATTCGTAGTTACTTTCATTTCTGCCTTTTTGCGTACGTTTATATACCGGTATATAACATGGAATTATTATTAAGCTAATATCTAGCTTAGAACTAATTTTTAAGACACGAAAAACAATTTATCATTAAATATAATTAATTACTTATTAATATACATGAAATGTGTGTTTATTTCTTCATTTCAAATCTGTGTCCAAGAAAATGTACGTGAATATAAAAGAATTGCATGATTTTACCAAATACATAGAAAACATGTTGAAAAAAAATAACAGAGAAATATCTCAAAGATACACATTAAATCAACATATCTATCACAAACTCAAAAATTTGTAATGGCAAAATTGTTCGTTGTTACTAAATTACATAAATAAACCACAGGAAGATTAGCTAAATATCAGAGAACATTTCAGATTCATGTAAGAACTACAAATCCAAAGCCAAAGCCAACATACATGAAATAAAGAATAAAAAACCTAAAATAAAAAAACTATAACATATAGGCTAATTTAAATATTCCAATTCCATCTACTTCCTGGTGAAAATTACCATGTGATTTTTTCCAGATCGCATTCGTGGACAGCGAATGGTGGACTAGCATTTGGGTGCCTAACGAAGCAATAAGTTCAATTATTTATTTTAACCGAAAACCTTTGAATCAAAGCAAAAATTTATAGTAGATTTGGTAACAATTCCTATGTTTAGAGCTAGCCTTGTAAGATATAGGTTGTACAATAAATTTCGAATGACATAATATTGTGTTGTTTATTTCCTAAGGAGTGCTACCTTATAACATCCAAATTGTCAAGAGAATATATTATCGGTTGAATCTTAATGCAATCAATATTATATTTATCAAATCAAATATCTTTCTAAGACTATTTCTTAAAATAGTCTTAGAAAGGTGTAAGAACGTAATAACATGTCGGATATACTCGTATGTTATGCAGGATATACGATCAAATATAATTAAGTTTAGTTTTAGAAAGGGTTTGTAATGGATAATCGTAAGCCACGAAATGAATTCTGAATGATTAATTTCAGATATTGCAATAGGAATTTGTTGCAACACGAAAAGATGTTCCATTTAAACACCATGAGCCAACCGTTCACTAATAGTTATAAAAATCTTATGGTGTCTGTCTGTATGTGTGTTACTAATAGGTGCAAGAACTACTGAACCAACTGGGCTAAAGTTTTACAAAAATATAGCTATCATACCAAGGACCATTATAGGACAATTCACATTTCTATACTGACCGTGGACTTTGCCCCTTTGGCTTTAAACGTTCTGAGGTGAACATTTTAAAAGTAAATATTGATTGGTCTCCATGGCTGCGATTAGAACACTAATAATGTTTGTTTACATTTGCTTTGACATTTAAATGTAAACAAGAAGAACTGCTAAACTGCAAATTTCATAATTTCAGTCAGCTGATACAAAGAAATAAAATACAATATTTTCCATAAATATGAGGTAGGTTTATTTTAATCTAACATTTTATCATGGATTATTTATTCTAAAACTATGTCAATGATTATAGAAAAAAAGATTCTATAACCGTTGCTGTATCAACTCCGGCTCTGCTTTGGATTGATTTAAGTGTCTAAGTTATGCGAATAAAGTTATTGATATGTTTTCATGGAAATATCAATAAATTATTCGTATTCTTTCTTTCAGAACGTAAAATGTAACCTCAAAATGCCAATTCTAAGGATAGTAGGTTTATGAATTTTTATTCATTACTGTCAACAAACAATGTTTCAAAATGATGATTTACTTCTCAACCAACAATAACCATTTAATTCCACAATTTCAGTGTTTAAAATAATTCTTAATCACAAACGGATTAAGGCGTGAATAGAGTTGTAATTCAACTCCAAAGCTCTAATCAATCATGTTTGTTTGAATCGGTGCGTTTTACGTACTTTCAACTCCTTTTCCAAACTAAGACACACAGAATCCGTTAAGCTATTACTGTGGAATCACTACTAAGAGCACCGACTGAGGCATGTCTCGCCAAAATATGTTTACAAAGTCTATGGCTCCTTGGTCAGCTGTACCCACTACTTCCTAGTCACGGGTGTACGACAAGTGGTTGAACCTGGGAGAGTCCAGCTGCTAACCCTCCCCTACAAGCTACCCCCACAGGCCACATTGACAACGGTTCACGCCAGACTAGGGCTGGAGAGGATAACATCGCCGGGATTAGAGCCTATTCTTTTAATTGTTTAATTGATCATGCCCCAGGCCAAAGAGGATTTCCACCACGATAAGAGATAAGGGTGTCATATTTCATAACAAGAGGCTTTGGCTGAGGAAATTGAAAATCATACAGCCGTGTGGTACACCTGCTGCTGTGTGTGTGTGCGTGTGTGTGCGTGTGTGTGAGTGGATGAGGGTGTGGACATGTCACTGTGGTGTGGATAATTTGGCATGACTTTTACTATAAGATACGATTTTTACTTTTTGAAAATATTTTGAAATATACGTAGGCCTTGTACAAACAGTACACAATAAAAACTACATATTATAACAACGAAAAACATTGACACATGTGCTAAATATGTTAACCACCGAAGAATGTTAAAAAATTCAAATATAAATATGCGCATAGAAAATATTCAAATTTATCCATGTACTGGTTGTGTAAAATAATAGTCAATGGTAAAAGTCTATAATCTGTAAAACATGTCATGGATTATAACAGAAATTATAGAAATTTGCTTAGTCTGTTGCCTCCAGAAAAGTTCAACATTAAAAAAAACAACTAGTTATCAAGTCAAGTTAAACTGTCCAGTGTCCAATGAAAGTACTAAATACTAAAATACTTTTACCTTACGTTTCGGATTGCGTTACAAGAATCTTCGGGGCAAGCTAAAATTCATCTCACACCTTCAGTCAAATTGTTGTTCATCTTTGGGTAAGAGACAGTTCGTTCAAATGAGTAGACGAAGATATTTTTTTTCCAGAAAAACTAAAATTCATCTCCAAAATTCAACCGCCTACATTGACTGTGTACGGTCTGTCTAGGCTATATCTACTGTAAACCTTCGTAAACAAATTCTTACTGGTTGTTAACAAGTGCATATTCTATTAATTATCTCATTATTAATTTTGAGCTATCATTCAACACTATTACCGTACTGTCATTATTATTGTTGTTATTGTTTATGATTATATAAGATTACATTAGTAGAAATCTGCACGTTCCAATCACGCTAGAAAATATGAACAAAGAAGTAGACCGAGTCATTAATTATTTCAAAACGTTTGTTATTCTTCTGGCCAAAATGACTGTAAAATGCCATATTCAAAAAATCAACCTCTTTGTGTAAGGAGCAAAATTTAGTGTATCTACAGCACAATCAGATTGATCTTTTCTGTGAATTAATAATTATTAAGATTACATGATTATTCAATGTTTTTGTAAAGAACAAAATATAAATTTTTCAATTATAAAACAACACTATGATGGTAACAACACGGACAATGTGTCCTTATGCACTAAGAACTGGAAAGTGAAAATGGTAAATGAAAGAGTTGAAACTTAGATTTCATCGAACAGGTAAGTCAACAAACACCAATGGGGTGGAAGGAGAGAGGGAGAGAGAAGCGTGCCGTGGCGGGTGGCAGCACGCGTGCAGGCCACGTGACCAAGTGGCCAAACATGCCACCAACAATCTGGTCGTTTGCGACTCTTACAACGATTAAAACTGTAGCGACTTGTCAACATGTGTAGATGTACACTATTCTTAATATACAATTTTGAACAAATATTTGAAAATGTACAAACATTTTTTAGGTTTTTATATTTTTAAGGAGAGTAATTTTATGTGGTTATTACGCATGGCTAATATGGAATTCTATTTCGAATTGGTTTTAAAAATGTATTACAAATTCCATATAAATTGGAAATAGTATTCCCGAAAAAAATATTCGGAAGACAAAACTGGTCCGTAATAATCTGAGCGGTTAAGTTAAAGAAACTAGAAAATGGTTAAGCTCTATTACAATTTTATATATTTTTTAATCTTATACTTACATACCATTCGAAATTTTACCAGCATTAGTCTCAAGAATGTATTGCATAAATTGTCCAAATGTATCTGTACAGTATTATCAAAATGGAGCTGTTCGTTGGAATATAAAATATCAAAATATTACAGGCCAATCAATTGTTTTATCATCTAACCCTTCTTCTGATTAACTGGTTTCCATTTTATTGAAACTATAGGCCTACCTGGTTTTTTATGGTTTACCTATGAAACTTATTTTTAATGTGTTTACTATTACTAAGCATTCCAATTCTACCGTGTATGAAATTTATCATTAACATGAACATGATAAAATGTTCTGTCCTTAGTACATTAAAGAATTGATTTTACCATTGCTTTTGATTATATATAGTCATCACATTCTATATGGGCCAGTTTCATCCAATTTTGTATTTTAAGAAAATTATCCTCGTAATAATACTGATGTTCAATTTCCTCTATTTTGGTCTTTGATGTGTACTTAAAAAATGCTATAGCTTACAATAAGTTGTCCGTTAAGTTTAGCCCCATCCAAAAGCTGTAAAATGTAATAAAGATAAAGCATCCAATTGAAATCATATGAGTTGTTCACATTGTAAAAAGCTATTTTTAATAATGGTGTTTGGTAAGCTAAAAGTGTCGTAAAACCATGTCTTGTGCGGTCTACAAAGGAGACAGTTGCTTTAAGTACGTCAGTGTATTTGTACAAAACCCCCGATTATTGCATTTCCCTCAGACCCCCCCCCCCCAAAAAAAAAACAAAAAAACACCAAAATATTAGAAACTGAACTTTAAAAAATCCACAGCACCAGACTCAATAACACAAGAATTAGGAGATCTCAGAAAATACACACACAAATATTCCCAAACCATTCCAACATTTATCCACCCAAAACCACACCTCGAACCACCAACCACAAACCACAAAACTGCACGTGGCCCGAACCTGCCCGACCATGACGTATCAATTAGTTCGCTTAAAGACCAACTTATATTTATTAAATCCGCGAGGGCCCAGCCTCCCCCTGCAAGGTGGATCATGGGGCGCCCCTCCCCCTGATAGCACAAACTAATATATAATGAGTTGTCAATGATGGAGGCGCACTTTGCTTTGGGGTCGGCAGCGAACAGGTCGTTGCAGTGGTTTGAACTCAAGTTATCTTAGTTTCGTCAAAGTTCACAAAGTGGTGTTGGTTTTTTACTGTGTGAGGTTTGCAGAGGTTTATGACGGTTTTCCCCATGTTCCCGATCATCCCTCAGCACTTAGCTGGGCGGCTGTCTCTGCCCCGCCCACAAGACGCCCGGGGTGCCAAGACGCTGGTGGTGGCCGCCCAGGGCGTCCCAGCCTACACCGCCTCCCCGCCCATCCCTTTGGAAGACGTCGTGACTGGAAAACTGGACAGAAATAAGGTAAGAGTCGACGTAGTTTTTGATGAGCATTGAATTTGAAAATTCGTAAGTGGTAAACTATTTTGTCAGTCTTGGTACCGTACTAAGAACTGTTTTGTGTATTTTGTTTAACTATCTTGTTTAACCCATCTGTTTGTCCGTTTTTTTAGAAGTAAAAAATTCTATTTGGATGATTAATAATAAGTTTAATCAAAATATGTTTTTGTTTTATAAGTTGTAGAGTATTTTGCAAGTCTTTATTAAGACAAGTCAACAGTGTTAATATGGGCAATTAAACATATAATTCATTCATCAAACACGATTTGTATTGGAAGTTGTATTGGAGTCGTCAGTCATTTTGGTGCAAATTTTAACTTAAATATACAGGGTACGGCAAACAAACGATCTATTTTCTGCAGAGCACTGTTCAGCGACATGTCGTCTGAGAGGAGTGGGAGGCTCGTTGGAAAGCCTACACAATGTCATTTTTGTAGCCATAGAGCAGTGGTCGCCTGAGCTACGTGCGGTTGTTATGGAGTCATTTTAAAAAAGTATTGAATTAATTAATTGCAACTCAGCGGCAGTTTCATGCATTCTTTGAGTTACGGCGACATGGAGAAGTTCCGTTGCGTAAAACAATAATGTGGTGGGTTACTAACATTAGAACAACGACTTCTGAGGTGAAAAGGAAGCTGACAAGCCGTCCAAAGTCAGATCGGACGCCCAACAAATAACATTCGATAGAGTTCGTGCTGCTGTGGAAAACAGTTCTCGTAGTCCCGCCCGAAAACAAGCGGCTGCCAAACAGTCTGACCGCTCAGTTACACGAATTTTGAGGTTAATTTTCATCCCTAATTATAAAAATAATCTGTTTAATTTTGCTAATTATCCATAAAGAAAATCACGACGAAACCTCTCCATGTCAACATAACAGAAAAAACACGAAACTACCACTGAGTTGCAATAACTGATTCATTACTTTTTTTATACGATTCAATAATCTATGAATACAAAAATGGCATAGATACAACAATACAGATATGTATAGGCTTTCCAACAAGTCTACTCACACCACCCTCAGACGGCCTGTCGCTGAACAGTGCGCTGAAGAAAATAGATCGGTTCTTTTGCCGCACCCTGTTTAATAAAACGTTTTTTTACAAGTTTAGTTGATATGGACGTTTAAAAATACAATTTAGGAGAATATCTTTATTTTAAAATGTTACTTTTCCAGATGTTATTTGCATTTATTTGAACTGTGCGTTCTTTTGAATGAAATATGAATTCAAGAATCGAGCGTTTTAATTTAGACGATAATAAAAATCTTTGTTCTCGATATGTTTAAAGTTTAACTATTATTACTTGGTATTTTTACGGAACGTTATTCATTGGTAAAATACGTGTGATATTTTGACTGCTCTTTTGATCCATAAAATACTGTAATTAGCCGTAAGTGAAATCAAAAAATACGTGATATTGTTTTACGTTTGTCTGATTCGTCCAACAATACGTATTAAGTTACAGGCCTACTCTTTGATTCATCATAAATGTTGATGACCGTAAGATAAATATTAAAAGTTGCATATTTAACTCTTACTTATATTGAATTTGTATTCATTCCAACCATGCATGCGATGTTTCTCCTACTTTTTGATCTATAAATAAAATTATTCATTCGAAAATTCATCGACGGGATCGGTTCAAAACATATAAGCCTCGATAGTGATTATTTAAATATTTTAGTAACGAATATTCAGCACAATATGAAAATATATTTTGATTTCTAGTACTTGGTAGGATTTTGTTTTGCCTTGATGGGTTTCGTTTAGTTACAGTAAAATCCCCTAATCTTAACTAGAGTACAAAGTTCATTTAATTGTTTCTAAAGCTTTTAAACCTAAGGTTTTAAACATTAGAACCAGGTATAATAAAATATAGATTTTTCAAATGTACGATATAAATAGTAGGTACATATTCAAATTCCAAATAATGAGCTCAAACAAAATATATTAGAAATTCCCTAAAAGGTTTATCAATGTAAAGGTAAAGGTAAGGTAATAAATTATATAACCTGGTAAGTATATTTTAAAATAATCATTTTCAATTTGAAATAAAACATCTCCATTGCAATGATTATAACGGCGTATTTACTAAACATGGTAAATAAATGGTTCTGTTGCCTTCATTTCAGCGGAGGCAAAACAGGTACTGTCTCTGAATTGCCTACTCTTGCTTTGAAGGCTAGTTTATTAAAATTAATCTTATATCAGAATTTTATGCAGTTTTTGTGTCTTTTTTACCATCAAAAGTAATTTCTTTACCACTTCTCTTGATTAACCATGCAAGACTAAAACAATCTTGTATAAAAATATAATTATCGTAAATTAAAAGTAAGCTATATTATGTTTATGTACTATTTGTGTACGTTTTTATCAGCAACGGAAGCTTTTGTAGTACATTATTTAATTAGTTATAGGCCGCAATAAATTCTAGAGTCATGGAATAAATCTACGATTAAGTGAATACAACTTTAAACCAGACCCTATTATGGTACAGTAACATTTGTGATGCTATACTCAAACAGTGGCTATTTAATTAGTAAGCGAATAAAAGTTGTAAATACAACTGTGCTAAAGGACGCGGAATTTAAATATAAAATATGCCATTTCCTGTACTGGAGCTTAGAAAACATTACCTAATTTTATTTTTTTACGATTTTCAATCATGCATTGTGACATTGTGAATTTCTATTTGACTGATTGGATCTTTACTGAAACTGGCTGTTACCCACGGGCTTCACCCCGTTTGACTTCATAAGTATTAATAAAACCATTGATTGGTGGGTCGCCGGAATTTTATCCCCCTGGAATTTTACCCCCTGAGCAAAGCTGACGTCACTATGACGTAGTAACCTGAGTGGCCAAAAGTTTGTTCGGGGCCGGTTTTTTACCCCCGCAGATTTGGAAGTCTAATGAAAATAGTCAGAGCGTGATTAATTAGATTAGCGATACAAACCGGAATTTTACCCCCTGTCCGTATAACTAGCGTTTAGACAACTGAAGATGTACGGGCCGGATTTTTACCCCCGGATTTTTACCCCCGGAATTTTACCTCCCGGAATTTTACCCCCGGATTTTTACCCCTCAGAATTTTACCCCATGGCAGATTTTAGAAATTGAATGATTGATTTTCTTATTTCTGTTTTTAATTAATTGTAAACGTTTCATTACTTAGTAGCCTATATTTATATATCTATTTTGTAAAGAAATGTTCGAAACAATTATCATTCAGTTGATTGTTTATACGTCATATTAACCAACTGTTAGCTTCAAAGATCTAATCCTAATACTAGAATCTCAAAATTAAAATTAAAAACCTGTTTGGTTAGTTAATGTTACAAATAAATTAATATAGGCTACTTAATAATAAAATGTTTACTATTAAATTAAAACAGAATGAAGATAATTAATCATTCTCACTAATTTATATATCTGGCCAGGGGGTCAAATTCCGGGGGTAAAAATCCGGGGGGTAAAATTCCGGGGGTAAAATTCCGGGGGTAAAAATCCGGGGGTGAAATTCCGGGGGGTAAAATTCCGGGGGTAAAATTTCGGGGGTAAAAATCCAGGCCGTACACTCTAGGTTTTTATAATTTGATGTGTTCTGATTAAATTCACAACCGTGAAAATTTATGTTTAATTCCGCGTTTAATCCATCGAGCTGATGTCGCGAAACTCAAAGTTTCGCGGCCGGAATTTTACCCCCTGGTTTGTGACGTCACGTTTGCCCAGGGAGTAAAATTCCAGGGGGATAAAAATCCGCTACCCCTGATTGGTTACGTTAAGCTGAAATAAACCAAACATAATACAGTTTTAGTCAAAAGGTAATACAAACAAATAATCACACCCCTGGTACAGGAGGTCTAGTGGTAGAGTGTGAGACTTCGGTTCTTGAGGTCCCGGGTTCAAATCCCGCCAAATCACAAATGGATTTTACCTAAGAAACCCCTGTGAATAAAAATCTTGGGCTCGTGCCAAGCATCCTAGGACAACAGCAACAAAATGTACTTTACCCATAGTAAATATGGCACCCAACATCTCTTGATTCTCTCATTCAGTGCTACCTCCAGTTCTATCCCTATTTCAGTGATTAGCTGTGCATATTGTACAAAAAGAGTCAAATTATCAATTTGATATGTTTCAGATTGAACTTGTAGTGAACAAAAACGGAGAGTTGACTATGGAAGACACCCCCTGTTGGAGCTGGCTACGTCACGTCCGAGTGTCCCCAGACTGTCATAGCTACAACACGTTGGTGCATAGGGTACAAAATGTCTCCACCAGTGTAGCCAGCCGAACAGACTCCTTCCCCAGTGCTACTAACTATGTAACCTTACAAACTGTCCGGGAACTTCAGCTTGGAGAGGAATTGTGCATTTGGTTTGATGAGGAGGTCTTGGCAGCAGCTGGAATACCGTTTCTTACGCCAATGAATATACAAGGTACATTTAACATTTATGTATAGGTAGATTATATCATTTAACTAATGAGGTACTGAGGGATGGGTACTGATGATCATGGCTTTTAGTTGAGAGGTTTCCCTAAACAGAGAAATTTCTCCTTATTTGTGGGATTGTACCTTGTTCCTCCAGGAAGTCCTGCGCTCTAACCAAATAACCGGTCTGGCATTACCGGTCAATATTACAGTGTCTAGCATCTTACAGTTAACAGTATACTGCCTCCTTGCCTCTTAGAGTAGTGCTGCAGGATTATTTGTCAATATATGTTATACTCACGAATACCAGAAAAATACCGGTATAGATCATAATAAACATAAACAAATGACGTTTTTGGCCCGAAAGTAAACAAAACCCCTATACTAATAGCGTTAGGTAATTAATTAACATATGTTTTTTTTTACTAGAAAAAGCAGGCCATGCTGTAGGATCCATGACGTCACACACTATAGTGGATAGATTTTATTGATAAATTCATTGCCATCACCATTTCCATATGTTTTAGGTAAATAAACATGCTGGCTGTTTGTAAGATTTTAAGGGCAAGAGTTTAGTACAACTATCCACAACTGTGACGTAGTGTTGCGCTACCCGCGCTGCAGCATGGCCTTTGGTCAAAAACGTCATTTGTTTATGTTTATGATCCATACGGGTGTTTTCTTTGTGTTTCATACTCGTAAACCCGAATTTAGTGAATGAGCAAAAACCATGTTTAAATAACCTACGAAATGTTTTCCAAAGGAACCAAATTTAAAGAGCTCATTTAAAAAAAATAATACATCAAATATTTGTACTTGTAAGACAGAATACTGTAAATAAATTAACAGAATTCAATAAATCAACATACAATTCCAAATATTGTTTCTAGTTTTCTATCAGAAGAATGTATAACTTTATTTCCTACCATCATTTTTATACATTAAAAACTTTCTTGTTTCAGGAGAGAAAAACTACACTTGTCATCGGTGCAGAAAATATTTCGAGTTCCCAAACCCTCTGAAGATCCATCTGGCACTTGAGTGTGGAACAATGAGAAGAGTTGAGTTGTGGAAGAGATTGTCAAAAACACAAGAGGGTCTTCCCACTAGTGAATTCAAACTTTGCGAACTAAAATTGAAAAGTGTTTTTAACTTCAAAGATCACCCCAAAGCTTTCAACAGTCCAAATTCTCCAGAAAACAGCAATCTTTCAACGTCATCTGATCCAGCATTCTTCACCCTAAAATCTGAAGAGATAGAAAGACCTCATTCAGAACCAGTTTCCGAGAGGCATTCTGCTTTCAAGCCTTACTTGACTTTGAAAATTCCAAAAAGCGACTCAACAGAATATACTACTAGCTCTCTACCACATGTACCGAGTAATTTGATTTTTTCACATTCTCCATACGCAGCTCAGAGCTTATCAAAGATGGAAATGCATTCGTTCTCCTCGATAGCATTGAACGATAAGAACAGCACGGCTATGATTGATCAGCAGGCAGTAGAGATGGAAACTTTGGTCAGTAACCTGGGCAGATCAAAACAAGGGCATCTCTGCATCTACTGTGGCAAAGTGTACTCCAGAAAGTATGGGCTGAAGATTCATATAAGGTAAGATAAACTTTTTATGGTGTAGGAAGGGTCTAAATATTAAATTAGAGGTTTAATAAAGTAAAGAAAAAACACAAAACTAACTCACCTTAGAAATAACACCAAAGATTCACAATGCAATAAACTTAATAATTCTACCCCTCCAAGAGTACTTCAGATGGAAATACCAGTAGAAATATACGAGTTTATAACCACCCCCCCCTTGGAAAAATGAAATATTAAGTTTATAAACATTTTGCGAGCAATCAACACCAGAGGGTTTTTTTATTCTTGGGTGTATCAGTTGTTAATCTGATCCTTCTTTCTAACAATATTCTAAGGCCGATGGCTTTTCCTTTTAAATATACTGTAATACAGTATATTTAAATACAGTATATTTGCTGTTAATACAGCAAACATTTTCTGGTAGAGAACCCCCGGACCCTGCTGGGGGTTATTCCATACACCACGATTAGATTTGGTGGCTCTCTTTGTTTATAAATTGGAACTACCTAACAAATGTTTGGATTAGGTGGTATAGTACATCTTCCCGTTGCAAAGCACTGGTACAGCAACTAGTCCTTATATATAACCCGTGAAGGCGATTTCTACGAAGCACTACTCCTCCGTTAATAATGGACGGATGTTTACAAAAGATGTGTCAAGATTAAGTATTTTTTGTGTAGACGGCCCTTTTCACCAATTCCTGTAATAAAAATCCACGGGCTTTGCTCCACAGGCATTAAAAATCCAAATGCATTTCTTATGAAGAATATTTACTAACCCAGCTGCAGTGGGACCAGAGGGGGGCGACCCCCCCCCCTCAGGGGTACATACATATATAATTTTTACTGCATAGAGTAGTGCATACACATTGCATAAAATAATTTGTCACACTAACTTTGGACAAAGAAATGGTAGGCCTATAAAACTGCCATTTAGGAGACTTTGTTTGCACAAATTTTTCAGGGGGTCACCCCGGAACCCCCCCGTTTCGCCCCCCCCCCTTGTGACTGTTCAAGATCCGCCACTGCAAAGCTGCTTAGTAAATCCAGTAAATCTTACTTCAATAGTGCGATTTGTCAAGTGTCAAGATATTTTGCATCATGTGTACATGTTGTTAATTGAATATAAACGAACAACACGTGGTTTAATATGAAGCAAGTATTGGGTTGGATACAAATAAATATCAGAATTCAATAATATTTTCCGTGGTTGAATAAAATGCCACTAGCAGCAAGAGTAAGTTTTGAAACCAGTAGAAGACGAAGATAAGTACGTGATCTTCATTGACTTAGACAAAATGATGAACAATGAATGATTGGACTAACTATCAGAGATCCAGAATCTCATTCTTATGGACCCATGATCAACATATGCAGATTTCGAGTAGAATGAAAAAAAATTCAAAAATCACGTGCAAACCCTAAAATGCATATTTATTGCAGATTTTGTTATACATTATGTCAAAGCTGAAAAAACCCGAGGGCTATTTACACTATGCGTATTGTCAAAGTGGAAAAGTGTGTCTGTCTTTAATAAAAATAAGATCACGTCCTCATTCTAATCCTAACGTATAGTTTTGACAGTAAAATAGACCAGCTACATAACGTAAACTTTATTAAATGACAATCAATTGTCAACAATCCAACAAATAGGTTTGTTTTCTAACCCAAGGAAATATTGATAGAAACACACAGTTGTCAGTATCTAATGAATTGTTTGTATTATTAGGTTAAATATATAGATTTTTTTTATTTCAGGACACACACAGGCTTCAAACCTCTGAAGTGCAAATACTGTCTTAGACCTTTTGGAGATCCCAGCAACCTCAACAAACACGTGCGTTTACATGCAGAGGGAGATACTCCTTATAAGTAAGTCTACTATTTCACTTTATAGGGGTTGAGAATGGAGGAAGCCAATACATAGCAAATGGGACAGAATGTTTCGGAAATAGCTTATTGTAGTGATTTTGTTAATCTCACATCCCAGATCTTGTGATAACACTTAGTTCAATTTGAAAGTTTCAGAACATTAGATTTTGTTTTTAGAGGAAATACTCTGATGTTACAATTTACGGTAAAAATCTACTCATTTCTACTAATTTCTGGTGACTGTATCATCGTAACTGCAGCTGAGTGGTTTTAGTGTTCACCTGGTAAAAGGTTTCCATTTCGATCCTGAGAAAGGTGACTTGGTAATTTGTTGATTCTATTCTAAACTAGACTCAGCTGCTGTTGATCATTGGCCTTGATCGTGGTCCTGGATAGTACATCAGCTGGTCTTGGTCAGTAACTAAGGTACACATATTACCACATAACATTATCACTCATCTTGCAACTTGCAATAATATTCGGCTTAGAATACACAGGGTGCGTGTCACTAACTCAAAGGACAAAGTCCAACACCGCCCCCTCGTCATATACTACTACAACACTCACGATGAAGGAAGATCCTGATTTCAGTGCAATAGGAATTTCCGCAGTGCTCGCCGCTCAGGCTCTTCTCAAGTATCTTTCTGGCACAACCCACAACATACTAGAAAGTTTCCATACTATACTAGATCTCACAGTGCAGGGTCGTCCCGTAAGCATGTTTGCCCTGAGCCTTACTTCTTTGTGGTTCCATCTTAGTATGAAAAGAAAAGATTGTACCTTTTGCTAGATTTAACTGTTTTCCTCCGTCCTTTTACCCCATTACCATTCAGATCAGTAACTTACTGCACTTTGGATTTTCTTTTGCAAGTTCTCTGACCAAAGTTGAAAGTGATGGGAACGAGAGTAGCAAGACTTGCAAATGTCATTGACATATGTACTTCAATTGCAAAATATAACTTTTCTTTGACTTGGCCATATATGATTGTTGTGCTTTATAGCTGTTTATTATACTGTTATATCATAGTTGGATGGAATTCCAGATCTAAAAATGGTGTCATGGTTTCTTGTTGAAATTGGAATTTCTAATAATTAATGGTTACATTTTGTTGCAGATGTGAGGAGTGCGGAAAGGTACTGGTAAGAAGGAGAGATCTAGAGCGACATATCAAGTCTAGACACCAACCCGATGACAGTGCATGAGTCAACTGCTATGTACAGTGTATATTGTAACAATAGGTAGCATTTTATAAGATCAAACTAAATACAGAAGGCACTATTATCAAAATTTGAGGCTCTTCATAACAGTCTTAACACTCAAGATTAGCTAAAATTGTAATATTTTGCACTTCAATCTTTGTTTTATCCTTAAACTTTGCTGACTATGGCTAAGGTAGATCTATAAATTCTATTTCCACGGATAAGAAGCCATTTTAGAAAAAAATATATGTAGTTGAATTAAGCCATAGACAGTGTACGCTATAATATTTGATCTCATATCAACTACCATAGTAACATAGGGGAGGGAATTACTTTTTACACCGTAACCCACTCTATGAGGGTCTCATTCACTCAGGCCACTTTCGAGCAAAATTTTATAGGTTTTTATGGGAAAATCAACATTAAAAATCGGACTACAGTTATGGTCTGTAACTCTGTACACATCCACACACACATCACTTTGAAAACTGGGCCCAAAACGGATCATATCCACTCAAAACTCAAACATTTTTACGAAAACAATACTTTCTCCATTTCCTAGAAGAAGAAAGTAAAAATTAATAGTGCTGCACCCTGTTGGTGAACCATATCACGTTTTAATGCTATTTAATATCATACTTTTATTCCTTTTAAATATGAATTCCCACAACACAACACAAGGTTAACATGGGAAACTCCAGACCCACTGGGGCGGATGCCCGAAAGGATTTTTTGATATAAGAGTGTGTCTATATGCTAATCTAGAATGTGAGCTACATATCACATCAAATTTAAGCCTAACCCGACCAGTATTTTTAGTGTTTACTTGTCACAAAAATAAAATTGATTCTCTACAAGTTAAAGATTTTTGTTGGGATAGCAGACTTACCTAAATGGGAAAGAAACTACTCTGGCAGGAGAAAAACTAAAGAAAATACACCACTATGGGTTATATTTTCTACCTTTAATAAGAGACTACCGACTTCACTCAATGTAGGATACAGCAGAATAAAACAAAAGAGGTTTTTAACAAATTTTATTTAAAACGGAACGAAGTTAGCCTGAGGCAGCTTTGGCAGCGAGACGTTTGTCTCTCTCCTCTGCGATGGTCAGCTTGACTCCCTTACCCTTGGGCAGAGACACGTACGGCTTGGTACCTTTGCCGATGATGAACACGTTTACTAACCTGCAACAGACCAACCAAACGTTGTGAAACAGATTAAATATAAGAGACAAAGTAGGCACTGATGTCTCTAAGGTTTTTTATTTAACTTTACCAAATTTCTTGGAGTCAAGAAACTATTACTGCATCGTCGTCGTGATGATCCATCCAGTGAGCTGAAACCCCACTGTACTGAGGCTGTTTTAGGACCATGCCTGTCGTCATGACGAGTCTTAGGTTCATTAGGTAGACTATAGAACTGTAGGTTTAAAAAATATGGTTTTCAGATTGTATATGTCCATTTCTATTTCAACATCTGTTTGAATGAGAGTTAGCAAACCAGCCGATGTATTTAAAGGTTTTTATGTTTTCCCGAAGCTTTACGATTTAATTCAGATTATAATGATAAATAATTTGGTACAGAGCATATTTTTTCATACCTATGGGTTACAAAGAATTTCTGTTTGCAAAATACAAAACAGAAGGTGTCCTACATTTTATTTATGGAAACTCAACTATATTAAATTGAGATTTCTAAATCACCGATACACCATCAGAATTCTCTACTTCAAGAAATGAAATGAAATGAAATATGCTTTATTGTCTTTTGAATTTTAACAAATTATTGACAACGTCATGATACAGCTAAACAAACTTATAGCACAGTCAGTTAATAATTAATTAAATACTTATAGCTAACTAAAAAAAGGAGACAAGATGAACTTTGATTTTTAAATTAGACTTAAACCAAAGTTAAAATTCCCTTTCATTATCTTCACGTTATGATTTATGTTCAACTAGCTGGCCCGACAGACGTCGTCCTGCCCTAATGTGGTTTTATGTCAAATGCTCGTTCATTTTCAAGATGAGCTAGTTCGCATGGCTCAATCACGTTCTGGTTAAAGTTTGTTCGCTACGCTCACTCACCTTTAGGTTGGAGCTCGTTTGCTACGCTCACTCACTTTTTGTTTGGAAATTAGCTGTTGTCATAAATTAAAAAAAATAATAGTGCTGCACCCTGTTGGTAACCTATTAACTTTTTAATGCTATTGAACATCACAGGATCAAATTGTTTAGATGAACCAGCTGTTAAGATTCTTTATTTCCATTTAAATATGAGTACTCATAAGGTAAACATGGGACATTCCAGAGCCACTGGGGCGGAGCCCTTTTGAACAATGCCTGAAAGTTTCATTACAATCTGTCGAGCGGTTTTGGAGTCCACAAAGGACAAACAAACATACATACACACATTGGATTTTATATATATAGATATATTTTACATTTGTTTCACCTAACACCATGCTATAACTAGATAATTATGCACAATCAGATAAAAAAAACTACTTAAATAATTCTTTTTTTTATTTATCAAGGATGTTAGCTAATCAAATTAACTGTTAAGCTTTTATTTTTGTGCCAATCTTCACTGTCAAGGATCATCAATGACAGCTTCCACTCAGCACTCAGTGACTTTATTTAGAAAAATACTTCCACATAAAAACATGAAGCTTGAATAAATTTAGTATTGCTTATGTATTAGTTAAGCATTCGAAAAGACCACAGAGATTTGTAAAAATAATGTTGCCGTGATAAGTAATTCTTGTGGATCATATTTTAACATTTTAAAAAAATAACAAAAAAGAATTCAAATTATAATTTGTAATCTGTATGAAAAACTGACACATTAAACATGAATCAGTGTGGAAACCAGAATTTACTTTAGGCTATGACTGGGTTAAACATGTCCAACTGTTCAATATAATTGAAGACATTGGATATGTATATATAATTTCACTTCCAATGATAGCCACGAATAAACCACAAGATACCTAAAATGAGTTTACAGAGCTGGTCAGATAACATAGCATTACTTAAAATCAATAAAAATATTCTTTTTAAACCTTCCAGTATCATTCTTAGAAAAAGATAAATTGTTTCAGAAAATTGAGAACGGTTAAAAACATTGTTTAGCCATATAAATAATCCATCTGAAATTGTTTTATGCCAATGTTTTCACTGAGAAGAACAAGAGCTCAACCCAGCTTCTCCAAGGCAAAAATCTTTAACTATAATTACTACATTTCAGATACTTTTCCTCTTATTGTAAAACAAATAAAATCAAAATCATATGTAGGTAACACTTGATAAAATCCTCGTTTTTATTATTTGTCAATACAAGTTGATACATTTTGTTCAATAGTAGAAGATATCTCAATTTAACTGTTTGACAGGAAAAGGTGTTCAATTCATTTAAAACTACTCATATACTATGAACAAGGAATATTTGAGTTTTGGATGTTTAATAGGTTTAGAAGCTTTTTTTAACATAGTACACAGAAGTAAGAAAAAAATACTTGACTTTACTCAGTTCAATATTGTTAGGTTATTTATTTGTCCCTCAGTTTTTTATTGCAATCACATCTCTCATATAGAGCTAATGAACAAAACATCACAGAGACAAAAACTCCAAACAGCAAAAACATACTTTTGGTAAGGGGTTTAAAAACATATATTTAACACGTTCGCTACTGCAATAGTACGAAATTTTCCATTCACATGGACCAGCGACGCACATATGCGACGGCCGGTTTCCATCCATAGACTGCCGTCGCATATATGCGACGGCTAGTCACATTAAAATAGACTGCCAACGCATATTTGCGTCGGGGTTTTAATGTTATTAAAATGCTTATATCTTTGTTGTGGTCTATTTGAAGGCACTGAATTCCCTGCAGTGGTCTACAGAGATGTCTGACGCACAACTGCGTCGCTTGGTCTGTGGATATGATGATTGGTGACGTCATATAATAGTTGGAAAAACTGGTCTTTACTTTTCTGCATCACTGTATGTATGTATGCAGTATGTATGCTGCATTATCCTATGTAGCTTTTATATTTGTTCAGTTATAAACTGTTCTTGAATAATCTGTTTATTTTTTTACTTACTTTCACCTTAAAACACAAAAAAATGAACTGTCGCATATATGCGACGTTTAGTCTATTTCAAGAAAACTATGATAATTTTCACTATTGTCTTAGCTGTAGACCGGGCGTCGCAAATATGCGACATTACTACAGGTTATAAAAATACAAAAAAACAAGAATAATTTATTTACAAACACGATTGTAGCGTATTACAATGTAAATGATCACTGTTTTACAGGTTTTCGCCCGTGGTCTGTGTGTACTGTTATCCAAGTGACAGACGGTCTATGTGTAAAATTCAAATGTATACCTCGGTCTGTGGCAATGACGGCGGCGTCGCATATATGCGACGCTCAGTAGCGAACGTGTTAAACTACTTGTAGAATATCTCAGTAATACTGAGGCTATGCATCTTTATGAACATTTTTAATTTATCCTTGTTACATATTAATAACAACTAAAGAATTGATTAGTTTGAAACCTAAATTAGTTTAGAGAGCTCACCCCGTGGTCGAAAACTCGACCAAAAGTACGTATTGTGCAAACTTCTCTTATTTCACCCCACACTGTAAATAAAACATGTGATAGGAAATTATTTAATTTATTTGATTTTCTGTTTATATTTTGTTGTTATTTTGTCACCAACATGGCAACCCATAACACCGATATTATTATTTTTTATTTGAAATTGATTTTTTTGTTCTTATTCTTAAGCATATTTTAATTTATAAAGGGATTGTTCACATCTACAGGAAAATATCTTTCATTTGGTACCAAATGTGTGTAATTCAGTTCAGTAGAATGGTCAGGCTAGCTGTCATAAGTTTTGCAAAAGTTGTTTATTAGTTGATTAATAAAAAATAAAAATAAATGCTTTATGAAACTTACTGTAACACAATGTATGCACTAGCACAAAATTTACCAGTGATCAACCCTCATTTTATTTCCATCGTAACCTTTGTTAATTATCTCTGCCATCAGTAACTTTTATTCAATGACCATATAGATACAATAAACAAGATTAATAAGACAGAAATTCTATGGAAAGTTAATTATATTTTTTAACGCTTGCTTAAATTAACATATGTTTGGACAGTGAGGTTTCATATTTGGACAAAAATGTACAACTAACAGATGAAAGCATTAATTGGCTTTGTTTAAGATAGGCTTAAATCAGGACAAATTGTATGAGTATACAAACATATCTGAAGGGTTTAAACTTACAGATTTGTTAAGATTACATGTATCAGATTGTTAGTAGCCCAGCCAGTATTGCGTGGCAGGGAGTTGCAATATATCTGAGTTGTTGTTGCACAACCTTAACTGAGGAACTGTCACAAATACAGTCCCCGGTACCGATATTGTGCTACTTGACAAATATTTTAACTTTTCACAACTTATGATGGTTCAACAATGAGGATTGAGTACAAATTCATGCACAGTAACCAACTACTTTTTTCATGTAAGTTTTTAACTAAACTTCACATTATCTACAAAACTTGCAAAAACCCAATTCAAGCTTTACCACCTTTAAAAAAAAAAAATTAAAATATAATTATGTGATGAAAAATAAACGTTCTTTGCACTGAAGAGATTCCAATGAAATATTTATAAAATATGGTATCCAAAGTAGAAAATAATTTGTATGAAAAAGGTCTCTCATTAAACATTGTCTTCATTCAAATTCAGAAGTACCAATTGAATAAAAGTAATCACAGAGACAAAATCATATGTAGAAATATGTTGCATTAAAATAAATTAAACCATTGACTATTGGATACTGAAGTACACTTCCCATCTATATGGACCAGCTGTAGCCAATCTTTCATTAAAAAAGAACGTAGTTGTGTGAGCCAGTCACAGAATGCGCTAGTGACTAAAACTCTATTTTCTACCTTATTTTTTGTTGCTGGCCAAGTTGATGGGTCATAACGATTGATAGCTCACAATAAGTCATTCCATTAGTTTGAAATGTTAAAAAAGATTGTGTATTCGACAGAAATCAGCACAATCTGTCGGTGGCTCACATCAACTACGATGTTTTGGTTAAAAAACCGGCGTTAAACCTAGATACACGTTTGCACCCTCTAATCTCAGTAGTTATTTATTTATTATTTCATAGTTATTTATTATTTACTATGTAGTTTCAGAAGATTTTGTGGACCAACACTCTTAAGTACTATAAATTAATGTATCAGAATGTTAGTAGCCCAGCCAGTATTGCGTGGCAGGGAGTTGCAATATTTCTGAGTTTTTGTTGCACAACCTTAACTGAGGAACTGTCACAAATACAGACCCCGGTACCGATATTGTGCTAGACTTATCATAAATTGCAAATATTATGTAGCAATCATTTAATGTTTTGTTGTCAATACACAGGTGAACAAAAAATATTCGCCAAGACAATAAATTATCATTAATGATGTGATTATGGTATGTAAACATTGTAAACTTATTTTTATACTGTCAAAAATCAATCCTGGAGGCATGATAACTAAATTAATCTTACTGCTAGGACTTAGTTGCGATTTTACTCAAGCTCTAATTTTAATGACCAAGACAAAGCCATGCGAATGGAGGATTTTTCATGAGTCTAAACTATGATAAATGACAAGTTAAGTCAGTTCTAACACTTTCAAGAAGCCTAAACTTGACTCCAAATTAATATTAAAAGCCCAACGAAATAAAAATCAAAATATGTTTGACAAAGTTAAATTGACTTGATCCAGACGTATGGCAACATGAAATGCAGTTTTTATTTTATGTAATAGACAGAAATCTTTATTGAAGAGAAGTATCAATTTGGAAATGAAATGAAAATCCTTCTTTATTGAGGCGAACTTAGGACCTCATGGTCCTTTCTGTAAACAACTAATAATAACAATAAACTATTAACAAAAATACAATATTGTACATATACACAATAACAGTATTGCAAACTGTATTAATCTTGGGTAATACTTGTAAGACAACAGCCTACAAGTGACCTTTAAGGTTAATCTTTGCTGTAGGCCGAGTTTTGACTGAGATAAACAACACTTTATTTCAGCTTCGATCCGGCCACTACTGTAACAACAATCAAATATATTAACGTTGATCTGTGATCAAAAGAAGTGATTAGGCTTAAGTTTTTGTTGCAAATGCAAGGGGGCTTGTAATGACAATGCTGTGATTCTGACACATTTATAAGTAGGTACATTATAATAACTGATGAGAAATAAACAATTAGGATCAATATCCCGGGTTGATTCAATGTCTTGAAACTAACATGAAGTTATTATGTTGACCATAACTGACATGATGGGCACTTAAGGTTTAATTGGAGTTAAGGCCTACAGTAGAACCCCTATTAACGTCACCCTCAGGACCGGGAGCCTATTATGTGAATAGACAGATAACAGGAATCATCTTATAAACCTGTACAGTAAGTTGATTTAAAAGGTTTTGGAAGAAATTAAACCCTGTACAAGTGAATAATACATATTTATGTTTAAATAATATTAGTACGATTACTTACATACAAGAGTCATACAGAACTTTAATTTTGTATGTTGTACTCTTTAATGTTCGTAAAGTGTATAATAAAATTACATTTAAAAATGAAAATAAGTACCGTACTCTAGCTAGGTTACGGCTTTGACTATTAATACAACGTTACGGATAACAGAGTGATGGATTATCGAGGTTCTAATGTAGCCTATAGACTTGATTGTACTGCTTAGTACAACATTTTAATTGGGGATTGTATGGTTGACATTTACCACTAAAAGCAAAAATACTTAAAACAGTGAAACCTCAATGGTTCCGGTTTAAACTTTGTGGACCAAGGGAATGACAAACTATCAAAATGGAAGCTATAGGTAAAGTTTATGGGAAATTTCCCCACAGGTTAAAACAGGAGGTAAAGCTAACAGATTTAATAAATAGTAGAAAATTAACAAATATCTTATCAACTTACATCACTACTACATTCTTTTCTTACTGTATAAAATAGTTTGTCATATTCGACTGCTTTTCACTTCTTTGAATGTTAAGAAACATTTTTAAATCAATCGGATTGTTGAATTATTGATTTTTTATTATGAAAAGAATAAGATAGTTCTATTTTTTTACCTTAAAGACCCTGTCATCGGCCGCTCATATCATGTCATCATAGACCTAGTCAAACGATCAAGGTTCTACTGTATTATGATTCAATTGTGACAGTGCAACAATAGAATCCTCACATCACTAATCCACTATAGCAACCTTAATTAAATCAGTCACGTTTTCATAAAGTTATTATAAATGTATGGCTCTTAATAACAGCAGCCTACTCCTGGCTGATATATGCCAGGTCTATAATATAGACCAACTCTCAGAGCCATCGTGTGTATGAGTGGAGAACACTTTACACACAGTTGCTGTCCCACAGATACACAATCCCTTGTATATTGCACATGCCTTGCAGATAAAGTACTTGTATCTGTGGGTCACTATGGTACCCTAGTAATTCAAGTAGAAAATTAAAAATGATTCAATGAGTTTTCATTCCAGAGATTAGAGTTGGTTTTCATTTCATATTAACATGTCAATTTTAAAGGTATAAAATTGATGCAAAAAATTGTTTTAGACAGTTTTTTTCATAAGTTCTATTCGGGAATAATTATTACACGAAGATCTAAATAGTTAGATTAACAATCCAGATGATCTCATGGATTGAAATAGCTGTAATTCGTAATGAGTGGAATATTTAGTTTCTAAAAAAGGCTTACTTTCATATAATGTATTTGAAAAACTTCAAAATGTATTAACCTAGGGTAATACTTGCAAGACACAAGTCTTCAAGTGACCTAAGGCTAATCTTTGCTTTAGGCCGAGTTTTGACTGAGCTAAACAACACTTTATCTCAGCTTCGATCTGGCCACTACTGTAACAATCAAATAGTACATTGATTTGTGATCACATGAAATGAAAATTGGCACGACTTAGTCGTGATTTATAAGAGTAGAAAATACTTTAAAACATCATGGAAACCAACTCAAGGACGTATTAAAATAATTGTACGGAGACATTTGTTTCCCTTTCTTGTCTTAGAACACTAGGCACGAGCCAAGGTTTGTTTTTCACATTACTTTAGGCTAGACCAAGGGGTTGCGGCATTATCACTTAGATCAAATCCATCGGTGATTTGGTGGGTTTTGAACCCAGGACCTTAGGGACCAAAGTCCCGAGCTCTTAACCACTACGCCAGCTCGCTCCCCACTCGCTTGGTATGGTGATATTAAAAGCAAGGATGCATAAAAAAAAGGATGATAAAGTAAGGATGTATATAATTATACATCCTTACTTTTGTAACTTGTATAGTTTTAAGATTATTTAAAAACTAAAAAAATATGATAAAATAAAACTACTCGATGATTGTGTAGAAAGTTCTCATTCATTTAAACAGTTGTGGTTTTATTTAAGATTTTTTGATGACTTCCAATCTCTTGGGAGTCCATAAAAATAGTGACACTATTTCTTGATTGAATTGTTACCTCGTACTGGTTATCTCAGTAATTTGTTTCATCATGCTTTTCAAGAGTAGCAAATACTTCAAAACATCATGGAAACCAGTGCCAAAAGGGAATTAAAATTATTTTGTTATTAGGAGCAAGAAATAAAAGGTTACACTATTGTAAAGAATTTTGCAATCTTACTTAGACACATTAAAACTTTAATGAAACGTGTAGTCTTCATGGTGCTGACTTTTATAGTATAACAGAAATACTCAAAATTGAGGGCAACATAATCACAAAAGAACTACTGAAATTGGTTCGGGAAAAAATTTGAAGCTGAGTTGAATAAGGAGCTAATGGATTTCAATCATCATGCAGAATAGAAGTCGGTCACAGATAATAATTATAATTTAAATAAAATTAGGACCTCTAAAACATTCTACTTATTGAGGTTCTTAAAACATTGTGCTGTATGGGCCTTTAAATGGGATTATAAAGGATTCAAGATACCAAGGAATTAGAGTTATTTGAGTTATTGTCCTACAGTACAATTTTTATCCTTCGTCTTCAGAGTGGAAAATTGACCCAGTGGAAAAGGAATATCAATCATAAATATGGATGATAATACATGCAATACCTTCAAGCGCAAAATATGACCCCACAGAAGTAGGAATATAAATATTTAAATCCTCCGGCGTAAGAGTAGACATTATCGTTGTCTTCTCCGACCACGGCGAAATCCTGAACATCTATCGCAATTTGTAGACATCACCATCTCTGCCAAGGTCACAGAAAATTATTGTCTCTTGCAGTCAAGAAAACCATATCAACATTTTCCGCTGTTGTGTATTACATCATTTTGTCTTCCGCAATTGAGGTTGAATTTTTCAATTGCAAAATCTTGGCAGGTAAGTAAAAAGCCAAGGTACAGTACCTGGTGGCAAAAGTGTGTCCGTTGGTGTCCTTGATGTGTACAATGTCGAAGGATCCAGGGTGACGTTCTCGGTTCACCACAGTCCCGACTCGACCCAAGTTACGGCCTCCTGTGATCATGCACAAGTTGCCTGCAACAAAAATTCAATTCATCAGTGTTCCGGGTTTAATCCATCACACAGGTATTTGATGAGCTAGGATTTACTGAAATTGAAATTGTCTCTCATCAAAATGTTTCTTCATGGTTTTCAGAAGTACCAATTGAAAATATTTTAATCACTGAGACATTAATAAAAATCATTATCTGCCTTGGAAATAAATATTTACTGTTTAAAATTTCTTAATAGGTTTACAAAACATATAAGATACTGCAACCAAAGTAAATGAGTAAAATATAACAGTGTTTAAAACCCATGAACCTATACAACCATAAAGAAAATTCCTTAAAGACAGAACATAATACCAACATGTCATTAAATAACTGAAACTAACAATTATTATTTGGAAAAAAATTAACATATTTACTTACAACTAAAGCAGTTTAAATTCAGTGGAAACTCAATAAAAGACCCTAAATCATCATTCCACATCAACAGTGTCTGTCCTCATCCAAAGTTTAGAAGTATATTAATTGAAAAAAAAATGCAGTCACAATTAATTCATTAATGTAACCTGTTGATGCTTTAAAATTTGAAGTAATTGATTGTAGAAAATGAATTTCTCAGTTAAAAAATTATTATAATTAGGTCTCTCATCATCATGTTTTCTTCATAGTTTCAGAAGTACCAATTGATATTAATAATCACAGAGACCAGTAACAAATGTAGAATATAATGTACCACTACTTGGTACCATATTAGAATAAATTCTGCTGAGTATAATTTTTCTGTATTCAAAAAAAAAAAAACATAAGTAAAACAGCATGATCATTAAAAGTAAAGCACACAACTGTATCAGAATATTAGTAGCCCAGCCAGTATTGCGTGGCAGGGAGTTGCAATAGTTCTGAGTAGCTGTTGCACATTTTACTAAGGCTCGATACAGCTGCACCAACCTCGATAACTTGTGCTAGGGTGATTAAACACAACAGTGAATGACTATTTGAGTCTCCACTTGTATCAGACATGGGGAAATAGGCTATTAAGATACAGTGTACCGAACGGAATTGTCACATCTTGTCCATATTCTTCTGTACTTCCTAATGATAAGTTTTAATGTATAGTGTTCAAACACACTGTCCAAATAACACTTCAGGCTCATTAAAATATAAGGGTCTATGTGAAAAACATGTAATTCAAGTTAACCACAAAGCCTACTTCATGACATGATCTATTGCTTGTATGATGTTTAATGATCGAATAAATCATCTATCTTGGACAAAATTAAAACTATGACTATGTATGGATGGCACATTATGCATACAAATAATATTAAATTTGTTTTTACAGGATATAACTAAACTCAGTAGATACTTAAGAATTACACTTATTATTAACAAGCTTTGTGAGATGTCTAAATGTATCAGAATGTTAGTAGCCCAGCCAGTATTGCGTGGCAGGGAGTTGCAATATTTCTGAGTTTTTGTTGCACAACCTTAACTGAGGAACTGTCACAAATACAGTCCCCGGTACCGATATTGTGCTACGGTGCTACTTAACTAGGTATGGGGTCTCAGGTCCGCTAATTGGTGGAGCAAACAATAACATAAAGAAATATTCTTTTTTTAAATACATCTTGTTTACTAATAAAAAATGATAGATTACAACATAATAACTCAATTCGATCAGCTCATTAAAAATATTCCCAAATGGATGGAACATTATAATTTAGTCGTCATTGGCGCACAGCTGTTTCCACATGAAACACGCATCAAAACAGGCTCAGATATTTCAATAAAATGAGAAGACTACTTGAACAATATAATAAAACTGTGTTTTTAGAAAAACCTATTTCAGATAAAATTTCAATTTGACAGTTTGCTAGTAAGATGAAAACATGTTTTAAATTATTTGTTTAAGCTCTAAATTAGATTAAATGATAATAAAATCAATAAAATACTGTTTATGTATTTGATCAAAGGTAAGTTACTAAATGCACTGTAATACCTTCTGTGTGTAATTTGATCAACTGTCTTCATCCAAATGGTTTTTCTTTTGAACTGTAAGTTGTATATCGGCTTGTTTTTATAAACAAATGTTTAGATTCCTTGTTTACAATTACTTAGTTATTTCGTAACCATCATGGCAACCTATAAGCATAATGTTAACATTTTCAAATTGCAAGTTAATTGTAATTGGGAATTATTTAAATTGAAATTGTTTTTAAATCCTTCTCATTGGTTGTCAAAATAGGCTATCATTGGTAAGTTAAGCTAAAATATGTGCAGCTATTATTGTATGATGGGATTACAAAGCATGAGGATGATCTCAATGAGCTGACCTTAACAAATATTTGTTCAATTTTTTAAATGTTGAGAAGACTTTTGACAAAAATTTATTGGTGAAAAAACAATTTCAATAATTATAGATTAATACAGAAGAACCATCAGCGGTTTTGTGGTCGTGCAGATCTGTTTTAAGATTCTGAAGAGTAAAACAGGCCTTAAAGTCATCCAGGTATAAAGGGAAAATGTCTCTGAATAATAGTAATAATTTTTGAAGAAAAATAAACCCTCATTTGTGTATTTTTGTTCAAGATTCACTCTTCTTTGGTTAGTTTGGTTTCTCAGTTAAGAGTTTTCATCATACTTTTTCAAGAGTAGCAAATACATAAAGCATCATTGAAACCATAGGCTATTATATCAACATAGAATTTGTTTACCACTTTTATAGCTAAATCTGAAAAAATCTTAAAATGAGCTAAAACACAGATTAAACATACTCCTATTTAGTAGATTTGTCATCCTTAATAATCAGCTAAAAAACGTTTTATTATTAGTTCCGTCTGGTACCGCTAGGATCGTGTTTTTGTTTCAAATTTGTTTCTTGTTTAAGTTATTTAAAATTGCGTTTAACCAAATAAAACTATCCTAATCATAAACGACATTATAAATACAATATCCTCTGGCTAACTTAACAATAATGGCTTTGTGAGTGAAAAGTAGAATTTTCAGAATCTAATCAACGGTAGAATTAGGGTAATACAGAAGATTTGGTTATTGTTATGTGATTTTTTAACATCTGATCTTCCATGTGTTATTCTACCATCCCTCTAGACAACTGATTTATGAGAAATGGTGTGATATAACCGTGCAGGAGGACTGTACACTGTATTGGGTAGCTTGAGACAACACCTATTGCTGCAGCTGACTGTACCCAGAAAAAAACGTGTCAGACTTTATCTCCATTTAACTTTACTTTGTTATTGTTCAAGTGCCATTCAATAGTTTGTCTACCACTCATACCTGGATCAGTGTTTCCATTCGCGGGATTATTATCCCGAAAACGGGATATTTGGACCTTGAGCGGGATTAAAACGGGATGCAGGATAAAACGGGATTTTCGGATGTGACGACTATTTTTAATTTTTCCTACTTAATTTTAGAGAAAAACTAACTCAAATTGATAAAATACTGTAGCATAATATAATAGTGATGTTTAAACAACTTTGTAATGTAAACATGATACGTCAAGTATAATACTCAGTATTGTACAAAAAAATCATGCGGGATAAAACGGGATTTTTCACAATTTAAAAGCGGGATAAAACGGGATTTCGACCCAGTAAACGGGATTATTTTTTTTTTTTTGTCGTGTGGAAACACTGACCTGGATATCTCTCAGCTGAATGACTCAAATCAGAGAAAGCTAATGGTCCAATAACATAGGCTACAATCTAAAAAATAAAATAAAAGACAACTACGGTACTCTTTAAAATTACTACTTTTAAATATTTAGGCTACAAAGGGTTTACTTATTATTTCCCATGTTGTCCATCCTTTATGTTTATTATTTTAACCTTGTCGTGGTTTAAACAGGACAAGTGGATAATATTGTGGAGTAGGCTATGCATTACACAAAATGTATTTATATTTTAAAACATAATTTTTCTAAAGGCTACCTGTAGGCCTAATTTATAAAACTTGATTGATATTGGGTAAAATTACTGCAGTACACAGTTAACTTCACACAAGGGCTGTCTTTATCACCATATAAAGGCAATAAATGTATGGCTCAATACTATAGTCGGGACAGAGGTCCAGACCAACTCTCCGAGCCACCGAGTGTGCTAGCGAGAGCCACAGCCCAGAACGGGAGGAGACAAACGCTCTACACACACTATTGCTGTCCCACAGAGGTAACGCTCACAGGCCAACAGCTCTGTGCGCTGACTTATCTGTGGTTAAAATCCTACATTTCTGGTATATTTCATCAATTTTAATCTAGTCTAATGGTGAGCTCTGCTAACTTGGTGTTAAACCTTTGACTATTGGTAGCCTAGTAGACAACAATTAATGAAGTTGTAGTTGGTTTTTAAATGAAAATTATGTTGTTAAATACAATCAACAGTGTGCTGCAGTCAATTATTGATTTTTGTGGAACATGCCAATTTTTTATCAACCTTTCAAAACTGAAGAAGAACTGAGTGTAAACTATAGCACTTAGTAGAAAATAAATGGCTTGTGTTCTCAGAATCACAGATTGTTTCATTAGAGGTCAAAGGATTGGCTCTGTATTTCAACATCACTGAACACTTGGGAGATTACTTTACTCAAAAGGGAAAAATTAATTTTAATGATTATAATGTTTAAAAAAGTTGTAGAATGTTTGTTCACCAAGTTGACGGTAAAAAGATGACTAATCCCCACAATGTGATGCTTCGTCCTACTCATCATCAGTTCTACCTAGTTTTATTCTATTAAAATAAGATAAGTCCTACTCAGACCTGTTTAAATAGCCCAGTTATTCAGACTAAGTGGATCGGGATTAGCGTGGCTTATCATGGACAAAGCCGCATGGATTTATATTTTAAGAAAATATCACTTTTTATGTTTTTAAATAGGTTATATAAGTCAATCAATTTAATAACCAGAGGCAGAATGTCACAAAATATTCACTTAAAACTGTGTGCTACTGACAAAAACAAATCTCACCAACTAGTATTCCGGATTGTATTATAAACAAACAATTATAAGTGTCCTCAGATTATATAGTTAGTTTCACTAAGTTCAAAGGATTGGCTCTGTATTTAATCATCATAGAACACCTATCAAATTTCATATTTACAATAAAGTTATTGTAGGTAAGCCTAGGCCTATACTCAAATAAGGATCAAAAGTAAGTTATTCGAGTAAGAACTCTACAAAATCGATTCAACACAATGTATTCCCTTTGGGTAATACTTGTAAGACACAAGTCTCCAAGTGACCTTAAGTGAAACATTATTGTTGGCCAAGTTTTGACTGGAGTAAACGAAAGTCTACTACAGCTTCGATCTGGCCTGTGAAACTATCAAAACTTGTACAATTAAAATTTCCAACTGTGTAGAATAAGTATGCAAGACTTTAGAAATAAGAACATATAGGCTAGCTATTTGTTGAAATCCTAAACAAAGCAAGAGTACATTACATAATTGGAACATAAACATACCATAATTACTCAGAGAAATCAAATAAAGGCATCAATGTGAAGCACCATATTGTTCAGAGTTTTGACAGAAGAGGTTTTATTTGAAATACAAATAAATTTTACTAATTTTAAGATTTTAATTTTAAGATTTTACTAATCAAGTCAAAACAAGATGAATTTCTGTTCTCAGATGAGTAAGGTTTATTTCATGGGACTTCAAAGGATTATGCCTTAGATCTCATCTATCATCACTGAACAGAAAACATGGCATCATGTATAAAATTATAAAAAAAAACATTCTCTGGTTAGAAATGAAGGAGACATTGAACAAAATCTAGAAAATTATTCATCACAAAATTATCTATGTTGAGAAATTGTGAGGGATATAAAAATTAAAATTCTGTCCTCAGATGAGTCCTTACTCATCACTGGACATCAAAGGATTATGCCTTAGATCTTATATCTATAATCACTGAACAGAACACTAATTGTTTACAAAATGGTATGAGATCAGACATTGGAAAAGATGTCATTAATTAAGTTCATAGATTTATTTAATATATCGTAGCCATGATTTTACCGATTAATGATCTACAGTTAAATTATTGTTACGCACGCCTTTGACACAATCAATGATTCATCTCTAATGATCGTGATGGAAAATCCAGCCAACATTTATGAATAACAATGCAGACAGCTTTTAAGAAAATAATTTGATGGAATACTTTCAAGGCTTGATCGGTAGGAAGATTATGCAACAAGATGTGTATATCATTGCAAAAAAAGTAAATTTATGGGCTCAAGGATCATTAACATATTAAAACAATAAGCTTAGTATTGTCTGTCTAGACAACGGAAAGCCCTAAAATTTCTACATCATCATTTTTTGCTGATGAATAGTTTTCAAAGAATAACTTTAAAATCAACAGATGTAGTGAAGGCCTAAACAGTTGTATGTTTATCTGAGTATCTTAGTTCCATATGAGTGAGGTTGTGTCACAGCCTAGAGTCCCTTTAAGTAGTGTTTACCTTGAAGTAATTCAACTAATTAACTTGTACGGTATAACCTATAACAAGACTCTCATGGGGATTATTGAATAAGACTTGTTATCAAGGTTGACTTCTTTTTGAGGCTTACATGTGATTAGGGGTCAAATAAATTCGAGTTGATTTGAAAATGGCACTTGTTATTAATTATCTATGTTCTTGTAATCAAGGTTCCACTGTAACTAGATGAAATTTAGAAACCTAAATAAACCTTTAAGATCAATGGTGCCTCCTGATTCCTCCTGGAGCTAATTCTTCTTTGCATAAAGCACCTAAAAGATATTTCATAATACGATTTAAAATGACACCACACTAACCTGAGTCGAACCTGATGTAGTCGGTGATCTTGGAGGTGGCAATGTCCAGCTGGATGGTGTCATTGACCTTGATGAGAGGGTCAGGGTATCTGATGGTGCGGCCATCGTGAGTCACCAAGAACGGGATGCCCTTGGGTCCTGTCTGAACCCTCTTCACCTTGCACAGCTTGTACTAAAAAACAAAAGAGATTTATGCTTTACATTAATTCATTTTGATATTTTTTCTCTTCAACATAGGTTTGGAATTTCTCATAGTTTTTCAATCTGAACAAAATTTTTACTGAACACAAGGTAAGTGTTTTGCTTCATTAGTTATTTGCAACACACTCAAATCAATGCTAAATAGTACAAAATAATTAAATCAATGTAATGGCATGACATAAAAAAATATTAGGATCCATTGTTTAACAATAATAGGTTAGATTACACAAGAGCGGAAAATCCAGCTTTTCATGTGATGTAGTGACATAGTAGATCTAGAATGCGGTCAAAATATAAGAAGGTTAATTAAATGGATAAGAGTGTAGGCCTAAAACTAAATTTGGAGTAGCCTAAGAGAAATCTTGTATATCAAACAACTAACTTTGTTTAACAGATTTATAGATTTGTTTTATAGATTTTGAACTAGGACTAAAACTTAGGCCCAAGCAAGTAACTCTGATTACCTTAGCCTCCTCGGCAGTTATTCTGTGGATTGTGAATCTTCCCTTGACATCGTAGATCAGACGGAAGAACTCTCCAGTCTTCTCAATTGTGACGACATCTGAAAAAGATCAACTTGATAAACTCTAATTTAACCGCCTGCAATTATTATGATTCAACTCAACTAGATCTTCATGGACTAAAAACCCTGTAGCCTGCCGGTATAGATTTATTAATTTTTTGTTGATTATTACAAGTCACAAAGTAGATAAAAATAAGCCTTAATAACACATGATCGGTACTCAGCGTGACAAATTTTTTTTGGAAGTACAAAGTAAATGAAGTCCGATGATGCATATAAGAGGTTTTAAGTAAAGTTATTTAACAAGGTAGGCTACCTACTGAAAACATTTTCAGTGTTTACTATAATAGGTGCGTTTAAGTAAAGGAGAAATAGTCTTAATCCTAAGAACACCGATGATTTCATCCAAATTACCCTTTGAATTCAAGCGACTACAATTTCCTTTGCGTCTTACTATAGATAAAAAAATATTCCCTTAGTTTTTCTTGTGTTGATTAGTCTATGGTCTTACTTTTGCAATCATTACTATAAGGCACAAGGGCAATCCCTGACTATTGTCGGTTTAAATTTGGTAAATGCATGTTTTTCACATGGACAACTGTATGTTGGATGCTCACGTGGTGGTAGGTACGCCTAAAAACTTAAATATATTTATACACCTAATGAAAAAACAAAAAACATTGTTTGTCCACTGACAATTAAGTAGGCTAAAATAAATATTTTATTTTTGTTTTTGGTATACATTATTATTATTTATCGTCTAGAACAAATTCCATATAGCCCTTAACTAATAGTTATTAGCGCAGCAACACGCGCCAGGTAACTGCTGGTAGGCCTAAAAAATGTATGTCATCTCTGAATACAAATCCACAAGTTAAAAGATAATGAATAAATTAGGCTAAGCGAGGGCTCTGCAATCCAGATTTGATGAATATTTCACTCCAAGGCTAACTTATTAATCACAGAAAGAAGCAGTAAAATAAAATTTGTCTTGACAAAGAAGATAACACAAGTTTTTAATTTCTTACCCATGAAACCAGCAGGGTAGTTGGGGTCAGTTCTTACTTTTCCGTCTACTTTGATTAACCTCTGCATGACGATTTTCTTCACCTCGCAGTTGGTGAGGGCATACTTCAAGCGGTTTCGCAAGAAGATAACCAGTGGTAAAGACTCTCGCAGCTTGTGAGGCCCTGTGCTCGGTCTTGGTGCGTAAACACCACCCAGCTTGTCCAACATCCATGCTTTAGGCGCATGAAGACGCTTCAAGTGCTTTTTGGGCCCACGAGCCTACAACCATTGTTAATATTAATTAACAACTTTCTATTCGTCAGTGTAGACTATGTATGCCCAAAAACATTATGGCCAAGAATTATATTTTTTTTTATTTTATTTGTTTTAAACCTGTTATTAAATTTTAACGTTATGTAAGTAAACACTAAGATACAACCTTAAAATGTGCCATGAGGGTTCTAGTATTAAATAAGGGTGCTTATCCTGTACGATAAATTTAATTCTTTTAAGCAATCAATTAGCCTATGTCTTGGCTCAGAATAAAGTAATGCATCACACAAAATTCAGACGCAAATTACCCAAAGATGAAACATCACGGCCAAGACCTAGGTTTATATAAGATTAAAATTGAAGTTGTGGCCTACGCGGTAAGTTAAGTTACTCTGTAAGGAGGGTGTTAAAATCTCAATCGAGCATCAGATTACCAAAAGTAGGCTGGTACTAAAAATCATGTGTGTTGGTATCAAACATTGAAGTTTTGCAATTACGGTATTGAATTTGTTGTGTCAGTGTGACACATTATTGATGGAAATTCACTAATAGAATCAATGTTTATGAGTGATAATGAATTATAATTGTTGATTCAAAACGCATACAGTAGCCTGATTTTTTTTCCCAATAAACCTATTTTAAAATTTAGTACCGTAACTCAAAGCAGCACAGGTCTAATTTATTATTTGTTAACCTATTAATCTTACAGCTACAGCTATTATTTTTAGACATTAATTTGCAAAAATGCAAATTTTTTATACAATTTATATAGTTTCAATGAACCTTTCAAGCATAAAGCCATCACAAACCCCATCACAAACCGCCATTAACCAACAAGATCCCAATTCAAATGGTTAAAATCCATAATTAAACCTAAGAATTTTGTGAATTTTATTGTCTCTACTTGACTTTGCTCTATTGATATGGACGATTCCGGATTGTCTTTATTTTCTACCTTGTCTTTATTCCTACCTTGTCAACATAAATGATATGTTGACAAGGTAGGCCCACTCGTGGGATCATCCTACGCACCAAATTACTAAGTTATGTACCGATTTTGTTGTAAAAAGGCAACAAATCAATACAGGGTAACGCGAAGAACAGTCAGCTGGTTTAAACAATAGATCAGTATAGACCAGAATGCACCACGCACTAAAGTAGGAGAGGGGATAAGGTCTAGCCGGATGGTCACTTGCTTCCAGCAGGACCAGTTCCTATCCAAATCTCATCGTAGCTAGTTCGGTAAAATTGTTTTTCGTTCGTGGAAATTAAATTCATTTCGCGGCGTTTGGTCGGGCAATCTTATTTTTCCTTAAAATCGTACAGCCTATATCCCTAAGGGATATAATTGCCCCGCGATTGGAAATTAGTATCAGTGTCATTGTCAGAAAGTGAAAAAGTTCGTTACCGGCCAACGCAGTTCCGCCATTTGAAAATTACACGTTCGTTTCACGAGTTCAATTGATCGCGTCTTGTAGAATACCGGCTAGTTACATTTCCCAATCCCTTCCCCTTTATTTGTGTCATATTTGTGGACGTCCAAACTGTAAGTAATTTGAGTTATTTATTTGTTAATGTAAGATTTCAGTGAGTCGCACTTTTGTAAATTTTTCCTGTCTTGTTTTGTCATTTCATGTAGAATAAGCACATGTTCACAGGTTCGAGTTCAAATCACTGATTTTCATATCCATTCATATTGTAGCAATCCGCTTTATTAATTAGACTGTAACAACCCTATAGTATTAAGAATAAATAGGTAAAAATGTTTTTATAGGGCAATTCAGAGTTATTTAATAAGATTTTTTATAGTGTTGGAATTTTTACACAGAGTCATTGTTAATTTTCATTGTTGAGCAAATGGTACAATTATTTTAAAGAGTGTCACAGTCAGTATCTTTTGGGGGAAATAAATTATTATCAGAGAAGGGAGCAGGTAGCTGGTTCGATTGATGCGGAAGTGTTGTTGGAAGTTGTGCCAGTTTGAACATAGATGAACCACCAAAGTGCCAAATTAGCTATAAAATAATAAAGCAACATTCTGATAAACATTACTACGATTGAATACAATATTGTTCAATCAGTTGGACTGCGAGACGACCTTCGTTTTTAATCGTTGGCCAACGAAAGGATTTGCTTGGTACAGGTCATCTCAACCATTAGATTAAATACCACTCTTCCATTGATACTTTCGAGATCGGTGTGAAACCGCACCATACCTCCCCTTTGATAAATCCATTCAACAGTTTCAATAAATTTCCAACTGATTGTGTATCTCTAGGTCATTTTTACTTGAAAGAACACAACAACGACTGTAATCTGAAATAAGTGTATTATTAAATTCTGTGCAATAAATTCAAATTGTTACTCACTTCTAGTTCTCAATAACCTTGGTATTTTAGCATATGCAATAGTATTTGATAAACAAAAGGTAATTCAGTAAATCATAAGCCACTACAAAAGATTCACCTTTTAAGTGCAACACTAGTCACTAGTGTAGTAGTGAGCAAGTAAATTCAGTGTAGAATTAAGACTGGTAAATTGATCTCATTAAAGGTATTACTTATTGGAAGAACTACAAACAGTGCCAGGGGCGTCCCCTAAGGACCTTTGGGGAATATTTATATTTTGCAGGGTCCACTCATATTTTTCAATAACATCAAGCTTCCACTGCCAAAAAGCTCTGTCTGATATTTTTATTTTCTAGAGTTCTTCCAACCTAGGGGCAACCAACATTTGTAAAGAATTCATTAAAGAGCATTGCAAGGAGTAAATATATTTAAATATAACATTTAAATATATGAGAGTCTAAGTCAGGGTTGCTTTTCTTTTTTTTCTTTACAGTTATTAACCACTGTAAAGACCACAGAACTATAATACCGGTAACTTAAAACTGCAATCGGAAAAAGCACCAATTCCAGAAGCCAAGATTATTCTAACTTACATCATTTACTCTTTAAGTTCTAGGCCTATCACGGTTTTGCATTACCGAGGGTGGTACAATATACTTTTATTCAAGTTTCAGGATTACCGGTATCATGTTAAGTGCCTGAACTACCTAACAGGTATGTTTAGAACCAGGAGCTTCTAATACCAGAAGAATGTAAGTTAATACCAATTAAGTTAAGGTGGCCTAACATAAAATTTAAAACATAGGCTAGACCTATTTATATTTTACTGTTTGAGATAAGTTCTCAAATACCCAACGGTCTTTGGCTCAGTTAACAAAATATGCATCAGATCAATCAGACGCAAATTACCCAAGATAAATCATCATGGCCAAGACTCGTCTAAAGATTCCAATAGGCCCAAGTTAAGTAAAAAATGTCATTTAAATTTAAGGCCTATTAAGTTGAGTAAATGGCCTGGCTTAGATAGGCCTAGAGCTTATGTTTACATAACAGAGTGTTCAGCACTTTGTACAACTTACTTAGGCCTAGGCCTACTTAACTTAGTAAAACTTAGCCATGTTATTACATTTTTTTAAGTTAAAACAAGTAGGTACCGGTAGTCTTAAAGTTAGACTCCGAAGACTAGGCCCTCGAGCCTACTTGAGAGAACCAAGTAGGCTACTTGTATGAACCGTGGTACTTAGTGGGGTAGGCCTAAGTTTGTTTTAAGATTAGCCTAGGCAATGCTCGACTTGTAAAAAATAAGGTGCCGGAACTATAGCCTAACCTATTTATTGTGGTTTATAGTAGTGATGGGGCATTCAAATACTTAATTCGAATACAACCAAGGTATTCAAAGATTCAAATACTTCTGGCTGTATTCAAATACTGACATTCGGCTGGGTTTAATAATACTTTGAAGCCAAACCAATCTTGTTTGAATAGCCGGAATGAATAAATTTGAATTCGGCCGATGTGTTCCGAGTTTGAATACACTGAATACCGGTACTAGTGTTATGAATACCTTTTGGTTAATTCACAACAACAACTTAACGTTTACTTACATGTTTACACGTTTACTTTCCTTACTAAGTTAGGAATGGAATCTTTACTGTAGCCTACCCGACTCAGGAGGGATTAATAAATTGTCTCTCCTTAAAATGTTAAATTTGGACACTACCAGCATGTGTTACTTACATCATTATTTTATAAAATAGTTCAATGAAATAATGAATAGGTACTGTAGCACTGTTTTAAAATAGAAATTCACTTCTCACTAAATCTGTAATGAATATAATGAATACTTTTGTCTAGTTATTTCACAATATAAAATTATTCATTAGGCCTACTTACCTAATTGAATGAGAGAGAACAATAATCAATTTAATTCGGGTTTTAGTTTGTTTGAAATTTAACCAATAGGCCTATAGGCTAAGTTAGAGGAGAACTGAACTACATTTATTTTCATTTAAATTTATTTATACTTTAATGGCAACAATGCTTTGATTTACAAAAGTAGACTTGGGAAAATAGAAATTGCCATATTGGTTTAGGCCTATTTACACCATGTTGCCATATAAGTAGGCCTACTTATTCGAACAATTCGAACACATATATTTGAATTCTCAAAAGTATTTGATTATTCCATCACTAGTTTATGGCCTACCTATGCCTATTCTTGTACCTATTTAAGTTTAACTTATGCTCATATGTATTTTAAGTTTATCTTTTCGAAAGAGGTACCAGTACCGGTGCGTTCCCCCGCAATTCTAGCACGGAGCCTAGGCTATAAGTTTAGGCTTTATTTCTTAAGTTAATATTTGTGTTATCAATGGTTAAAAATACTTAGCCTATCCATGGCTCAACTAAGTTCCCATTTATAGTGTCACAAGTATCCCCACCATCACCATCTTTGTTTGAATGGCTGTTTCTAGGTTATAGCCTACATGCACGTACAATGTGTAACTTAATCATGCTTATCTTTCTTAATTGAGAGAGATTAAGTCATATGATAGGCTATGCTTTGAAAATAAGGAATAAAACATTTTGTCACCACTAACTTTGGCCTAGTCCTCAGCTTCACTTCGCCTAACATAAAACACAGCTAGGCACAAATTACAAACATCAGATTTTACAAAAAAATAAAAGTCTAACTTACTTAGCCTATACTGAAGGCCTCACTTACTGTCACTGTTTCATAAATCGAATGCCTGAGTTAGGATTGTCTAATCAAATCATTGTATCTATGTACCTTTGTACTATGTTTATAATGAGTTGAGTGGCGCAGGGTTTATAGGCTAGGCTAGGTTCTAATTGAATTGGAATGCGTTTAACTGCAATTGCGAAAGGTTTGCACAGAAAATGTTTAAAATTAATTTGGATAAATAACATTAAAAGAAGGTTCCATAAGATACTTGAATACAATATGAGTGTCAGATACTTTCTAAAAAATCTTGACACCTGGCTAACGGCATACAGAAACGTTGAGTTTTCACAATAGGTTAGGCACAAGATAATTACTTAAAAATTGTATGAACGGTTAGCTTACTTTGAGGACTAAACTTTACTTGTTTATACGTCTTATTACTTAACTTTTTAAAGATATGAGGTGGATTCAGGTAGATTACAATTTGTAAAATTACTGCCGAAGAGTACTCACCATGTTGGATGAAGGGAGGAAAGAACCTTTAGCTCTTCATCAAGAAGAACAACAAAGAGCTAAAACCGGAACACAATGCTGCCAATGCCAAAAACCTAACGTTCCGCATTACTGTATATATATATATATATACTAGCGGAATACCCGTGTTTCACTATGGAAACTTTCAGATTAATTGACATTTTAAATAGTAGTGTTTAAGTTCCAACAGCCTTCAGTCAACGATTCAGCTACAACCTGTTTTGCTCAAATCGATGTCATATTAAAGCAGCTATTATAATAATGTCTCAACCGGTCCCCGTCACTGTCGTATAGTATAAAATGAGTTTGAGAAGTAGTCCCAGTTTCTCACATTTTCAACAATTGATTCTCACACAGTTATTATTGTGTGTCCTATGTGTGTAAGGTGATGAAGTGATAAATGAGAATGAAGTAAATAAACACGCTTCATCTTATCTGATCACTTAAAATATTAACTGTCTACTTTCGTTTCCCAGACATTATTTTTTTCTAAATAAACCATACGTATACAATAGGTTTTTATAAACATTTTATAAAAAAGAAAAATGAATTACGCACTTAAAAAATAAAACTCCTTATTCACACACTATCAAAAATTATTTATTAAACAAATTTCCTCATTTATAAATATAAATATATACATGACAGTTTATTGTCAATGCCTTTTTGTTATGTACACAATGGCAAATAAATTATTCTGATTCATAGTAAGTATGCAGAAAATCACCTCAATACCAGGATTTTGTTTCAGGGTTTGAAGAACAAAAACACCAGTGGAAACTTTACTGGTTACACTTTTAATGTGATGGTGAAATTTCAGCTTTTCGTCCAATGTCACACCAAGAAACTTTACACTTTGGGATGAGGTCACTACTTTGTCTTCTAAAAGAACATTAAGGCCAATCCATCTTTACCCAATCTTTAAAGATTCAAAGAAAAATAGAAAGTGGAAGAGTACAAAAAAAAACTAACATAAACTAAATACATACTTGTAAATTAAATACCCCCGCCGCAGCAAACATGCATACTAAGCGAATTTCAACTTGTCTGATTACTTTTTTGCTAAAATATTTCCATAAATAAGACCCCTATTTATAATATTATTCCCTATTTAAATAACATTAGATTTAACCAGTGCTTAGGTTTGCTGCTACGGGGAAGGTAAAATGTTTTTTGACACACACACACACAAATATATATATATATATATATATATATATATATATATATATATATATATATGAATTTGAACGGATTGTGTTTTTGGCCTCTAGGGACCTCAAAATGAAAAATTAAATCGGTCCCGGGTCCATAGTAGTAGTCTTACCATGAGTAACTACGGGAATAGCTTATTCCCCTTATGGGGAATTCGCTAAAAAAGAAAACTGTTTGAGATATTTTAAATGTGAATTACCAAGTGGGAAATTGGTTAGCTTATAACCTAAAATATTGTAAAGTAAGAGCTTAACTGATATGTTTTATTTATAATCTATGCTAATAACTAGCTTGAATAACTAACCTAATTCTTCTGTATATGAAGTTACTTTACTACAATGAAGCCTGCTAAAGCAAACATGAAAGAAAAAAAGAAAAATCAAGTACTTTCAAATTTTTTGTTTTGTTGGTTCTGTCCAGGTTCTGTCTGGTCCCTTACTTCGATGGTCCCTGGTTGTGGTTTGGGTTATAGCGTCTCGGTTTCCCCTTCCAGGAACTTATGAGAACCTCTTTAGAGAAGGAGTGGGGGGCGTAACGTCACTCTGCTCTTTAGGGAACACCATTACGGGGTCGCCGGGATTTTTTTCCCCCTGGAATTTTACCCCCTGGGCAAAGCTGACGTCACTATGACGTAGTAACCTGAGTGGCCGAAAGTTTGTTCGCGGCCGGAATTTGACCCCGCGGATTTGGAAGTCTAATGGAAATAGCCAGAGCGTGATTAATTGGATTAGCGATAAAAACTAGACAACTGATGATGTACGGGCCGGATTTTTAACCCCGCATTTTTACCCCCGGAATTTTACCCCCCGGAATTTTACCCCCCGGATTTTTACCCCCTGGCCGATTTTAGAAATTGAATGATCGATTTTCTTATTTCTGTTTTTAATTAATTGTAAACATTTCATTATTTAGTAGCCTATCTTTAATTATTTATTTTTTTAAGAAATGTTCGAAACAATTATCATTCAGTTGATTGTTTATACGACACATTAACCAACTGTTGGCTTCAAAGATCGAATCCTGATACTGGAATCTAAAAATTAAAATTAAAAACTTCGTTCGATTAGTTAATGTTACAAATAAATTAATATAGGCTACTTAATAATAAAATGTTCATATTAAATTAAAACAGAATGAATCATTCTCACTAATTTATATATCCGGCCAGGGGGTAAAATTCCGGGGGTAAAAATCTGGGGGTAAAATTCCGGGAGTAAAAATTCGGGCCGTACACTCTAGGTTTTTATAATTTGATGTGTTCTGATTAAATTCACAACCGTGAAAATATATGTTTAATTCCGCGTTTAATCCATCGAGCTGATGTCGCGGAACTCAAAAGTTCGTGGCCGGAATTTTACCCCCTGGTTTGTGACGTCACGTTTGCCCAGGAGGTAAAATTCCAGGGGGATAAAAATCCGCTACCCCAACGAGAAGATAAGATTCCATCGGTGTTCCTGGCGAAGTTGATAGCGTCTAGGACTCGTGATCTGGAGGTCTCCAGTTCGAAACCCGCCGGCGACACTAAATTTTTGTCCGAGATTTTGCTAGGATTGCGAATACTTCTTAACTGTACATGTTTGTAAGAATTTGAGGCATTTATAATTTGATTTATGAACAGAACTATTTTTTTTTATTAGTAAACCTTCATTAGATTTTAACTTATACATTTTTTATATTGTCAGCAAGTATAATTGCTTGGTTAAGTTATGGCAGTTTAATTTATAATAATAACAAATTTTAAAATTATTTTATAATTAAAAATTAATTATAAGTAAACCTTCATTCGATTTTTATTCTATATCTTTTTTATATTATCAGCAAGTTTGGTTGGTTAGGTTAGGTTATGACAGTTTAATTTTATAATTAAAATTTTATAAAATAAATAATCGACGTGAGGGGCTCTCCCACAGTCCCCACTACTTCGCAGAAAAGGTTCTCATCAGTTTCTGGGAGGGGAAAATGAGACGCTAGTGCGGCTGGCTAGTGTGGTTTTTGGGTTTGAGTCTTGAGTTGAGTTGAAAGTTGAGTCGTTGAGTCTCGCTCCGCTCCTCCTCTGCTCCTCCTCCTGTTTTAAAGTCGAGCGAGTGTCAATTTTATAGGTTAATCGGTTTAATTCAGTTAATCTTAAGTAATACAAAATTACGATAATTGTATTATTAACTGCAACACAAATCTTCTTTGACGTTACGATTTAGTTAAAAGAATAAATAAATATTCGTATTTTAAGGATACTGATACCAAAGTTATTAGGTCTACTTTGATAATAAATTGTAGGCCTAGGCTAAGGTAATTTTCGTAATGGCTGGTGCAACTCCAGAAAATATTAATGCCGAGCAAGTTAAATCTGTAAGTAGGCCCTAACAGTTACAGGGCACAGTTTTTTAACTGGGCTATGCTATTATCGATTGAAACTATCGAATTGAAAATATTGATTAATAATCGATATTTTTAAATATATTTATTATCAAATTAAACAATCATAACCTAACCTAACCAACCAAACTTGCTGATGATGAAAAAATCGCATGAAGGTTTACTAATCGAATCGATAGTTTCAATCGATATTAGCATAGCCCAGTTAAGAAACTGTACCCTAGTTACATTTAAAGTTGAGTAGCTTAATCTCGAAAAGGTGTTATGATAGATTCATATGTAGGCTATGTCTAATAATAATTAAATAGCATAGGACCTAAAACACCATAGACCTATCTTTATTTGAGAGCTTAGCCGCTGCTTGAGGCTATAAGTTAATAGGCCTATAGCCGGATAAAATTAAGAAATAATTCCTTACTATACCCAACAATACAAAATAAGGACTACCATAACGTTACATAAAATGTATTTCGCAGAGGATACACGTCCGGTAACAGGACGTGGATTAGGCGTCCGGCAGTTACTGTCATAACCTAACCTAACCAACCAAACTTGCTGATAATGAAAAAAATCAAATGAAGGTTCAATTCTCTTCATAACATAAAATTATAAATGCCAAAAATTCTAACAAAAGATGTACAGTTAAGAAGAAATTACATTCAAATCAAAATCTGTGACAAAAAGTTAAAGAAACCGATGGGTTTCGAACCAGGGACCTCTTGGATATCAGCCGAGCACTCTATCCACTACACAACGAACAACGCTGGCCGAACATCGTATCGTTGTGGTAATGGCGTTCCGGGACCCCACAACCTGGTGACGTCACTACCGGACGCCTAATCCACGTCTGGTTACCGGATGCGTATCCTCTGTGAATTTATTTATTATTGTAGGTTAAATATTTACTTTTTGTACCAGTTTAAACACAGTCTGACGATGGAAACCTAGTTTCCGAAAGCGCTTGTGAATAAAAACAATTTATTATATAGGCCTACTGGCCTTTGTGAACATTTAAAATTAGTTATAGCCTAGACCCATTATCCTAGGTACCTTTATTATACATTTCATTATTTCATTAACTTATTATACTTAGCCTACATTTAATTATTCCATTATTATAACTTAGGTTGGTTTAGTTTAGGTTTTAGTTAACCTAATAAGTTAACAACCTAACCTAACATGATACATGATCTCTCCGTTCGTATGTGTATAAATATGTATCTATTCAAGCCAATAGCCAATAGAAGAAAATATCTCAATTACTAAATAAAAAAAAACATTGGTCAAGATTTAACAGTGAGTCATCCCATCTGTAAACACTTATCAGAAACTAAGGAGTCAAATGCGCGATTGTGATTATAATTTTCGGACGGGTTCCAACTACTGTATAAGCACAAATCTATACTTATAAAAGGCAAAGCCCTCATTGACAACACTCGCTCATCACTAATTCTCCCACTTCCCATTTACCTAGGAGGCTGAAATTCGGTACACCGATTCTTTGGGCATTAACTTAACATTTTTCAATGTAAACCCCCATCAAGTGACACCTCATTTTGGAAGTATTTACAAAAACATAAAGAATGGTGAAAACTAGAGGTCGTTATCTCTTCTCTATCCAAAATGGTAGCCCGTCAAATGTTGTGGAAAATCAATGGTAAAATTGGTTCGTAATGGTGATATTAGCTACCATTTTGGATAGAGAAGAGATAGCGAACTCTGGTTTTCACCATTCTTTATGTTTTTGTAAACACTTCAAAATGAGGTGTCACTTGACGGGGGTTTACATTTAAAATATTTGAGTTGCTTCTGCTTCCCAAATCCCCCCTTTTGGGGGGACACTCAAAAATTTCAAAATCATAAATTGAAACTTCCTGCTAAGATTGCACGACCACCAAAAGGATATTTCTATATATAAACTTGGAAAAATATTAGAGGGGGGGGGGGGGTCTTGACTTTTCATTCACTCTGTAGACAACTTTATTCCTGCACCACTGATATAAATATTATTTCAAAGTACCTTGAGGATATAACTTTCATGTCAAACTCATGATTTATTAACTGACAGTAAGTCTATTCTGACAAATTTATTCCAGATTAAGTTAGTAAGCGTCTAGCTTTACTTGTGCTTTGTAAGTAACGGGCTGTGAAGGTAGATTACTAACTTCTTTAATTTTAAGGCTCCTGTAAGTATATATCTTGTAATTGTTTTAGTTCCGAGAGTTTTTAACTTCATACAACAAGCTGTCTGAAGTTTGTTTCACTGACTGTGTCTGGGACTTCACTACAAGGAATGTAAAAAGTCAAGAGGTAAATACCGTAGTTTTGCTTTCTACTTTCTTTAGGCAGAGTAGCTTACTAGATCAAATGACCAGATTAGTTGCAGAAGCCGTTTATGCTGAACACAATAGTTAGTGAATTTTCCCCGAGTCGCCAGGGGTGTCATTTGGGGGGGGGGGGGGGGCATTTGCTGGGCCCTGGGCTAGAAAAAAAAAATATGCTGTACTAGCTAATATACAAATATTTTCTCCTGTCAAATCCTAAAAAGCACGGCAGACAAAAATCTGTCCATTCTAGTACAGTAATTTTAAAGAAAAATATTATTTTTTTATTGTCTTAGATAGGACATTTTGAGTTTACATATTACATAAATTAGTAGTTTTGTTATTCATTTACGGTACTTTTTATGTTTGGTTCTGTAAGATCAACCACTTACTTCTAGTTTATATACATACACATGCAGATTTGTTTTATAAGCATTGCTTTGTCATTTACTTTTATGAATTAATTATTCATTATACACGTGTATCAATTTTACGTAATTTATTTTGAACATTGTAGACTACCAATTTAATATAGTTAAATAGAACCTTTTGTAATTTTGTGTCAAATTATTTTATTTGTGATACAATTTGATTTGCTTTTAAGTTCTTTGTATTTTATTTAAAAACCAAAATAAACTGTTATAAACTGTAGGCTATGAACGACCGTATTCATTACTAAATGTTGTACAAGAGAAATTGGTCATAAATCTAATAACAAAATAATATTAATACATCATGGAAATATTGATCACGTTTCTTAGATGTAACTTACCAACATATTATTATGTTTCTGACTGTTGTCAATAATTGTTGGTTTCATTAATTTTCTGCCTAAATTTGAATAAATTTTACTCATAATTTATTTTTATTTGAAGTGCTTTTGACAATTAAAATAAGCTTAACCCCTCCTCTTTTTTTGTTTAAAAACTGCAAAATTTTCCCCCCGGACCCCCCGCCGTTTACTGGGGGGTATTCCATACCCCCCAATGTTTGCCCCCCCCCCCTAGGAATTGGTGAAATGACACCACTGTGAGTCGCAAACAAAATTGATAGTTCAGGCCTACCGGTATTCAAAAGCTCCTCACACAGTAGGGAATAGTCTCAAAATTAACTTTATTTTCCATTAGACGGCTTGTGTTTTTCCTTTTCAGAGAAATTTTGTTGTTGTTGCTAAGTATTAGTTGAGACTCCCGCCCAAACACACAAGTTTTAATCTTCTCTTGGGTGTGTATATTTCTTCGCAAGTTAAAGCAAACTGCATTGTAAGTTATAAATCATTTGTTTCTTAGATCGTTTTTTGTATTTTTGTATTACTTGCGGAGAAATAAAGATTTATTATTATTATTATACTGGTACTTTTCTAATTACATTTTTATAGTAGTTTACACAAATATCATGTGAAGATAGTGTTAATGACACAAGTAGAAAATTTAAGGTACGAGCCCTAAAAACTCCTACGAGTGTTGTTAACACTATTTACGTGATTTGCATACACTACTTTAACTACGATCGGTTTTAAATTACTAATAACCACTACTCAAAACTTCTAATAGAGGTTATTTTTTTGTTTAAGTACAGCTCGTGACACCTAAGCTGGCACTTAGCCTAGCGCGGGCAGTGTAGGCGGGAGGAGGGTGGAGGTAGGGAAAAGACCGGACTGCAAACATTTCCGCTGCCTCACGGGGTTGACTCCCCTTGCATTGTACTTGAGCGCCTTCATATGGGTCACGAGGACAGTTGATGCAACCCGCATGGCGGGACATAATGTTTTTGAAATAGGTACTAGTAGCGATAGGCCAAGTGCCAGCTTAGATGTCACGAGCTGTAATCTGATGCACCAACTCATTGTACCAATCACTAATTGCACCAATCGTTAACAATTCAATTAATTGGTAAACAGCTGATTAGTTATTCATCCGTTACCTGTATTGTTAGGTAAAACTATACTGTTATGTGAAACTTTTCAATTCTAAGAACTAAACTGATACGGCTACTTTAAAAAAATGGTTGTAGGTAAAATAAGTTAGTTTACAGGAGTCTTGCTGAAAGATGCTCGTTGACAAGTAAAGCTTTTAAGTTGATCATCAGAATATTATTAATATAGCCTAATATAGGTTACATATCCATTAGTCTTTTGTTGTTTGAAGAATATTAGTTTTGGGTTATAAGGAATACATCATCAAATTAGTAGTCTACAAAATTTGATTTTGCGTTGAGTTCCCCGTACAGCCTGTAACAAAATGTTTTCTTTGATGAAGATATATGTGACAAATTTAATAGACTATGAATTTGATGTTAGATTTGTCAATATTCTTAAAAATGGCTTGACCCTGACTACTTTTAATAATACTGAAGACAGATAAATGTACGTAAACCTATATTTGAATCGTTTATTAAAAATTATTAGCCAGAAAAATAAGTTTGGTAGGCCGCCCTATTTATTCAATTAAATTACAAATACAAATACCAATACACACTTGGTGGTTCAATATACAACTCATAAATTATGTTTAACATAACAGAAGGCATTTACATACCTCTAGTTCTATCACAGCAATCCAGATTTAAAATGTTAGGTGACATGGACCAAAAATATATTATAAGTTCTTTCCCCTATACTATAGGCTATTGTGAATATTTCACAAATACAGCTTTAACAAGCTATTAGAGTTCATTGCATTTTACTATCACTATCATGCACCAATGATGTTGGCAAATACACCCTTATGCTGGATTGTAGGCATAATTTTATCTCTTTTAAATTGTTAATCCGTTTAGGCTGTTTTAATTGGCCACAGTGTTTTGCACAGCAGTTCGGATGGAATTCACAAAGGTTGTCTTAGCCGCTGTTTGGTGATACCAAATGAGCCACTAAAATAATTCAGAGACAAACTAGTAATAAATATCAGCGTGGCAGCTGCTAAGCTAAGACACAGAGACAGGCTTGCACCAGACCAGGCTAGCAACAGACAGTTGTTGCCATTTTTAGACTGGCGACAGAAGGTCTGCTAAGGGATGTCTATTTCAGTATTTGATGCCAACGGTAGTTAACCACAAAAAACCATGTAATACTTGGTTGTTCCAGGAGCGCTGTACTCTAAATTGCACAGAAAAATACCTCAAGATGGTTCAGCGGGTATCACAGCGATTTCAAGAATTCCAAATGGTCACAAATGAGAACGCAATAGCTGCAGCTCAAAAGCTTGGTGGTTCTGTACAAAGATGATTTTGATGTTGTGATGGTTTAATTTTCCTTACCATGTTGTTAATTTGTTATTAGTACAGTTATAAATACTTTTGTTTACACAGTATTGTGTTAGTTTTTTATTTTCTAGTTTTCCAAGTAAAGAAATGTGTTTGGACTTTGATCGTTATTAAACCTTTTTGTTGTTATTTTTTATGCCTATTTAATAATTTGAAATGAACTACGTTGAAAAGGTGCATTGGATGAAAATGCCGAATTTCTACTACATGGTTATACCACAACATTTATCACCTTTAACTATGGGTCAAACAATAATAAACTTCTTTATTTTGATAGAAACAATTTTTATATCATGACTAGACTGACATACAGTATACAAATTAAGCCAAATGAGACAACTGTATAGAAACCTATACCTTTGTTGGGTTAACCATGCAGGGTTTTACTTTAGTTATGAAATTGACCAAAATTGTGTTGTGACACAAAGAGTATCTTAACACTATTTAAGATTGAAAAAAATAAGGGGACGAAATATTGTGTCTTTTTCTGTTTATGTGTGTTCTGGGGCCTACCTGTACTTTGTGTAAACACGAGCCTCGAAAATAAAAATTCAGTTCTACATAAGGAAAGCCAGCTGTCTCTACTGGTATATCAAAATGAGGGATTTTAAGACTCCAGCTGGATTGAAAAGCCACTTTCAAAACAAATGTGTTAATATATATATATACATCACATGTTCCAAACTTAAATGGAATTCAAAATATCACTTTCCAACAAATAAACTACAATAAAGGTATAAACTTAAAGTAGGCCTAGTAAAATTTTTAACATATCACTATATCTTTTACAAAACATAACAAGCCTCTTATATTCAATTTTCCACATACCGTAGTTTAAAGACTTCTCTTGCTGATCCGATCTAATAAAAGTCAAAGTTTAACATCACTTAAAACAATGATTAAAATAAGTTTGTACTATTTTAGCTAAATATGAATGACAATGAAGATTGAGTAAGAGTAGAGAGACATGCCTCGCAAAGCCTTATTATTATTGACCAAGACTAGGTTTTTATTAGCCACTTCTTACTGAAAGCCCCATATCAAGGAACCCTTTGCTCAGTTTCAAATTGTGCTGATTTTAAGTTAGGCTTTTCCCAAACGTCACCGGTTTTGCTAAAAATGTGCCAGTGTTCTGAAACTGTGTTTAAGAGACAGAAAATTATCCTGGGACTGCAAAAAATTACAAAAAAAACTTGTTTATTACATGTATAATGTTAAGTTTGAAATTTAAAAAACAATAAAGATTTTCTCTATAGTATCCCTTTTTCAGCGATCCTACTTAGCCAATTTTTACGATTAAGGTGTCATTTGAAGCTTATGGTTTAGCGGAGAGGAAGAATGGAAAGAAAAAATTTCCTTTAAATCTTTGTCCCGATTGTTTTTAATTTATTTATAGAGTTCACTTGCAAAAATTTAGTGATGTCGATAATATTTGTTTATAAAAATTTACAACCAATGTATTTGATATTGCCCCAGTGGGAAGTAATTACAATGGTTGTTGTAATATGAAGATGGAAAATCCAAATATATTTGATGTTTAAGACCGGTGTGCTTTTAACTTTCAAATAATTTTTCCACGGAAGGACTAGTCTCAACCACCATGGAGCAGTAGTGTGACCAGACCTAACTCAGTACCAGTGACCTATTAGGCAATCCCTAAAACCATTCAACTAAAGCTACAACACCAGGTTTTGACTTTACAAAAAACATGAATAAGAATATCAATGGTGTGGTAAAACATAAAACAAAAACCCTATACATTACACAACTATCACGAAGAATGCAAATAGAACATAGAGATTGCTGGATCTTCCGTCTCGCAAGTGATCAAAACTTCTCGAAACTTATCCAACAACTGTAACAGTTGTGATCTTCGCACGTTCTCCAAATACATGATCTCCTCCAAGTGGTGCATGCCATGTAGATAACCCTGATGTACGAGGCGAACCAAGAGTTTCAGATCTTCTGCGTTAGCTGCCGCTGGAACTTTCAAAATGGCCGCTCGCTCTTCCTCCGTGAAGTCTGTGAGCAAGTCTTCGTGAATGATGCTTTCTGTACTTTTGTCCAACCAAGTGTTAGTCTGCACCTGTTGTTTGAAAATCAATGTTCATTATCACGGATAGCATTGTTACTTTTATAGTGTTAATATTAGTAAAATAATAAATAAATGCATTATTAAAAACTGAGTACCCTTTTTTTGAAATTCATTTTATTTAACAACGACTAGTTTCGACAATTATGTCATAGTCATGATGATAAAACAATCATAGATGACTATGACATAATTGTCGAAACTAGTCGTTGTTAAATAAAATGAATTTCAAAAAAAGGGTACCTACTTAGTTTTTAACCTCTTGGAGTCCGGTTTTAGCTATGTCAGTGATTTACTGCAGTCCGGGTTTTTTTCGATGAAAATGTAGATACTTTTTTAAAAATTTGTATAAAATCAGTAAATAGTGTAAACATATCAATCAATATATATATTTATTTTGTTTGCAATGAAGAGAGAAATCAGAAAATAACATAAAAAATTAAAAGTTTTAGAGTTTTTTTTGTTTTTTTTTTAAAAAACAAAAAAATCGAACATAAATTTCAAAAGTAATGGTTCTGTAAAAGTACAAATTATTTGATATTAAAAATCTATTATATAAATCTGTTAGACAATTTAATTCCTTACATAGAAATATATACAACAACTAAAGAATACTATATTTTACACGAGCTATGTTCAAAAAAACGAAAAAGCGTAAATCGCAAAAATGTGACTTTGCACGCCATTTATTGTAATTTAGAAAAATAATTTTGAAAATTTATAAAAGCTGGTAGAAAGTTACATTTTGTAATCTAATGTTATAATTTAACTTATAAATCGTGTAAAGCACATAAACACACATATATATATAATATATATATATATATATATATATATATATAGTAGGCTATATGTTTGCAATGTCAAGGTGGGAACAGCAGCTTTGATATAAAATTATGTTAGGCTGAAGCCTAATTTGTACCAAGCCTACTACAAAATCATATGTAAAATAAATAAAACCCAAGAAAGAGACATTCAACTTACTTTCTAAAATTGTTGGAGTGTGTGGTAGTCCTTCATGCAAGGGTACACACAAAGAGGAACGCCGCATTCAGTACACATGTACGGTGTGTCCTTCCTTTTCTGGGGCCTAAGCTTAGTGTTTGAACAAACATGGCAGTAGCGACGAGGTTTCAACTTTTTATCAGTTGGTGGGATTGGTGTGAGGAAATGTCGTTGGGTGAGACGGAGCGGAATCTCGCCTTTTGATGGTCGCCCACCTTGAATATTGGTTCTCATCACACAGTGATGTTCTAAAATCTGCCTGACGAGCTCCCTGCGATAATCTGATAGCTGCAAATTCTTGTTTCTTTTTTGGACTTCATTGTGCAGAATATATGAATTTCTGATTGTTACGTCCAAGAAGTGGAAAAAAAGTTTCTTGTACCACTTGATACTTTTTCTTGCAGAACAGTTGAAGGACAGTTGCATATCACCAATATCGATAGCCCCCATGTTTTTGTTGTAGTCCACCACTGACAAGGGCTTTTTGATTTCCTCCCCAGTTTCCCAGTTGTTTTTCCCTATGCCAATCATGTCGCTGGTATGCATCGTACTTAGCATCCTAACCTCTCTTTTGTCTTGCCAACGTAGGTACATCATATTTTCTGTACAATGTACATCTGTTTTACCTACATCTAAGGGGGCTAGTTTTTTTGGTAAACCCTGTCGATTGGGATTGACTGTTCCACACATGTTTGTGTTGCGCTTCATCAGTTCCTGAGCTAGTGACGGTGAAACGTACCAATTATCCAAAAACAATTTATGCCCCTTATCGAAGTAGGGTTCTGTTAGTGTTAGCACCACTTGCCCCGTCATGCCTACTTTTTCTTTTAATTCTGCAAACTCAAGTTCCGTTTCTGATCCTAAATAGGGAAGGATGTTCAAAACATAGCCTGTTAGACAGTCTGAGATCACAAACATTTTGATTCCAAATCGTGCTCGCTTTGAAGGAATGTACTGTCTAAAGGCTAACTTACCCTTATAGAGAAATAGCGTCTCATCTATCGCCAGTTTTTCAAAGGGCTTGAATTTAGATGCAAACATTTTGTTCAACGTACATAAAATTGGTCGAATTTTGTGAATCCTGCCAATTGATTTAGGATTGGGCACAAAAAATTGGTTGAAATGAAGGGTTTTCAATATATTTTTGAAACGATTCCTACTCATAACCTGCCCAAAGATCTTTGTTTCCAGTAGTGAATCTGTAGACCAATAATCATTTATTTTATTTTTTCGGACCTGAGACATTAGAATACACAAGGCGAGGAAGCAGAGAATCTCATCCTCGTCAACCGGTTTCCATGTACTTAGCTCGTCAACAGAAGCATAATTTGGGAGTTTGGTAATTACATCTGTAAAATAAGAATTCGTTTCTGATACAATATGAGTTATCAGTTCCATGGTAAAAAGCTGTAAAAACATTTCTAAATACGACGATCCTTTAGGTATGTCATTATCGATTCCGGATGTTGTGTTGTCAAATTCAAACAATGTGGGAGAGAATGTCTGGTTTGACTTCCACGGGAATGTTATTTCTGGCTTCTTATTCCCTTTATTTCTCTTTTTTTTTAGCTGCAAGCACAGGCCTAGCAGGTCTACCTGTTCGTTTATTATTACGCCTAGGCCTAACTCTAATATTAGTCACAGGCCTATCTGTAGTGTTATGCCTATGTTCCTCAGCAGTAAGTGAGTCTAAGCCTATCATTGCATCATCTTCAGCCTCATAATTTTCTTGGTCAGCAACTAGTCCTGGCATTGTTGTTTCACTCTCATTTTCATCTACATCCATATATACAAGGTCTTCTTCATCAACAACTAACCCTAAGTTTGCATCATTTTCATTCTCAGAAATAGGCCTAACACTATTTTCTTCAAAAATATTCTCTATGGTACTAAGCATGTAGTTGTCCTCAGGTAGGCCTAAATCATAATCATTGTTACTTACATTATATACACTATTTACATCATTTGGGTCAAAACAACTCGGGCCAGGAATGGAATCGTCGTAGAGGTTAGTTGAACTCGATGCATCTCCTGCAGGTCCAGGAACACTTGTCGCCGTAGATCGTTGATGAGAATAAATAAACCCCTCTTCACTGTCACTTTCACCGTCCGATAAATCACTAAAATCATCTCGAGACAAATATTCTGATATTTCGTTGTCCCGAAGTTTGTTAGATCGCGAATCCATTACACAATGTTTACCAAAACACAAACAAAAACAAACAACTCGCGTACGTATTATTGAGTAACACTAGTGACAGCTGGGAGCGGAACGAAAACGATTCAGAACTAGCAGTGATGCAAGACTAATAGAACAAAACAAAATATCCCATGATTCCCTGGATTCCCCTGAACAGATCAATACTAAACACAACGTATTAGTGTAACAGCTGACAGCAAAAAAGAGCACGAAAATAACAAGTTGACGTCAGCTCGCATATGTGCGGGCGTGGACCGCTGGCGCGACAGTCGTCTGCTCGCATATATGCGAGCGTGGACTCCAAGAGGTTAATAATGCATTTATATATCAAAATAGTAGCCCTAATCACTACAGTTTTCATAGTAAAATAATATATTTATAATACTTATGCAGTATACAACAGGATGAACAACTTAACTGCACCACCATTAATTTCTCAGAAACTATTATATTTATAGAAAACATTAAATGGAGAGCTTTAAGGCTAAACATCCCAGGTTTAGTTCCAAATTCTGCCACCACGTCGCAGCACCAAAATGGAGTCATTTTGTGTTGGTGTTTATTGGTGGAATTTTCATCCGATTTTCATTTTGAAAACTGATTTGTGAACGGGATAAAATAACAATTCACGCCATTGACAATAAATTTGAATTAAGTTGTTGGTTAAAAAAATTATGGTAAAATAATTGTGTTACAAAATAAAAAATGAAAATTGCAGGTAGTCATTTTAAAGACAATAATTTTTAATTAATTTTACTTTTTAAATTTTTAAAATCGCTTGGCTGGTTCAGTCGGTATCGTTGTTTAAACATTTACAGTAATTATAACAAACGCGAGAGAGACATGAAGCAGGTGCAGGACAGGGCCGCTGTGACTCATTCCAAGGTCACACTCACATTTGCTACCCCTCCCCCCAAAACAAGGCTGGGGTGTTGCTTGTACACCGGTGGATGACGGTTTCCCGCACTTCCATACACGAACAAATACAGAATTGAATTAGGGGTTTTGCTACGCTTTAACCAAAACAAATTGCAAACAATATAACTATTTAAAAGTTTTGACAGTGTCATCAAATTTTTAATTTTACGATAATCGTATTTAGGCCTAATCATACTGTAAAATTGGTGTAAATCCGTTGGCAAATATATAAATCTATATAAATAAAATTACAGTTTTGTCTGTACATTGCTTAGAATCATGCAGGTTTTGGTTATTTTTACGTTTCATAGCCTAAGAAAGCCGAAACGAGTCTTATCTCAATTTCTGTCTGTCTGTTTGTCTAATCTGTGCCAAAATGTCATTTTGCGCGGCCTACTCCTAGAAAACTAAAGTTCCGATCAAGGTTCTAATAATTTTTCCGTATTTACTGGATTGATGAGAGTGTCTTTGGCTATAAAAACATGGCCTCGCTCCTTTGAAAACAAAATAACGAACCATCAAAAACCCAATTTGGTTCGAATTTTGTCAATTTTCTCCCAATGTTAACTATTTTATGAAATAAATAACGATCAGCTGTTTGGATTAGTTCTCACCTCTAGCTGTCACTGATATGTTTAAATTAAAAGTTGTTTACAAATACCGCAACCATTTCCGATCAAGTTTTGTTAGCACATCCAAACCAAGTTAGATTAATAACGTTGTGCGGCCTTGGTGGTGCCGTACTATCACTGGTGTAGCTGGAACTGCAGTCGTTGGACGATCGTCGTCGCACGATTATCGCTCGGCGATAATCGTTGCAGTAGGCATTGTCATTGGTGCGATTATTATACAATCGTTCAGTTAAAATTCTTGACGGTTGCCGAGTTGAAGTAGGGATAGTGAATTACTGTATTAGTTTATAGGCTGTAACAAAATACTATTCATTTATTTGCTGGTTGAAGATCTGGAAGATGGAAAATCTTTGGAAGTGATAAGTGTTCAAAGACTTAGCACAAATTCACACATAGTATAATTACAAAACGAACAGAAGAGGGGTACTTCTAAATATTAATAAACAATAATTTCCAAGCTGATGGGAGAATGTTATCTGAGTTCTTCAGACTTTCAAAATCTCAGTTTAAGTTTTTGTATAGTTTGATCAATGAGCATTTTTACTTTAAAACTACATTCCCTATCCAATCACAGGAGATGAGAAGTTTGCTCTTACGTTAAGGTAGGATAGTTTATTTATAAACGTTAGATTTTTTTACTAAGCTAATAAACTAATACAATGCTTTGGTATTATGTTTTCCTTTTTCAGAATAAGACATGTTCATTATAAAAAATAGTAATAGCCCTGTTGCAGCAAACCTGTGTACTCGTGGACTTTCCATTCATTAATTTGTGGAATTCATTAATTTGTTCGTTCTCATTTCCCCCTAATTTGGACATGCCAAATCCAATAAAATTATTTTCAATTTTGAAAAATGCCCCAAAAGGGCCCAATTTGGGGGGTAGGGGTGCTTTTTGAGAAATTTTCAAATGTAAACATGGGTTGTGTGATACATCAATTTAAAGGTCTAATCACCCCGATCATTTTGGTGCAAAAAAAGTTTAATTATCTTTAACCGTATTTACAGGGTGGGTCAAAACGTTTTAAAAAAGGACTTTGAAGTTAAGTACCGTATTACCCTAAATACTGAACGGAACAGCGCCAAATTTCTTTCCAAGCTTATTCTTGAGCTACTCTTTAAGATAACTTGTAGTAAGGGCATTTTCCATGTTATTTTCTAATCAAAAAAAAATCTCAAATTTTAAGAATAAAAGAAAGCTGAAAACTCAAAATTCTTAAATAGCAAGGTATGACAAATTTCATACCACGTGAAAGGTCCTTTTTTAACAAACATTTTACGTATTTAAGTTTTCTTTCTATCTCTTACCGTTTAAAAATTGCAGTGGAAAAACATCATTTTCTATGGTAAAATTATAACTAGTTTTCTAATAAAACACATTGCACTTTTAGTACAGTAAAAATATGTTTTGACCCAAAAAAAATTACTTATATATTTGTAAGCAATACTTATATATTTGCCAATGGATTTACACCAATTTTACAGTTTGATTAGGCCTAAAAACGATTATGATAAAATCTGATGACACTATCAAAACTTTCAAATAATTACTTTGTTTGTAATTTGCTTTGGTTAAAGCGTAGCAAATCCCCTAATTCAATTCTGTATTTTTGTTTGTATGTCTGTTGGTAACGCATTAATGTCCTTATTTCTCATTGTTTCGTGGAAAAGACAAGAGCACCTTTGTTAATGAAAATTTCAACCCGAATAAAGTGTGCAATAGTGAGGTTGAGGTAGTATTTTAACTACTTTTAACCTGTGTGAAAAGTAACTTTCAATTGCAGGCCTTCTTTTAATGCAAAATGCACACTAAATATGCAAACCAACTCCTGTTCAGAATATAAGGTTTCAACTTGCTACAAGATTCCCGTAGGCCCTACGTAGAACGGGCAAACAGCTAGTAAGTAAATAAATGCACAGTCCACAAAACATTGAACCAAAAACTCCATGATTCTAAGCAATGTACAGATAAAACTTCAATTTTATTTGAATGGATGTCTCTTTCCGACTTACAGAAAATACTTGTTTTTAAATCATAAACTGGTATCTGTTAAAATCAGGAGTCCAGTCTAGTAAGTGTGTCCGGTCAGAGTATGACTGCGAGGTGTTTGTGAGAAGACGAAGCTACAGTCGCGTTGCAGGGCCGGGCAGAGCGGCTGGCACTGGAGCTGCGCTATGCGGGGGGGAGGGGGAGGGGACCGGAGCGCGAGAGAAATAATGATAATTTCTTTAAAAAAGGATTCCGATACAACTATTTGGCCGAATTAATATCTGAAAACGGCAAAATTCTTTTAAAATTTCTCTTTACAAAATGACTACCTGCGATTTAAAAAAATAATTACAGCAAAAAAAATTCTTTATAAAACTTTTTTGTTAATAAATTTTAAAAAACATTAGCAAAATAGCGTGAATGTCTTAATCATATCATTTACAAAACCGTTTACAAAACAAAAATCTAATAATAAATACGGAAATTATAAGTGGTACAAATTTGCCGCAGAGGTGCTGCTATCTATCGGGCCAGAAACACAACTTTTTCAGGGATGTTTAGCCTTAAGTATTTTTTATGACATTGAATAATATGAATTCCACTTTTTTCTAAAATGCCACCATTTGATCTTTTTAGAACGTATATGCAGTTTTAAGACTTATTTATTCTTGAACATTGAACATAACATAAAAATAGGCATGTGACATTGCATTTTGCAATAATAATAATTTATTTGTTTGTAAAAGTGTGTATGTTATAGGTGATGCAATGCGACTGAATGATGTTTTAGGCTATTCAAGACTAAAGGATGTTTTTGGTGATGCAGGACAGAATTATGTTTTAGGTTATTCAAGACCAAGACAGATTGATAGGGGAGTCAAAAAACTAGTTAGGTTTAAGTGGTTATCTGGGTAGGGTATCCAATTAAGTACTTCATTGGCTGTATAAGTTTAGTTTTTAGAACCATGTTTCTGTGTAGCTATGTCTAGTGACTTACTGTGGTCATGGGAGCTGCCTCGTCACTGATGGTAGAGCTGACGTCCGTCTCACTGGCTGCTCTGGTCACACTCTGACTCAATGTGTCGTCTGGAGTGGACAACTGACTAGACTCCCTCTGAGATACGTTGCGGCATTGGTTGTTGTCCTGTCAATTAGTCGGTCAAATAAAATATTTACAAAATTAAAAGTAAAAACATTCATACTATCCACTTCTTGGGTTAGCATTGAACATGTCATTATAGAGATATAATAAAATTTTATCTCCGTCAATATTCAATATTTTAGTATTCAAACTGCTACTTACAAAATATGGTGAATATGAAAGATATTGCAATGGTGATTGACTTGACTGGTTAAACTAGTCAAAAGAAAAATAGGGAGCTGGTCTCTTAACAACAAGAATTTTGAAAGAGGATAATCTACAATAGAACGACCACAAGGAAGTTGAAGACTGCTGATGACAGGTCAAAACTGATTGCTAGTTTAAAAAAAAATAATTTTGTTTTATATTTGGTGTTTAATGTTTATCCATGCCAGGTCTTCAACCTACAGCCTATGAACCATAACCAGTTAAAAAACAGATTTTTTTCAGTCCGCAGAAAGCGAGAATAGACAACAAAAAATATGATTTTTATTCAATCGCATACATTGATCATCACCTGCATTGACGGCAACACTTGCGAGCATGTATTGTGGTCTCGGTGACACCGTGATCGTCTCCCCCATCACAACAATACTGGCCCAACATATCTTGAGGTTTTGGTAATACTAATTCCACAAATGTGGCAATAGTTATCAGCATCTCTTGCGGTCCCGGCAAAACGGCATAAGTAAAAGCTCAACTCAAGCCCACTTGGTGTTTGTTCACTCAAGCTTTTAGGCTAGACTTAGCAAGTCCAGAAAATCGAGCTGCTCGCACGCCTGTGCTAACCAACTAATATAGATCACTTTCTACTGTAAAACCTCCCTAACTCGACAGTTAACAGCTGACAGAGCACTAGCAAAAAACCATTTTTTCAGAAAATTTAGTTTTAATAGTTGAATATATTCGTTAATTTTTTTAAGATTTTTTTACTTGTGGTATGTTTCTGATTTATTTGTATAATTTGAGTTCTACAATATTTCAATACCGTAGTTTTTTTAATTAGTATTACATTGTCTTTGATTTGTGTGGTAATCTTGTATAATTATGGATATTATTAACTACGGATTACCTGTGTCTGACTCAGTCCCCGCTCTGTAGGCATGAAGTACATGTAAGTATGCAGCTGCAGTAACAAGCGATTCTGCAACAACCACACCACAGTCTGCAGCAGCCTGAACAAACGACCATACTGACTTTGACAGAAACACTTTTGCTGCTTGAAGAAAATCTTTTTAATGAAAAAAGTCATGGTGGTATGTTTAGTAACAGGACAAATAACTCAAAACTATGAAATAAAGAAACTTATAACAACTATGTTGATACTACAATATAGAACAAATACTTGAGCCCGGTGAGAAGTAGAGTATATGCCAAAATTAACAGTACTGAAACTAAATAGGTAAAATGAAAATATTTTCAGTACTGTTCATTTTGGCGCATATTGTAACAATGCCCCTTGTTCAATTGCAGCACACCAGCACACTATCTGAATTTCCTATTGTTTTATTGAACTATGTTATAAATAAATAAATCTTTATTGTCACATAACGTTTACAAAATATAGCAATGCTATAAAACAGGTAACATTGTCAATACAGTAAACAAATACCTTAAAACTAAGGAGTTATAAAAGAATAAAATAAACTAACGCTATGAAAATATAAATAATTGTTGTAGACAAAATAGATAAACTTAAACATTGCATTTAAAATACCAAATAATTACACATCTTGATCACATAAAAACTCATCTATACTACAATATGTTTTCCTTAAAAGAAAATTAGTAAGGCTGCTCTTGAAATGCTTAGACTGTATTCTGTTTTTGAGCTCTTGAGACAATTTATTAAACAATTTTTTGCCCATGTATGTCGGAGTTTTTTCTACTAATGAAAGACGGTGCCGCGGATATTGAAAATTATATTTAAACCTAGTATCGTACTTATGCTTGACATTTTCACTACATAATTTTGTAGTAATATATTTACTTTAATGCTTTAATTTTTAATTAACTGACCAAGACTGTGGGAATAGTGAGTATTGCACACCATAAGCTCTTAGGCAAACCAACCAGTGGTGTTGTGGGGAGAGGGCATGTGGGAATGGGGTTCCCACTCTACTTTTTCAAATTAGGCAACCCGTTTTCTTCCAAAGCATAATTCAAAATTGGGTTTTAGCAATTTATTTCAAACAGTGTTTTAATTATTGAGACATATTCTCTTGCAATAGCAACAAAATCATGAACATAATCCAAAGTCACGGAAAAATTGCAGTCCCCTGCCATCATTGAAATGGAGACACATTCTTTATTGTCTGCGATTACGGTAAAATCCTTAACATCTCCTGAAATCGCGGCAAAGTCTAAACCATCTTCGACGTTAGTGGTGACGTCACTATGTCACCACATTTTTTCATGCTTCTATTCGTTTTCATGCTGAACATTAGCGGAAAAAATGTAAATTTTTACCACGACCACGGATAGGACATGTGTCCTATATTACCCAGTTCTCAGACAAGAGAGAGCATCACCCATAAGCCCCTGTCACACTGGGGGCTGGTATTTTCACCGCTAGTAACTAGCAGCTAGAACCAGCATAAAACCAGCATCGTGTGACTGAATCTCCAGCTGCCTGAGGCACTCGAATGAGCTGGTATCTCTAGCCCCTGGAGGGTTTAAACAGTTTAATATTACAAGCACTTGAAGAGTCACTAGCAGGTATTTGTTTTTAATTTTTTTAACTTACAAGTAGGTACATAAAAGTGTTTATATTTTATCATTTCATTTTTTGCCTTGTAATCTTTTTATTTCTATGATGGCTGATCATTAACAAAATATCTTGTCTAATGCCAACAGACGACATTATTTTGGTTATGTTTTACAGTGCCAATCACAACACCAGACTTGTTAGTTGAAGCGCCAGTTTCCCAGCTCCATTTGACATGACTTCTAGCATGCTGGAGAACCAACAGCTAAAGCTGCTGGATCTTGCAGCAAGAACTAGCTGCCGAAACAAGCCCCGTGTGACAGGAATATTTATTGCTACACCACAGAAACCAACCTACCCTAACCCCCTAGCAGATAATCTGTAGAACTAATCAGCAGGCAAGTGTTTACCTAGCAGTCTGCTGAGGCTGGCTGACAGGACTTAGCTTGTGACGTAGTGACACGGGGGCTGAGAACTCACTCATCACCTGACAACAATCAACGATCAGTAACGGGGACATTACAAAAGCAGTTTCTATCATTAATTTTAGGGATGGGCGGAATTTTCTTTCTGGTTTGAGACGGGACAGGATTTTTCTACCCGGGGCAAAAATGGTTTTTAAAAAATCCTGAGCAAACAGTGTTTCAGTTAGCAACAATGACAAACAAAATAAATTTACAGTCCATATGACACTAATCTGTAAAAACTAATAATGGGTAAAAAATACAGGTTAAAAAACTTTAAGCTAAAAATAATATTACATATTTTGGTTGATGGCAATTAAACTGTGGAACATCTGTATTATTTAGAAAAACCTGGTAGCCAACCACAAAGAGGCATCCAAACCAACTATCAGTGTAGGGAATTTAAAACTGTGTAGGGTTTTTGTTTTTAAGGCCTGATATGGTCACCATAAAAAAATATACACCATTGTAAATATTTCCCGCAAACACCATGTCATCATTAAAATATCCCACAAACATGAGGTCATCATTAAAATATCTTACCAACACGACACCACCATTAAAATATTCCACATTCACAAGTATATTGTGCATTGTGATCATCTCTATTGAACTCGGCACCATCATTAACATATCTCACGATTACAATGATATTGTGAAATCGCCTTTGACCGCAGTGCCAACATGAATATCTTCGGCGTTTATGAAGACGTCATAATCGCCTATGGTATGCAAGACTATCACAAACATCCTCGGCATCGTGAAGACATCATTGTTGTCACCCGCTGTACCAGCGACATCTCTTGCAATTAAAGAGACAATATTTTCGTTACTTGTGACACGGATGCTAAATTGGTTGAAACAAATCCAGTCCCTAAAAAATCTGTAAATTTAATCCCGTCCTAATGATTGGGAAAATACTACTCTCGAAAGTTTCCAGAAATTTCAGGATCCATCCATCCCCAATTCATTTAAATAAAAATAGACTGCTGCTTGCAAACTTGGCCAACTTCAATAACGAACAAGTTAGCAGGTTCTACACAGGGAATTTAACAAGTTGTTAGCGAGTTAGACAATTCCGCGTACCCGACAAAACCACAGTTTCCTTGCAAAAGCTTTTAAAAGTGCAAATACTGTGGATATACACAGATTGTTTGCACTTGCTGAGTGAAAATTACTACAACAGACAGTATAAAAAGGTCATGACCCCAAACCACTATATTCATTAATGAATTCCTCACAGCCCAATGTGCCTACAAATTGTGTTACCTCCAATAGTGATTCTCCAGGAAAGTGCTCTGAGAATTTCTCCACTAACGGAGAGTTGGCATGTGTAGGCGCATCAGGAGAAACAACGTAAACGTTACTTTCACACAATGGGTATATGATGATGGCGTGTCCCCAGTAGACTAGGTGGCCTGTGAGGTTGAACACCTGACAACAAGTAAAAGTTTGATTACAGTGTGGACCCTCATACCTCACTACCTCGGAGGTGGATGACTCCAGGCATACATGTTTATTAAGTCTGTCATGTAGGTAATTAGTTTAAAGCCAAATTAAAGCTAGTCTAGTTTCACTTACTGTTTGTAATTATTGTATAAAAGGTATTGTTTGTGACCTGACTTGTCTTGAAACCAGTTTTCACAGAAAACCGCTTTCAATAAAAGCATTATTTATTTATTTAATGATTTGCCATTACAGTAGAACACCGGTTAACCGAAACCCGGGTTAACCGAAACCTGGGTTAACCGAAACGGGTCCATAAAATAATACAGGGCTAAAATATAAGTAATACGTAGTGTAAAATGCCTTAGTAACTTCATTTGTTTAGTTTAAAGTATTTTCTAACCCATTGTAACATTTCTGTGGCTGAAATAAACAACTGTATTATTTAAACATTGTTTTAAATTCATTTTTCCGACACTCCATGGTAATAGATAGGAGGCTATTTTTAACATGACGGGTTAACCAAAAAATTGGTTATCCGAAACGGCTCTCCCCCCTTTATTTCGGTTAACTGGGGTTCTACTGTATAAACTAACCAGCTGTGAAAAAGTCTTTTCAACGCCCAATTAACATAGGATTTATTGTTTGTGTTTAGATGAGGCTTAAGTCTCATTTCAGGTTATTTATTGGAAAATCAAGTTTTTTTTTTTTTGCCACGTGACATTACCACCTAATGTCTGAACTGAATTAGATTACAAAAGGTAAATATTTATGTTTCCTGGCATCAAAATAAATACTTTAACAAACTATTTAAAAAAGTCAACGAACCCCTACTGAGTTATAGATAACGATAATTTCATTTAGAACAGGCTAAAATTTGATGTTAGGTTATTTGTAAAGGAAAACACACTTATACCACTTAAACTTGAAGAACCAGAATACAACCTTGTTGATTTTTTAACCACAGATAAATAGAACCATAGATAGATTAGATATCTTACTAATATTATAAATGTGAAAGTTTGCATAATGATAGCTCATATTCCCGATTAACATATAGGCATATTTTTATCTAAAAAATCCTTTCGGGCTCCGCCTCAGTGACTCTTTAGTTCCCCATGTTAACCTTATTAGTATTCATATTTGAAAGGAATTAGAGAATTTAGTCAGCTGTTTCAACTAAAAATGTTAATATGCAAAAACATTAAAAGTTATAATATTTACCAACAGGATGCAGCACTGTTATTTATGAAAACGGCTTATTTGAACTAATCAGTACCAAAAATCTGTGATACACAATGAGAACTGTCAAAGTAGGATTGTTTACAGTTATGGTGTTTATGGTTTTTATTTGATGAATAATTTGTGATATTTTGCGAAACTTTAATGATTTATTTTTCTCTATTGTTTAGGAGAAGTGGTAGAACATTATGGCTATGGTATATGTATAGTACTATAGTATACTGTAAATTTAAAGAAGCAACTTTTATCAAACTGTGTCACTGTGTCCTTCCCTATTGCAAACGCAAAGCTTGAGTATAATGCCAATCCCGTATGAAGGCAATTTTACGAATATTTTATTGATAACCATATTTGTAAATTTTTTATGTTGTACAGATATGTTTTGTTAATAAATTATACAAATTATGTTATTAAGTTTTAAGCTTGATAATATTTTTATCAATTTCAGTTAGGCTATGCAATATGTTCTTAGATGTTACAAATCTTTTTGGTTATTATTACCAACTACGTTTAAGACTGTTATTTAGTTTTAAGAAAGGACTATTTTAAATGTTGTAAGAAGAGAAGCACCTGTACATTTACCTGTAAACTCTGTACGTTATACCAATAAACATGATTATGGTTATGATTATTATTACTAAGCTTTGGTACACAGTTTTTGTTTGATAAAACTATGTTAACCAAACAGTTTGTTTTCATATAACAATCATTAATTTTGAGTACATGTCTAATAAGCTTCTTGAGAGGCTGATACCACAGCTGATAAGCAAGGTTTTTGACCTGCTTTGATCCATTAATATTTTGAATAATTTATTAGCTGTATCAGCAAAGATGCATACCATAGTTGCACAAGATTTTACTTTCTTGAAGTCTTTTACTCTTTTTAAATTTAAAATAATAACAGGTGTTTATTTTGAGTGTCTTTTTGCAAGTATTTTTTTCTTCAAATTTAGATTTATAACTAAATATAAAATAACTGTTGCAAGATTTCTTGTTAAATAGAAATTTTGCAAATGTTGTAGGCCTATTGATATTTTAAATTTGAGGCCCAATATAATAATTTTTTTCCAAAACCCCGTCAACCATAATCAAGCCACACAACCAAGCTTTTTGACAAACCAGACACTATACAACAAAGACTAAACCGTTTTATCCAGAGAAACCAATTATTCTTATGATTTATAAGATATGTTAATCTACCTTACAAGTGTAGTAAGAGCGTTTTTACATCAGGCAGGTGAATGCTTTGATAATGTTTTGAATGCTTTGCAGGTAATTAACCTAAGTGATGTAAACACGCTCTTGCGTAAGTAACGAGTAACGTACAAGATTTTACCTGACCCGAAAATATACAGGGGGCTACGTACAATATTTTTCATTATCCATTTCACTCATATTCTAACAGCAATGTTCTTTTACAAACAAAAGCTAGGTTAGGAAAATATTTTAAAGCATAATAAAATTCAAGCGCACAGCTGATTTCTAGTGTTGAACGTCGTTGGCTCCATAGAGGTATATTTTTTTTAGTTTGTTATTTAAATGGGTTTCATTACATCACCGAGTGAGTTTTTGAAACTTTACTTCATTCGTGAAGTAAAGAAGTTGTATAGACTACATCACTCTTGGATAGGGAAGTTCAACATGGCGGGTTAGGTAAAGATCATTTAAATACCAATTTATTGAGTTATGTCAGTTCATGGGTTTAATTTTGTATGTGAGCATAATAGCAAATAGGTTATTCAACAAGGTTTTCATCACTTTGAAAGGTGATTTTACAAACTGGCTGTGTTTTTTCAGGGCTGATCCATTTTATTCATGTTAAGTATGTATAAGAAATCTCTAGTATTGACAAAAAAACTGCATCATTTAGCATTGTAATGGTTAGCTAAATTGTATTTTAAACCTAAATTTCAAAATGCATGACACTGTTTTGTTGAGCAGGCATGTAAAGTATTAACAATTTATTCATCATAATATACACATATTCCAGCATAGGATAACATTTATTGCTTTTTGCATGTTCGGCATTGAAATAAAGAGGTCAATTTTATTTTGATATAGGTGTGTAACACAACACCACATTTCGCAGTGAGGTAGCCGTACTTATAACCCACTAGAGCTAAGTAGTTTGTCAAACCCTACCTGCGAGCGCTAGTAGCAATGTGTGATTTATAATGGAAATCATCCTTGTCGGTTAATGGTGCCGGATAGCTCAGTTGGCTAAGAACCACTCTTAACAAAAATTAACAAACCCTCCCAGTGTCTTTGATGGGAACAACACATTCTGCCCTTCTACCCTTGCCTTACTTGGGCCAGCGTAAGATCTGCATCGGCCGACAGTGTCTGTAGACTTTTAAGCGGACTGTACATCTTGAGCAGCCTCAGCAAGGCTGGGGACGAGTCCAGTGGCATACTGTCCAACAGATGGCTTGGCTCTATCAGCAGCAACAGTCCGTGATACGGCCTTAGACTCTGCAGACACCTGTACATATCAAATGTACGCTCATGAAATACTGGCCAAAACAATAGTCCAAACACTCTTGCCTTAAATTTAGACTGGAATATCAGTAAGAAAACAATAGAATTAAATCAAAGCATAAACACTAAAATGTATAAATAACTTCATCACAATGAAGTAAGCTTTTGGTCCCTTCTTTAATCGGTTACAAGATCCTTTGAAGGAGTTAATACTTAACAACATTTAAGGAGTTAACACAAAAATACATTAGTTCTCAATGATTAGGCAATTGCAACTGGCGTTATAGAGTCCACTAATTTTCTGGTTTCATCAGATGAATTTCCCTGCCAGTGGTAGGTATGGAAAACAAATGGCAAAAAAAGTTTATGCATTGTCAGCTGACACAAAAAAAATGATGCAAACATAAATTAGTATGACTTGACAATAATAAGTTAAATATTTAATATCTATAGTACGTGAAGCCGTTTTTGTGAACACTACTCCTCCCTTTATTTATGGACTGAGGTGTCAAAATATTCGTCTCAATTTGCAGTTTTGCAATAAGGTTTTAGAATTTGAAAATTCTTACCCTTAAGGCACGAGGCGCTCTCAAAGTTCTCATTTTCCCCACTGACTGTTGTTAATTTTAAAATTACTCCTGTATAATACTGATACTAGTGATGTGGGCCGGGTAAATACCCAGTGGGTAGGTAAATATAAATTGGGTTTTTACCCGGGTATTTACCCCAGGCCCGGGTAAATACCCAAAAACTGGGTATTTATAATTTTTATTAAAGTTAGAGAAGATTTAGATGTTTTTTTGCAATTATTACCTTGTAAGGATAGTAAAATGATGATAAAATGTGTTAAACAAAATTTCATATGGTCACTACTGGCATTTTACTTCTGGGTATATTCGGCATAAATACCCTGGTCGCATGGTTGCACTGGTCCTAACTACTTATGATTTTTTAATTTCTATGATAGATAGATGAATTTATTTTATTGAAAGTGAAAAAAAAAATCATTTGCAAAGTAATAATTATTATTTAGAAAGACAGGAAAATTTAACCTAATAGTAGCCTATGTGTAAACAACTTAAGAAAATTATTTTAAAATTCAATCTGTAGGATGGCAGGATTTAATAATATATTTGTTCTAGATCTTTTGTTGGTATCAATGGTATCAAAATAAAAAAACTAATTTCATAAACTTGTAATACAAAACATTTGAATCTATAGCACAATAAATCTTTCAAAATTATATTAAGTTAAACCAAAAAACAGGAGATACGTTTTTTTAGTAGGTTTATCCAAATATATTATTGTTTCCAACTAAGCGGTAACAAAGAAAAGTTTAATTACTTAAAAGTATTCTATCATTCTGCCTATGTCAATCAGGCCTTAGGTCTGTCTAGCCTTCCAAACCATTTATACAATAAAAATTTTGCATCATAAGTACCCAACAATTACTGGATATTTATAAATTACAATAATTTTGTTTATGTTATTTAATTGGTTATAAATTTATGAAATTATAAAAATTGAAATAGCCACAGCCTTTTTTAATAGGCTATTATACTATTTTTTAGTGAGTTAAATTTAACTGATGTTATTCGATTTAAGACACGAAACCCCATGCTTATTTAGAAACTTTATGTATTATTTAAAAAAAAAGTGCTAATTCATTAAGCGAGCAAAGCTTCAAGTTACTGTAAAAGGTGTTATAGACTATGCTAATTTATCATGTAATAACAATAACATATTTAGGGGTAAATATAAATGAATTTCAATTGATTTCATAAATACCCAAAATACCCGGGTATTTATGGATTTTGGGTATTTACCCGGGTAAATACCCAGGGTATTTACCCCAAGTTTTAAATACCTGGGTATTTTACATCACTAACTGATACTTGACAATTGCTCGATTTTGAGCAACAATTACACTAGTTATTAATAAAAACTACAAAGGATATAGGCCTACAAAGGAAACATGCTTATAGAACAACTGTGCGCTTTTGGGTCGGGAATAGTGGTGCGTAAATATACTAGTACTGAGCCAGGAAGAGCCTGAACGGCTATTGTTTACAACAGCAGTTGTACCACACAGGCTCTTCCTACAGCGTGAGCGCTATAGTACGTGATGGTGAGGGGGGAGAGGAGAGCGCAAGGGGACGACCGATAGAATTTGAACTAGACACGACTTAAGTGTACCGTTGAATGTTTCCTCTGTATCTTACTTATCTGAGGTTTATGATTTGAGTTCATACCTATCAATGGTTTCCGGCTCAATCATAAATCCCTTTTTGTGGAACTGGTGAACTTTCTGTGGCAGACAAAACGTGAGTTGTATCCACCTATTGATACGTAATCTCACGAGACCAGTCGACATCAGGTCATCATACACTGTGCGGAGTGCACTTGCTAAGCTACACCGCTGTAGGATTATATCAAAAGGAGAGGTCTTATTGTCTGGTTTCCCTCCGTCTTCTTCTTGCCTGTAAGAAACTTTATTGTTAAAAAAACACGGTGTTTTTCATTTGTCAACTTCAAAGTAAGATTACAGGGTGAATCACATAAGGTGTCCACTATTGACTACAGACAAACCGTTAGTTCCAAAATGATTAAATGATTTTTTTCCCACTAAACCAACCCCAAGGAAAAACTTAATTGATATTCCTATCACTTTTTATGGTGATCAATTTAATCTATTATACCATGAAAAATACTTCATGCAGCTGCAATTGTTTATCTGCTATAGCCCCTTTTATGTCACATCAAGTAGGCCTAGGTACATAGGTTTGAATCAACTAAGAAAATAATATTTTGACAGATAGCTCATTTGACTAAGATGGGAAGACTACCTTAGAATCTCTTAAAGTCAATGATCTTTAAGCTCAATAATCATAATATATATATTTAGTAAGCCTACTAACATTTTTATGAATGAATTTTCTTTTAATAAAAGTTAGGTACCGGTACCAAGTTTCCAATTTTCCAACTAAAATTAAACTAGCATCAAAGAATTAGGTTAGTTTGCAGTTAGGTTTCTTTGTTTTTATTTCATTGAATTTTAGTGGGAAATGAAGTTTGTAAGAGGTATTAAAAGGAAAACAAGATTGGATAGAATTAAAAGAGTTGAGAAGAAGAATAGTTGAAGAAAGATTGAGAGAACGAGTACAGAAATCGAGATTGAGATGGTTTGGCTACAAGAATGGAACATTATAGAATCCCCAGAAAAATTAGTGAGCTTCATATGAACGGAAGAAGGCCAAGAGGAAGACTTAGAAGAAGGTTGATTGACAAGGTGAAAGGAGACCCATACTGTGTTGTATATTAACAGAAAGAGCATGTAGAAAATGCTGAAAAATGGCACCTTTCCCAGCTCTCTATCTTAATTAGGACAGGTGCTAGAGCGATTAAGAACAAACATGTTTTACCGATTTTCTACGTTTTTTTGACAAGTTAACATAGCCATAACTTTTAAACCGTTTGACCAAAAAAATTAAAATTTTGTATTTTTGTTAGTTTTAGTACCCTCTGTGAGCACACCAAATTTCAGCAAAATCTGAGATGGTGAGGTAAAATATTTATCGTAAGTATGTTGATTTGACATGGAACGACCCCGTGTGCGGTAGGCTACTACTATGTAGCCTAAGTTTATTTAAAAATTAAAAGACCTATTACAGAAAATCAATATTTAGACTACTAATCAATAACTTTTAAGGCTATTTTAATTGATAATTATACTTATAAAACTAACATTTCATCCAATGATATGGGCCTATCGTAAGTTCTCCACGGAACTGTACTGGTGTAGATGCTACAAAAACCCCAAAAGTAAAAAAATATCTTGAAATTAAAAGTCCAAAAACTATAGATTACCTGGCTGTAACTTCGTCATGAGCGAGAATCATTTGCTTCATCTGATCAGTTACATATCCACACCGTTTCTCTTCATGTCTTAATGCAACACCCAATCTCTTGCTTAGATCATAGTAACATTTAACGATAGAATGATTGGCAACTGCTTGTAAAGCAAACACAATATGAATCAACACACATGATGGATTTCCTTGTTTACTGTCCGAAGAGTTCTTTCTTAGGCTTGATTGTAAGAGTGTTGGATGTCCAACAAACCTGACATCATTTACTTTTAGTTCAAACTTTGCTTCACATAACTCTTGTTTTACAGCAAACAACGTTGATAGCACTTCATCCGTAAACCCAGTTAGGTGTCCTTTATCAATGTTAAATGTTTGTGGCGCTGGGCCTTGCAAGATGTCTTCTGTTGTATTTAAAGTGTATGGGTTCTTTTTACGATGTTGTTGATTTGATTCGGACCTACCATCTTTGGTATATGGATACCGAAACAAAAGTCTATCACCCTTGCTGTCACTTTTAACCAATATTACACTTATAGGATCTGCCTCCATTTATTGTGATTTAGGTATTAAATGGAAGGGTAAGTTATTTGTTTGACTAGCCATTTTACGAATTAAGTTAGCTTCAAAAATCTAAATTTTATCAGGCCATTCAACACTTTCAATTTTACTTCAACTTACAACAATAGCTGATTTTTCCCATAAACGTGACACATTGTAGGCCTAGCCTACAAAATATTAAATTGGCATTTAGTATGGACTTAAATAAACTTAAAATCATATAAAGGTTTGGAAAACTCAACAAGATAAATAAGTTAGGCTAGGACTAGAGAGAAAACGGGACTTCATACCATTAAAAGTAACATTTGATTCCGTAAAGCTTAGATGAATTTCACTTCAGATCATATTATAATAACATTCATATATTGATTAACTTAATTAAACCACTGAAAACCAACATTATAAGACGGTGTCGTCGTACCTACTAAATAAAATATTAAATACTATTGTGTTCTGTGTTGTGTTCTGATTGACACTTGACAGCCTGTTTCTGTTTCTCAGTTTCTCTTCTTCTTCTTCCTCTTACCTAGTTTGCTTTTGCTTGTAAAGCTGGCTTGGTTTAAACTAAACTAACCATGTAGCCACACTGCTTTAACAGTACAATTAATTTTCCCGGACTTTTTACTTTCTCCCCCTATAACATAGTACAGTATATGGAGAAAGTATTGTTTTCTTATGTTATTTTCCCATAAAATAACAAAAAAATCTGTTTTTTGGAGATCAACTGGTTTGGATCAGAATTAATTGTCCTTATAATTCTAAACAAATCGTACAACACCATACATTGCTGTAACAATTACGGTTCAAAAGTTATTTCAGCTTTTGTGATTTTTAACTATACTATCACCGCTTGCTTATGATATAGGTTGTTGACAAGCTTATGGGAGAAAGTATGCATACGTCAATAGTAAAGGATGAAATAAATAAATTTGCCAAATTAAATGAATGTATATCCATAAACAAGTAAACTAGGCCTACAACAATTTTCATTTTCTCCATAAGAATAACATAGGAATTTTTACCGTTAGGCATATAACAGCGTTCCAATATACTAAATTATTTCTTTTTTAAGCTCTACAAAACGGTTGTTAAAAGAAATTGCATTTTTATTGGGGTCAAAAATGGGAAAACTCCATTTTTACCCCCATAAACCCCCGTTCCCATGGTCCGATTATGCTGGATCGCGAATTTGTTCGAATAAACGTAGGTTTACACGTTTTGTACCAAATATCATTAAAATTGGATCATTTTTGCTCGAGTTATCGCGCTAACGGACACACACACACACATATATGAATTTGAACGGATGGTGTTTTTTGCCTAGAGGGACCTCAAAATTAAAAATTAAATTGGTCCCGGGTCCAGGTCTTACCATGATTACTATGGCAATAGCTTATTCCCTATATGGGAAATTCGCTAAAAAGACAAAAGGTTTACCAACAGGGTGCAGCACAATTTTTTATTTATTTATGACAACAACTAATTTGAACTAAGCAGCAACAAAAAGCTGTGATACACAATGACAACTGTCAAAGTAGGATTGTTTACAGTTATGATTAAGTTTTTAATATAATGAATAATTTGTTAAATTGTGCAAATGTTTGATAATTGTTTTTCCTAGGTGCAGTGGTACGACATTATGGCTAAGGTAGATATGAAGTATTATCAAACTGTGTCCTCCCCCATTGCAAACGCAAATCTTGAGTATAACAACTACAATAAGCATTTTATACTTCTATTCCAACCCCGTATGAAGCACGGGTAATCTGCTAGTAATAAAGATACAGGAGTGGAGTGTCTCGTGGCGGCGCCGGATCGTGTGATAGAGTCCTCGCCACCCTTAACTTGAGACAGCCCAAACTGACCTGCAGGGCCATTACCGGCTGGTCCCGCACGACCCTTTTACAATCCTATTAGCAACGCTTCCGAGGACGCCCTAGTGCAATATTAACATTAATAAAATTATAATCTGATACAGTAGACTCCCTCTTATCCGGACACCTTTCAACCGTACATCGGTTTAACCGGACTACACTTGGCAGAAATGACATCTCTTTAACCTGAAAATTTTTATCAGCACATCGGTTTAACCGGAGTAGATCGGCAGGAAGTGGGCGGTACTGAAACGACCGTTCTCGTAGGAAAGATTTGAGACCAGTGATCACGTGTCTAAATACAATGCTCTCCTACATTCAAGTCAAATACTGTACACAGTATGCATTTGAGCGGTCCATTTTAACGAGTTTTTGGGGACTTTGGTTTACACGGAAAACCCGTTATCCGGACTGGCCTCGGCCCCGAGGAGTCCGGATAAGAGGGAGAGAGGGAGTCTACTGTATATTAATTTACAAGTTTACATCAATGACATAAACTTAACAAACATTTCTATTTCTGTCCCATCTAAAACGTACAATTTTGACGGGTTTTGCGTATAAACCCACTGACCACTGAGCCACTGAGTCGATGGCTCAGTTGGTAGTGTCGCGGACTTCGGGCCCAAGGCAGTAGTGTCGTGGGTGCGGATCCTGGTCACTGCCACAAACTTTTATCAGTACAGTTCACCTTTGTACTGTACCGGCTCACCCCTTGCTTTGCTGGATACGTTCCACACACAGATCTGTAGTCTATGTGGACGGGCAAATGCAAAGTTAAAAGAGGCCGCAAACCTTTAAAAAAAAAAAAAAATAATAATAAAAAATACCAAGTAACTTAGGTATAAACCGTAAACATTGTCCGTTTTAGATAGGACAGTAACAGAAATATTTGTTAAATCAGCAATGTCATTAACGTAAACGATTAAATTAATACGTCAGATTATAATTTTATTAATGTTATTATTGAACTATCGCGCTCTGGCGTTCATGGAAGTGTTGCAAATAAGATCGTAAATGTAAATGGGTCGTGTGGGATCTGCCTGCAGGTTAGTTTGGGCTGCCTCAAGTTAGGGTGGCGAGGACTATAAGCGGCGTGCCACCTCTTTTACGGTGTACTCGCCAACTGCAGTGCTATTGAAAGGCCCCTCGTACTTTTCACTCATTAACATGTAATATTTCTAAACTAATTTATACAGAATATGGATACAAATGTAAAAAATCATAAAAAAATAGTATTTGGTGGGTTCTTATGAAAAAAGTTATGCCTAGAAGTGTATGTAGCCAGGGTGTTGAAATGTTGAACTGCATAACCCCAGTCAGTGGCAACAGCCTCGCTTTCTGTTGTAGATCTTTTTATCAAAAATTGTTTTCTGATTTAAAATAATATTTTCCTTGTAGATTGGATCAGGCACTTTAGTCTGCAGCGCTCGAGTGATCAGGAAATCAAATGCTTTCCCTGAAAACACAAAGTACAGTATTACTTTTTACTAATAAATGTATTCAATAATTGTTAATGATGAGACTCACTTTAAACATAATCCTTTATCACAATTAAAGTAGGTACGTAAACAGTGTTGGAATAAAAGCAAATTCTTTGTAACACATTAATTGTACAACAATGCTTAATTCAATGTCAGAATTTTTAGTTTGTTCTACAACGTAAAACTTTATGTTTGGAGGGTAAATGATAGGAAACCCTATTTTTATCCACATAAACTCCCCACAAGACCCCGTTCCCATAGTCCAATCATGCTGGTTACTTGTTTGTATGTTTACACTTTTGTACTAAACCTCATCAATATTATTATTATCCGCTTTTAAGGAAATTCTGACAGATAGATTCTTAAGTTTGTTTTAGCGAATTTCCCTATAGGGAGTAGCTATTACCGTTGGTCTCATGGTAAGACCTGGGCCTGGGACCGATTTACTTTTCATTTTGATGTCCCCAGAGACCAAAAACACTATTCGTTCAAATTTTTATATATGTATACAGAGTGTCCGACGTAAGGTGTCTCGAATTGATTACGGAAAAACGGCTTACGTACAAGGATGAAATAAAATTATTGCCCGCTAAATTGACCCCAAGGAATAACATATTTCCGATACAGGGTGTGCCGAAAACTGAGGGTCAGTTCGAATCTTGGAGTTTTCAAATTTAAAAATATGTGATGTTATAAATCATTTTAAAGGTATTTAATAGATAAACATTTTGGTGAAAACGAAAACAGATATTAATTATCTTTTTCCGTTTCAAAATGGCAGCAGTTTATTTGGAAAAAATCAATATGTTTTTAATACTCTGTGTTTCCTATACCAAATGCACTTAGCCCTTCTCCGGCTGAATTTTCTTACTCGTTATGAAATTAGATTTACTGTGATATTCTACAAGTAACGGGTTTTTTTTTAAATAATACAAATTCAAAAAAATTGATTTTTGAACATTTACAAATGCTTATTGCCCTGTTGCAGCAAACCTAGGTACTCGTTGAGCGGAGCGAGCGAAGCTCTTATGCGTCGACTCTTATGAATTTCGTAATACGAAAACTCCTCCTAGACGGTTGAATCAATCATTTTCAAATTTTGCATGGTCATAAAGAGAATATCGGTGAGTGCCAACATCTATATGGCGTTAAAAAAGTCTCTCAGGAATCCGCCCCACTGGGTCTCAAATTTTCAATGTAATATCCTTATGGAAGCAGTATTTGACACATAAACAAAGTCATCTGATCAGCTGTTGACTTTTTAATGCAGTAGATAAAGAAATAGCTGATAGCATTATTCCACAGATATTAGAACAGAAACGGTAAAGCTGAACAGATTGTAAATAAAATTATAATACATACTACGATAGACCAACTTAGCTGTTTTTTCTATGTGAACTACTCAAATACAGTATGGTAAATAAAGGCTATTCAATGTAAAGTTGTATACCTTTGTAACAGATTGTATTGTAGCACTTCTTGTCAGATCAAATACCACAACGGCCCCAACTCTGTGAACATAGTGTTCAAAGGTTACTCCACTAGATTAAGATATCAAATTATTATTTTTATCCAAATCAATGATCTGATGAAACTACTATCAGTTATCACAAGTGGGTATCGAGTAGCTACTTACGCGGATTTGTAGTAGACTCTTGTCATATAGCCGAATCTTTCATGACCGGCTATATCCCTAGAAAATATTGACAACATTTAAGTTACAGGTATAAAGTTGATTATTGGACTGATAAATAATTGTTTTACAAAAAAATGTTTATGGTACAGTATACCATGTTCAGTTTTTCTCAGGTGTTAGAGGCTTGTAAAAGTGATGTTTCACATAAAATACCTAAGGAAAACAATTCAACCTGATACATTTTGCTGGGGACACCTTGGACCTTCATAGAAGGCCAAGAAGCCATATACAGGGTGAGTTTCTACTGACCGTGTTAACTTCGCCAGTGGGTCCTACTCACTAAAAGGAACAAAAAAGTTCCTGTAAACCCATGTCCGATTTTCGACCGTTTGGCTGTTTTGGGGGATTTTGTGTTTTTCTTATTTTATTAGACTTTGCTCCACAATTTATGTAATAAAAACTTAACCAATTACTTTAGAGAGTTATAGTTAAAATCATTGGAAAGAACATTAAATTTTCTATAAATCAAAGGTTTCATTCAACAATTATACCATTACATAGTCCACGTTATAACCAAAATAAAGTAAAAATGTCATTAAATTAATTAATTACGATAATTTTCATGGGCCTCCTTTGATACATAAACCTGCATTTATGCAATGTTGAAATGCATAAAAAACTTGGAATTTTAATAATCTTTCAAATAATATGCTATTCAATACTATTATTGATATAAACCAGTGAGAAATTACTAATAAACTACAATAAAACACGGTTTACAGATTATGTTTTTGCACAGTTTTACTGTTAATAATAATTACTGTATTCATCATGTTGGCATAATCTAGATTGGTAAAAGGCTCCATATTTTAATAAATGTTGAAAAACTCTTAATTGACTTGGAAAGTTAAAACAGCAAATTACTCAACAAGGTATGTTCAAGCAGCTGAGTTATCTAGCTATAGATGACAAATCAATAAAAGCTGACTTAATCAAGCACAAGGTAAAACTAATTACACAGCATTTAAGAATCAAACACACTATCTTTGAAAATGTGAAAAACCTTGAGTTTATACATTTTATTAATTCAGATAATTTTAATAAATATTTAAAAGTCAAAATAATGTACAAATTTTATCAGATAGTTCAATAAAATACATCATGGAGTATACAGTAATTATTATTAAAAGTAAAACTGTGCAAAAACAAAATCTGTAAACCGTGTTTTATTGTAGTTTATTAGTAATTTCTCACTGGTTTATATCAATAATAGTATTGAATAGCATATTATTTGAAAGATTATTAAAATTCCAAGTTTTTTATGCATTTCAACATTGCATAAATGCAGGTTTATGTATCAAAGGAGGCCCATGAAAATTATCGTAATTAATTAATTTAATGACATTTTTACTTTATTTTGGTTATAACGTGGACTATGTAATGGTATAATTGTTGAATGAAACCTTTGATTTATAGAAAATGTAATGTTCTTTCCAATGATTTTAACTATAACTCTCTAAAGTAATTGGTTAAGTTTTTATTACATAAATTGTGGAGCAAAGTCTAATAAAATAAGAAAAACACAAAATCCCCTAAAACAGCCAAACGGTCGAAAATCGGACATGGGTTTATAGGAACTTTTTTGTTCCTTTTAGTGAGTAGAACCCACTGGCGAAGTTAACACGGTCAGTAGAAACTCACCCTGTATATCTTATGAATCCTTGTACTCTTTATTAGTCATAAAATAATCTTGGCGTTTCATCCTCGTCTATGAAAACACCTACCTACTCTACCAACAGTAACAACACTGGTTCTAAAAGGGTGTGTATTTTTATCTGAAAAGAACAAAAAGCACCTGAAGAAATAGAACAGATTTAATGCCGTAGGTACTAGAAATGATACAGGCAAGTTTTACATTTCAGTGGAACAATCATGCCAGAAATATAAAGAACATGCTTTGGCTGCAATAGGCCTATACACCCGAGCCATTTGTAGACATTTTCATTATTAAATATGAACCACACACACTCTCCTCTACTAAACCCTCTCCCTCAAGCAAGGATGGTGGTTGGATAGCAGTTAGGGTTAGGTTAGTCAACATGGCTCTAAAGCTGTGTTGTTCCATAACCCCCTGGAATTAAGTAGGGTGTCCCCATCTATGTTAAATTGATAAAACTACCTACTTTTAATATTGTTTATATAAAGAAAACTGTAGTTGTATCAAGAAAGAAATTAATTTCTCAGTTATTCTTTGTTCAAACTAAGCTTATATAAGACATCTTGATATTTTCATAACATTTCCAAAATATTATTCATCTTGCAATCTTTTTGTTAAATTAACGGTTTTTGTGGAATTTGCCTTCAAATATATAAATTAATTATATTTTGCACAAAGGTATAGTAATCAGAAAAATACAATTTTTTGTAGAATTTTACACTAAGGAATATCAACGCCACATAAAGTTAGACTGAGTAAAACCACACAAATTGTGGGCGTATTTGAAAATTTCTATCATGTAATAACTTTTAAAAATGTATTCAGTGTCATAAGGAAATACAAATTGATGAAAAATATTAAACGTTTTTGTGTGCATTAATTTTACTTACCAAAGTTGTACATTAATTCTTGTTTCGCCATTCCAAAGGACAGTCTTCAAAGTAAAATCTGCACCTATAGTAATTTTATAGTTTGAAGAAAATCTTCCTGCAACAAAATGTTCCAAAAATGACAATGTTATTAATGAAAAATTAATTCGACAATACGGTATGTTGGTTTTGAACTTCTAATACAGGGTGTCCCAAAAAAACTGAACCTCTTTGTTGCAGTGAACATATTTTAATAACAGGCTTATAAAAAATTGTATAAATAATGTAAAGTAACACATTTGTTTTTAAGTTTTACTGAAAAAAGTTTAATTTAAAAATTTTAACATGGCCCTATAACTTGGCCTGTTAACTTACTGGACACTCTGAATATCCCTTATATCAGTGTGGATACTAAGCAATTCCTAGTTATAAGGCTTATTATGCAAAACCACACTTTGTAAGCAGATCAAGTGACCAGTCAACCTAACTGGTCGGGGCGAGTTTTTGTAAACTAATGTTTTTCTGTGGTCCAGAGCAAGATCACAACCACATCATGCGTTACCACGGTTACCACAGACACCTTGGTTCTCACAATGTGTGCTATAGATACCGCAAGTATAAATCCCGTCCTATTACATATAAATATTGAAGATTTATTTATCTGAGTTTCATTAAAAGGCCTCTTTGGCCGCCTATACATCAAACATTGAAATTGCTGTGTCATGGACCTTAATAAATATTACAATTTAATAAATGGGAATACTCAACTATTATTTATATTTCAATTGGTCAGTTTCAACTAATAACTGCTTCGTCACGGCAGTATTTTTTCCACAGCGACCTTTAGTCACAGAAAACATACTACTATGTTTTCTGTGCTTTAGTCTAGATAGAGGTCAAAAAGGGGTTTAAGAATCAATTTTAAGTTGTTTGGCAACATAATAATTCCTATCACCAAGATTAGGAAATCAGTATTATTTTGAGTCAAAAGTAAATATTTGTTAATATTGTTTCTAATTCCCTAGCAATTCAAAACAGTTCTAGTGGACGTGGACTATTCAATAAATATTGATTTGTGCAGTTACATCACTGTGTACATTGATCTATATTTGGTCAGGTTGTTCTCTAGTGATAGATAAGAGAACCACTGTTATAGTTCAGAGTCGGATACAGGGAAATCACGATTATAATTGACTACTAAACTCTACCTAATTGTGGTAGAATGTGTCATTGCATGGCTTATGAGGGAGAAGTTTTCCAACACGAAGAGTTTTCCTCGACTGTGAGTCATATTTTTTTCTAGGAAGGTTCAAGGAGTGAATCGACATTTCCATAAGGAAATCCATTGGTAATGAGCGGTATTATAAGCCAGATCTCCATGAAAGAAAGCATTGTGTTCTGACCACTAGACCGAGCCACTTTATCATATTATTATAGCAATTATTAATTAAAGATAATGTCTTGAAATGCAGCTAAATTCAGAGTGCATGCACCAGCACCATTTCAGAGTGGATTTTCAAGATAGGCCAATCTGCCAGTCAAATTATTTCACTCATTCTCTAAAGTAACTGTGTATAAATAAAAATATTACTCGATACTGAAAAAAACTCTCCAAGGTCCACTAAAACTGTTTACTGTGGAATATAAGCCTAATTAAAACTATTGTACGGAAATGTCGTTCCAAGCCGCTATAAAACAGCAGACAGCTCATATTACCAATGATTATAACTTATTAGATATTTCGTAAAATCGACGGTTTCATAAGAGAAGATTAAATAAACTTTACGATTGTTTTACAAAATATTCTATTTGATTAGTGGCGATCGTCTGTCTGTTATTATTGTTAGGAACTGTAAAATGTAAACAATGTAGCTTTCTTACTATTTCCATGGACAATCAAGAAAATAAACGTTTATAAGTTTATTATGATTACTTTGTAAACTAAATGAGCGAATTAGGTTTTTGTTTGGGGGAAATTATTTCCGAGGAATTTGTGATATAGAAACAGTTACTGGAAGTTTCACGGAGATCAGTTAGACGGTTCGGTAAAACACAGGACACACACGTTAAGATTTTGTGAAGAATTGTATAGATACAATTATTGGTACTTTATATAATTATTAGGAGAGCATGTCGCAAACCCGACACTAAAAGGTTTCCCATAGCCAAAACGGCGGCGGTTTAAAATTTTGATCTTGAACTTATCGAAAAAAGCTCAGTCTGCTTAAACTTCCAAGATTTAGGCTAGGATGGACCTAAATTTGTGGCACTGTGTTGTACTAGAGAACAATAATTTGATACTCGCCTTTTCTGATTTCGTTGCATCTGCAATGGTTTAAAAATAAAATCACGGACTTTTGAAGGATTCCGGATAAGTAAATTGTAATTTTAAGTATAAATGATTTCTAAAAGTTTCCGGAACTTGTACACTCAGCACAGCACCCCTGAGAGTGGGAATGATCCGCTACCGAGGTCGATATATCGTTGGGTGTTGATGATTCACGCGGACGGAATTTACCGATCCACCGCAGTCAGGTCCAAACTAAGAGTCCACCTCAACTCTGCATTGAATGCAGTGCCGAATCGTAACCGATCATCATTGAATCGACCAATGCAATGAATGATCACTCAATGCAGTGCATTTGGGTCGGGAATTACACGCACAATTGCGAAAAAAGTCATGCAAAATCTCAACATCTTGTTGTACACATTTTAATCTGTATTGTAGCCGTAATTTTTCTATTGTCGAATAAAAAACTTTGGTCGCTTGATTAAAATTTATATTTAGCTTTTTTAAAGTAATTTGAGTTTATATATTTATAGGTACTCTTGTGCAATGATTTAAAAAAAATCACGATATTAATTCAATTCAATTTAATTTTTATCGTACGACGTTCGGAGTTTTCTTCAATTGGTATGCTAGATTTTATTTCACTGTCTGAGTACGAAAACATATTTTTTGTTCGAAACTCGTCTAGTCATATTTAAATCCATAAAATATTTTTGCTTAATTCAAGTTTTACGTTATCATGTACCTTCGTTGTTAGTACTGTAATGATAATATATTCAAAATAACGAATTGATGTTGCTGAATAAATAATAAGCATAGAGTTTTAATATTTCACGGACCAAATAATAAAAAATAAAACTTATGAGAAACGATCACGTGTATCACCCTGTAACAAATTCGTTAATCCTAAGGATACTATATTAGTCATAAAACAGTAGACTAATGTTGATAATTGCCATAATAATAGTTAAAGTGCAATAAGCAAAAGGCATAAACAGGAATTTCTAATCTGATCATGTTATAATTTGAAATCCACTCCTGATTTATTTTCCAACCTGCTTCATCTAAATCTGAACAAATTTGTTCATAAACGTAAAAACTTTAACATTACAAAATAACATTTTAAACGCATGTCACTACTGTTGTAAACATTGGGACAAACAATAAGCCTCTGTACAAACAAACCTAATCTGGGACAGTGGTGTTATCTGAGATTTGAACCTCGGCGAGAGTAAACTTTTTGTTTGTTGACGTGAATAAGCTCTGGGTCGACCCGGTCGCATTTCAGTCCGTTGCACATGCTCAATCGAAGCAATGAGAGAAATTAGGTAAACAGGCTAAATAAACTAGATAAACTGGATGAACTGGATACACAAACAACTCATACATTAACTAATAGAGAAATGTAGATGTAGAGAACGGTTCAAAGTATACAGTGAAATGTCTGTCGTTCCAAAGGTTTGTCGTTACAAATTTAACTATTTACACGGGTTTCATTGTGTATAAACTGACAATTCTTGTTTTACGTTTGACAATTTATTTTTTTTACAAAATGACTGTTTGGAGCCTGTAAAAGTATTTTTACTGGACCTCACCGTTAGAAAGTGCAAGCTTAAGTAGTCGAGAAATTAAAATCCGCTCATAAAATCTATACTGTTGACATAACGCTTTCCTGTTATACATTTTATAATTAAATTGTTATGATAATTATGTTTCTACATTTTTGTTAGCAAAATATTGATTGAAATGTTATACAAAATAGTGTATTTATACGTTTCTTAAAAGGCTTGTTCTAACCCTGGACTAGAATATTGGATTAAAACACAATACCGAAAAATATTTTGATAGGTACTTGACATAGGTAAGGTTTTATTTAATATACGATAAATACATACTTGTAAATCAACATATTTAAACAATCGTTATTAAATTACTTCTTGTTTAACGCATCCGTAAACATTTTACCGGTATCACAGACGTGCCGGTACATACTATAACAAATATCCCAGTACAGTACGGGTTTTCTTTTTCTGTTATTGTAAATGCGAATTGAGAAATAATTAGTTTTAGTATGTTTCTAACACATACACAGATTTGGTTTACTATACAATATTGATAACATTAAACAAGCTTGTTGAACAATACTTAATTTAGTTAATTACAGTACAATGTTTATTCTGAACAATAAGGCAAAATAAAATAATTTTATAGTACTTACCATCGACATATCTGCGGACTATAGCAGTTTTACCTGAAATAAACCTGAGTGAATATATTATTGTATATAGAATTTAAACTCGTTTTACAATGAAGGTCAATTGTCCTTTTTCCTGGATTATTTGTCATGCACGTCACTTTTGTTTAGTGACATATATAATATCACTCGAGTTAAACTATAAATAAAGAAGTTAATCGCATTAGCTACCACAGTAAAATATAGAGTACAGCACGTAAATCTTAGTGATTGCAGATACTTAATATTTGCTTCATTATTGGTAGTTTCAGAAACACTGGCGAATGGTTTTTGTCCTAATCATAGCAGTTTTACTGCTATCCAACATTTTAACAACACAAACCATTTATGCTGTCATTATCTGTTATTACGTCGCAGTAATAAATAAAAATATTTAACAGACAATTTATATTCATAGTGTTACTACACAATCATAATCAGTGATAGTAAAGGCTTAAAAAACAACCTTTGACACCAATCTAGATAACACAAACAAAGTATTCACTCACCAACACCAAAATCTCCAATTATCAGAAATTTCAGCTGTTCATCCATCAAATGTGTCCTTCCATTCGGTAGTTCATCTCTTCTTATCTCTCTGTCACTTCTGTTCCTATTTAAATCCATTCTGTAATTAAATCACACGTGCATTTCAATAACACTGATTCAACTGAGCGCGAAATGCGCGCGGTGCGACTGTACGACAGCTGATCATGACTTTGATCAGCTGATTCAGTGACTACTAGCGCTTGACAGTTGTAGTAGTAATAGTCAAAACTAAGACAAATTGTAGTTGTTATAGAACAATATATTTGCACTTCAACTATTTTAAGTAACATTTTAGTTTGTCATTTTTAGTTTATCCTAGGAAGTTGAATTACTTGATTGACATTTTATGATAAATAAGTAAAATTGTAGTTGATCAAACAATGGTTTGCAGACTAAGTTTGAATTAAATTCTTAACTGCAGTAATTTGTGCATAGTTTAACAATAATGTTTGGGATGGTTTTTTTAATTAGTTTTATATAGGCTAAAAAAACCACCAAGTTTGGTTTTGAGACGTTTGTTAAATGTTTAAGTTTATTTACATAGAATTTTCTATCTTTAAAATACCGATATTTTATAATTTACGATATTTTTTAAATAATTTTTACCCATAAACATAACTTATGTTTATAATAATTTTGTTATATTCTAAAACTAAGCCTTAATAAGTTTTTTGACATTTAAATAAATAAAATATTATATTAAGTAGCATTCACAATATTTCAACAATTTTGAATGCACTTTTAAAGCTTCACAAGTAAACTACTGTATTGTTTTCAGCACAGTGTGCCTACAAAGTTTAGTTGATTCTTGTACATAATTCTTAATACGCCAAAACAATTAAGAGACAATTTTATGACACGATGAAGTTTTAAGTGTACTCCTTTTCAGTATTAAGGCCTTTCTTTAAATCTGACAAAAATCTTAAAAAAGATCCAAGGGTCAATATTGTCTTGCATGTCAACCTGGATTAAGAATCCCAAGTGCTTGAGGCTCGATTTTACAAGCTACTATTCAGCAATTAAAAAACAGTCTTGCAGGCGAGTACAACATACAACTCCCCTATTGCCCGATTCCTCCTACATCATCATGAATAATCCTAATTGTTGCTCATGCACAAGAAACTGTAAGTTCCCGTGGATAGTTTTACGATCTAGTAAGCTAAAAATCCAGGAAGTGGTGTGTTAAGTTTCCGGTAGTGTCAACTTTTCCAATAGCAGCTATCAAGCAAGTACAATGTACTTTTCATATTCCATTTACAAAATTTGGGCGGTTTTAGGGAAAGAAATCTATCCCCTCTACTTGATCTCATCTTTAAAACAATAGCTCAACAGCTGAGGTTTGCCAAAACGTCAATCAACTGCAACATATACATTAAGTAAAATAGTCGTGCGGGAACTTCTCCTCGAACCCCCTAAATTTTGTGAGCGGACTAGTTTCTGAGCTGCATGTAAAAAGGTCGGCTAGTAGCTTCTAAACTCGCTTATGAAATAATTCTGGCTAACAGATCAGCTGATTAGAGTAAGTAATAATATCATACAAGATACAAACAATATTCATCTTTGCCTCAAACTATGTGTTCTAGAAATTAACGCTTGCACCGGTTCAATTTAATCAGTTCAACACACGTGGAGTTGAAAAAACATGTCTGAGAGGTTAAAAATAATTCCAAACTTCTTAAAATTTGTTCCTGCATCCTGCATCAGGATAAGATTTAAATTTTTTTTGTCTAGAGAGCCTTAGTACGTTTATTTAGTTTTCTTTTTTCAGCCCAATACTTGTTAATTTTTTCCGCTCTTACGAATAATCTCAGGGTAGGCCTAAATTTTATGTATCAGTAGATGTTTTAAATTAGCAATAATCACACCTCAGTAAAGAAGAACTTCATTGGTTACGATATTGCAAACGACACAACGTTGACGTCTACAGGTAGCTGAGCTACCAGGGCTTTGGCCCACAGCTGACCACGAGTATATGCTCCACCAAGGAGTAGGGACTCGAGAAGAAGTGGTGCAAATAGCTACAGTCATGTATTCTGAATGCCTGCCTACAGTGGCGGTGATAAAAACCCGCAAGCCCCCCTCTCACAATAATCTTTAAAAACATAATCACAGGTATTTCCACCTTAACTTGCATCTTTGCTTGGCACAGCATCTCCCATGGCACCGAGGCGTCATCATCGTTTTCCATTATCCTGGCAAAATCATGAATACTTCTGTTGTCATCTTTGTACACGATTCACTTAATTGTGATATCACGGACAAAATAAAATTCAGGAATGACGAAATACAGGATTTAATTTAACACCAAAAAAAGCTTGTGTTCTTTACAAATCCAAACAACAAACTAAACTTGTTTACATTATTGAAACAATTCAAACACATGACTAATAAATTAAATAGCTTATATAACAAAATCAGTCTTATTGAAATCAATTAAAATCGGTATCTCAGCAGATGTTATTTTAAATATATATTGACGTTTTAACCAATGACTTGCTGGTTATATCACGTCACTTCCCGCAGTCATGGAAACATAATCATAGTCTAACGTGATTGAAACCAAAGCTAGGACATTATCAGATAACAACATCATCGTCTCCTGCGTTCGCAGCCCAATCCCTAATATCTGCCCGCAAACACGGAAACATAATCTTTTTCCCCCATTGCGGTCAAAATATATGGACGATGATGACGTTTATATCTCCCGCGTTAAAAGAAATCATCATCTTCCATGACACTAACGCTCGTAGGTTGGATTTCACGTACTGTACTACTTGAGAGCCCGTGGGTTAGCAATACATCTATTTCGTGGAGGAATGCAGTGACGAGCACACGTAAATCGGTGTCAATAGCTAAGCTATCTCAGTAGTCAGTTATTATAAGTATCACATCGATGTAAGATATGATAGGTGTAGTTAAAATTTGAATTTTTAAAATCTTTGGATTTTTTAAATGAACAATTTGTGTTAAGTGATCAAAAAAATGTAGCTAGTTCTTTAAGAACTGTATAAATATTGTGTTTTATGAGTATGTATTTTAAAATCCACATATAAGAGTATTCCATTCAGCTTAAGTTTTAGTAGAATCATATATCACTACATTTACATTATGTTCATAAACAGAAGCTTTTTAACATGAATCGGTAACTATAGGCGTGGACAAGCAACCTTTTGACCAAAGGGTTGTTTCCCTGCATTGTTCACCAGTCCTTTATTCCCACTCTCATCCTTGGGTTAAAATACGCACATAGTGGCGTCCCCATCTTAAATAATTATTGGATGCGATGCTCACTGGTGTGGATTAACGTCCGCACTAGTGAGTACTACGACTATCCGCAGTACTATCCTGATAATTAGACCAATTCGTAAATTACAAGGAAAAATGTGGTTCGGATTCCACTATAAACTGTAGGTCCCTTAGTTGCCATTAGCTGTATGGGCTATTAATTAACAGCTGTGTCTAAGGAACATGTCGGCCTTAGTCACTAACAAGACTACAAGATCGCGCCACTCATCCTACACTCATCCTTCACTCATATTTGGGTTAAAATACGCACATAGTGGCGTCCCCATCTTAAATAATTGATAATTGATAATTAATTGATAATTGATATTACTGCCACTTGACTGAGTACTAAATGGGAGTAGGAAATTCAATAGCAAACAAATAATTTTCTTAACAATACAAATACACTTAAAACAATGTGATATATAGCATACTTGACTTAGTACAGTCCCAACCCTTTACCCCAGTGTTTCCTGTCCACAACTATAGTTGTTTTTTGAGAGTCAGTCAGTTGTACACAAATAAGTCCAAAGGTATAATTATTCACTAGTAAGACAAGTGTTAGTTTATTTAATGCGGCCATACACTTTGTTAGGGTTAGGCAATTACTGAAGACACTTTGCAATAAAATATTTATTTACAGAATAGGTAAAGATAATTAATTTAAAAACAAACTTGTAAAGTCAGAGAGAAAATATTGCAAAAGCATAAAATAACTTTGTTTCTTTAAAACGGGGGAAAAATAATTAGTTTTACAATACAGGATTGATAAAGAATTGTTACGAAATTGTGCACAAATATATTCTTAACTGCAGATTGACTTATAAAAAAAACAATTTATTGTCCTAATGTCATGATAACAAAGGGTATGGTACAAAATATTACAACAATAAAAATAACAAAGCAAACAAAATAAAAATAAATTAAATTAAAACAACACCAACATAGTAATGATAATTAAAGCTAAAATAAATTTTAAACCTTAAACAAAAAAAGTAGTGCAAAAGAAAAAAATTTATATATAGTAATCAATGGTAAAGAAACAATTTTTCTTGACTTTAAACGTAGAATTTAAAAATGTTGCCAGAAAATAATAAAATAATTTTTTTCAAAATTAAAAGAACAGAATATTCTTTGTATAAAATGAGCTATATATATAATAGGTGGTACAGACTAGACTAGAATTCAGTTTGATCTGTAAGTTTTAAAAGACTAACAAAAATATCTTTAAGTTGATAAATACTAAAAATTGAATTTACAAAATGTAATTTTTTAAATCAGTTGATATAGGACTACAAATTAGTTCTAAAGAATATTGTTATTTAGTTGATACTTATGATCAGCTTTTTATTGATGAATAAAATCACGAAATAAGTAGGCCTATGTAATTAACAAAATTTCAATTGAAATAATTATTGATTTCCTTGTCTCATCTAAGTTAGCTACAGTACAGAACCATCTTCAAACTGATTAAAATTCAACAAAGGGAAATATTAAACTAGTTGAAGTAGATAAAGCAAAGACTTAGTGTTTGTGGTTTTCATCCAGATAAGAAAACTTTACACGATAACAGATTGTAAAATAAAAAAATTTTCAAAGCTTAAAAATGCATTCAAAGATGTCTAAATTCTGAGCAATGACTTAAGGCTTGTCTCTTTGTTGTATATACTCCATTGCGGATTGTAACATTTTCTTTTCAGCGATTCGTAGTTGAATTGAGAGCTTTCGACATTCTGTCATTTTCTCTTCCAGTATCTTCAAATCATCCTGTAACAAAAACTCACTTTAACATTATTATGGTTTAAATACTATAATTTATACTTGAAGTATAAGAGAAAATATAATTGTGACAGCACGATTTGGAAGAAGTTTCTCTAAGGTTTATCAACCAGAGTGTAGAAACAAGGTGGTTAAAATGGTATTTTCTAGGATTCTAGAAATAGAAAAGTATCCGTATCCCGTATTAATGTAAATTTTTACATTCATAACCATCCCAGTAGCAACGTAATATTCAGAACTTAGGGCACTGAGCAAGGAATCAGAAAAATCTTATAACTGTGTTTGAGAGTAGGGTTCAGAGAACAATATATTTGGTTCAAGGTAACAGAGGTTGAAATACAAAAGGATAGAGAGCTAAGAGAAATATATAAACACCCAGACATATGGGTGCTTTCCAAAAGTAAAACGCTCGGATGGACAGGCTATGCGTGGTGAAGAGAAGATACATAAACATTTTAATGTGTATTCCAAGGAGTAACACAAGGTAGCCGACCACTTGGAAGACCAAGAAGGAAGTGGAAAAACCAAGTAAGGAATAAAGTCCCTGAACTGGGGTATACAATAGAAGAGGCAGGTGATAAAAAAAATGAGGTATGTTAGTTGGCAAAGCCAAAAACCTCTTAAGATTTTGATGGCCATGGAGGTGAGATAAGGTTAGTGATGGTAGCAAAAACTTAGTGAGAGAATATTTTACATATTTCTAGGGTACCAATAAAACAGAATAAACTATTTCTATAACCACTATTGTACATTGTATTTTTACCTGGGCAAAGCCGGGTTTTGCTGCTAGTCTATTTAAATTTTGAGTCTATTGATCTTACCTCAAGTGTAGTTGGGTAGAGACTCTGCAGCAGTTTGATCCTAGCCAATAGGAAGTTCCAAGCCTTAGCTTCTACCTGGGTATCCAATGCACAGTCCGGGTAGGTCAGATCCAACACTCTCTCACTGTCCACCCACTGGTCCAAGTGTTCTGGGGATCACAAAAGTAACAAATTAACACTTTAGTACATATAGATAACCTCTAGCAGATGCGGCTAGTGATCAGAGGTGGTGGGATGACTGTGTATATTTTAACATAAAAATAAAACTCTGGGGCTATCACAAAAATACTACATGACTTTTATAACACACTCCTTCATACTTTATGTACTAACCTCACTCCTAACTCTGTTGCATTAAAAACCTCTTTTATTCCAAAGGAAAAGTTGATGACAACAAATTTATGGCCTTGTTTCTGACAATATACAATGTCCTAAGCAGTGATAGATTTAGCGCACATGGGCACTAGGCCGAATTAAGCTGAGCGGCCCCGTCCCTTCGGTGGAACTTTGCTGCAATCACATTGAAATGGTAAACATCTACCGCAAAGTCAAAGTCAAAGTCAAAGTCTTTATTGCCATTAAATACAACAAGTACAATAGGCTCGTCATTTAAATAAACAAAACATGCAAAATCAAAATCCATCAACAAACAATTCAAATAAATAAGCTCTCAAATAAATAAACCGCAATCAAAGGTACATTATCAGCACCATATTATAGCATACCATAGTCATAGCAAATTATAATTTTTTTCATTTATAATTTCAAAAAATAAATCTTGTTGTACCAAACCCTGCAACCCTCTTTTAATGCGGCCTTCGGTCATCGCCTGGTGGTAATTGCGGCACTGGTCTTAAGTTAAAAGTTAGAAACCTTATATAATCTACAATCCAAAACAAATGGGATTGTTTAGTTGTAGTCCAGCAGAAATACAGACGGTCCTAATTTTGATTTTGCGAGTAAAATTTACATCTGTGTGAATAAACCTTCCATAAGCATTCTCTAAAGCTCAAAGTACAACTCCTTCGTTTACTGACCCTGGTTCATGCTGAAGACTCTGAGGAAAGCCAGCAGTTGACCTTCCACTGGCTGAGCTCCCCGGAGTAGTACAAAGTCAGCAGCTGTGGGCAGTCCTAGCCTACCTAGCACCTTGGCTCTCTGGGCTGACAAGGGGTCAGACCTGCAGAGGAGAAGCAAATAAGTAACAACAGTTGTGGACCTAACAGTACATTTTAAAGTAAAAATACCCCCGCCGCAGCAAACCTGCCGACTAAGCGAATTTCCATTTGTCTGAATTGATTTTCAGTTAAATATATTTTAATAACATTAGGTTTAACGAGTACCTAGGTTTGCTGCTACAAGAAAACTAAAAAAGTGTGTTTTTGAGTAAAATATTGATAGCTTAGTCCAAAATAAATAAATTTGCCAAGTTTGATCAAAATATATCCATAAACAAGCAAACTACAACATTTGACAATATTCTCCATAAGAATAACATGGGAATTTTAAATTTACAATTTTTTTAATTTTCTCCATTACTGATAATCGAACAAAAATACTTTTATATACTAAATTATTTGTTTTTTTAAGCTCTTTAAAAAGGTCTAAAGAGAAATCGGGAAATTTCGTATTTTGAGGGTCAAAAGTGAGAAAAACCAATTTTTACCCCATAAAACCCCCCGTAAAGCCTCGTTCCCATGGTCCGATCGTGCTGGTTCGCGAACTCATTCAAGTTTATCCCGCTTTACACCTTTAAACCAAATTTCATCAAAATCGGACAAAAATTACTCAAGTTATCGCGTTCACGGACGTATATATATATACATATATAAAAATTTTAACGAATGGTGTTTTTGGCCTCTGGGGACATCAAAATGAAAAAGTAAATCGGTCCCGGGTCTAGGTCTTACCGTGCCACCTACGGTAATAGCTACTTCCCTATAGGGAAATTCGCTAAAACAAAAATAGACCGTTAGGCTACAAACTGTGGATGTGTAACCGAAAAAACAGCATCATTGCCATTACAAAATGCATATTTTAGCCTTTTATTAGTATAAACTTGATCAAGAGGCTCAAAATGATAAAATATTGATGCTGGATGAGTTTATGGATTGAGATACTTATATGGCTTTAACATACAGAGATCACCAAAGTCTTTTGTCAGGACCCTTAATGCCAATGATAAAGACCGGATGGGTTTAGTTTCAATCCACAAAAAACCCACTTTATCAGGATCAAACTGGCAAATATAAATCAAGGTTATAATTTTATCCCATAACTTTAAATGATGGCTTGGATTCACCAGAAAACTCTAAATATCAGTGTCAAAATTGGAATCATTTTTGAATCACCAAGTTGCTCTGAATCAAAAACACCCTCTTAAGAGGTTATTTACATGTTATTTCAACCATTTATGTGGGACAAATTCAATTCAGCTAAAAGGTTTAAGTTATTTTTCTTTAGCTGCTAGAAATCTTGTAAGAGATAGCAAACAGATAATGAGCAAAAGTTTATTATTTTAAATTATTTACTTAGCAACTCCCAGTCTAATACGGAAACTGTCGTGGATGTTGTCTGGATACACAAAGCCATTGTGGACGAGAAGGTCTGCATTGCTACGAGCTCCGTAGAAGATAAACACCTGAACAATAAAAAATACTGGCTCATAGGATATTAAAAGTGTATTTTCGTACAAGTCTTGATGGCTTTCATTAAAAAGATACTAAATATTTAAACGTTTTTGTAAAGCATTTAGTGAACTGGAATCTCCAAGGGACAAATATACAGTATTGCCTTGGAGACGATTAAAGTTTGCCCTTACTTGATAGGTTACCTACAGCGTAAAGTGGGCTCCAAGTCACTTCACTGATTATCCCAAAGCTAAGAGCTATTAGCATTTGACAGGATTTGAAACCAGACTTCTAGAGCAGAAGTATTTTATTCCAACCACTATATTAAACATTTTTGAGACACCAAAGCATAATGAAATTAATGTTATTACAGTCAATCAGTCATATTTTATTAGTCTACTTGTGAAAAGTTGTATTAATCTTTTAAAAGGTTAGTTAATATTACATTAGATGTAGATTAAAGTCTTGGTAAAATAAATACACAACTGACCATAGAAGTAACAGAACTGAAAAACATTGCAATCAAAACCATTAATATAATAGTTTTGAATTGAGGCAAAAAATAATTGAATTGAAGGTTTATTTTACCATTTCAGCCCAACGAGTCGTCGAGGTTGAAGTTACTTCAGCTGTTTGTTTTAATTATTGAGTACAAGTACAACATTAGATCCAAAAAGTCAAGTTCCGCGTCCCTCTAAATCAAAGTAGTAAGAAGCGTTATGGTTAGTCAAAGTACTCGGAAGGGTTTGGATACGAGAAATAAATAAACACACATGGAGACTACACAAAAACATCTTACACTATTTTTCATGTTGGTTCTTTCTATTTATTTATATATCATATCCAAAACCTTATGACGACTTAATCTTTGAGTTACAATATCACTTTTTTTACCTGACTATCAGTGGCGGATCCAATAGGGGGCTAGGAGGGTGACCCCACCCCCTCGGTCATATATATTTTTACTGCTTGTTATGTCAACATTTTACCACAATTGGCAAAGATGATGGTGATGTTCCGTTACCGGGGGATTATTCCGGGTTTTGCTGTGACCGCATCAGACAATGACAATGTCTAAACGGCCACTGGAAATGATCAGAACTGTGCCGCGATCATGGAAGACGATGGTGACGTTTCCGCGAAAGTGTGGGAGACAATAACGATGTGAAGGGGGGCTTCACCTCTAATCTCGCCTCCCCTCTATCTATAGCTGCATTCGCCACTGCTGACGATGTATATAAGAATACAGTACCATAATTTTTTGTAGTGATACTACTCAGTATTACTGAATAGTTTGCCTACAGCACGGATAAAATGAACCTTTAGTTTTCATCTAGAGTGTATTTCATCATGAAAAATATTAAGTAGAAACACAAATTATTGTTTCCGCAATAACAGTAGAGAGGTGAACAGTTAATTTACCTGCTCTCCTGCATTGAAGTCTCTCCAGGCTAGGCACTCACTGCGATCAGATCCTAAGCTGTAGTCTGTGGAGATCTGATAAAGGAAAAGAGAATGCATCAACAGATTAGACCCAGACTTTACAAAAGGACGACTAGCTTTACCTCTGCTTCTCATGAGAGTGAGAACGCTGAAGGGAAGAACGAGGTGGTAAATCTATGTTAAAACTGTTAAACTACTTCACAATTTCTTCTGTTTGATTCAATCAGCTGTCTGGTAGGGTAATAGTAGTTTACGTAACGATTGCGTTTAGATAGTCTTTAAGACAAGAGAAGAACATATTTACGTGAGTTGCGTACACTAATTTACCTACAACTGTTTTTTTTTAATTAATTACTAAAAATCACTATTAATGACTTGTAAGAGGGATTATGTTTTTGTTTATAACATCTCATAGCGTGACTTATTGAACCTAACACTCAGTTTAATCAATTAAATTGGTCTTAACAGCTGATTAGTTGACGTTCGAAGCATTACAATATTAATATTACTTCTTTTCTCTCAATCCTTGAACCTCATTGGTCCGTTACTCGGGTTGTAAAGTGAAACAATAATGCTGTTAAGTATGTAAACAATGCTGTTAAGTGAATCTTTTCAGTTTTAAGAACTGAACTGAAAAAGCTAGTTTAAAACACGATCGTTAGGTAAACTTAATAACAACAGTGGAACATCGATAACAAGACCTAACAACACCCAGGACATCAACAACCTTGATGGAACTTGTTGGGTTAACACGTCACCCAGTATAACAAAAGAAGGGGGGGGGGTAATTTTTAAATCCTCTTGAATTTATTTTACCCCTAATCACGTGTTACTGCAAACTTCGATAAGAACCTTGATAACAAGTCATATTTAATAATCCCCATGAGAGTCTAGTTATCGAGGTTCTGGTATTCAAATGTAACAGAGCAAATGTAAAAATAACAATCAAAAAAATTTTTTTTTGTTGCCAAGACCAATCAATATTTACTTGTAAGCCCATGTGTAAAATCTTTCCAAGTAATTTTGGATTTTCCAGATCTCTTGTACGTTAAGGAGAGTAAGTTGTGACCTCAGAGACTGTGTGACTATATTTTACCAGATAATGATATGAAAAACATATCTAAAAACATTTACCCAATTTAATAAATAACATAATATTGAAGAACTGGTGGATTTGACTCATACCTTTCCATTGGAGTGGTTGGCCATGTCCCACAGTGGGATGAGAGCGTTGACCATGGATGAACCATCAGCTGAAGGGATGAAGTTCTGTCTGGTCATGACAGTAGATACAGCCCATCTGTAAACAAAATTGTCGAAATATTAGAGAAAAGACAAGTATTCTTTGTGCAAATGGCTTCCATAGAAAGCATATACAGCTGCTTCATTGCGGGGGGATACGCGATCAAATTGATTTATGATGGGTTAGCCTCTGGATCAAGCTATAGCAATATTAAAATGGTTTAGAATACTCCATTTAAAAGAAAGCTCATTGCTGAGATTTAGATCCACCCGTGTCATCTTCCTTTATACTGTTAGGTACCATATGCAAGGGAGCGGTAATAAAATGTCAAAATTATCAATGACTTCATCAGTTTAAGTTGTGAAGCCTCGGTTTCATTCCAAATAGGAATGTTTCCTTTGCAAGAGACATTATCGTTCCAATGGTAAAGAGAATCACATATTATTTCAAGTCAATTGACATTTCATCACTGCCAACATCTTGCGATATTAATGTATCATAAGAACATCATAAATGTACTAAAATAGAAATGTTTTGTCGTCAAACCACAGACATTACAACCAAAAATGTTTGTACAGTATTCCTCTTTAGCTTGAAAAGGTAAGGATGGCCTTGATGAGGTATTTGCAATATACAAAAGTTAGCCAAGTTTGTAGATCACATCTAGATCGTTCCTTTCAGTGGCGGTTCCAGGATTTCATTTAGGGGGGGGGGGGTGACCACCGAGGGTCTGGGGGGTATGGTATATCATAAAAAAAATTTGGAATTTAAAGCCTAAAAACATATTTTTGTAAGTATTTGACCTCTAAAATATGCTCTACCTAATAAAAGTAAGTGCTAGTAAAAGTATGCAAGTACTGTATTTATGTTAGATAATAAAATATAAAATATTTCGGGGAGGGGATATATCCCTCCCACCCCCCTCCCTAGGATCGCCACTGGTTCCTTTGCACTTTAACAACATGGGTTGAAATTTAATTTCACCATCATGACCGGTTCGGAAGGAAGATGAAGAGATACAGGAATACAGCAACATAGCTAAACATACAATACTATATCAAAATCACCAATATTGGAGGGGAACAATTTTAACAACATGCCGTAGACAATTTTAAGACGGCAACCACAACACTGAGAAATGCGAGTTGAAAATTGAAATGCAGAAGAAAGCAGAGAGTGACAAGTTAATTCACAGTCCCAACGGAGAGAGTTCAGCCGCGAGGCGAGGGTCACCTTGAACTTGGACTTGGCAGCCTCGGTCGAGAGGGAAAGTGGCCCAGAGATCTGCCAAGGCCAATGTCACCGCCACAAGAGATAACAATGATACGGATATTGACACTACGCGTTCTACCTCCAATATTGGCGTTTGAACAGCTTGTCATTGTCAGTCAAGGATTTACAACCAAACCTTTCAAGAAAGTAACAAAAATTGTAAAGGCCGTTTTTCAAGACGCAATTAACACAGTAGTATATTTTGTACTTAGTGCACACAGGCTACCTTCTTGCCTAACAGCCTGAAAAAGATTTTAAAGAAACATGATTGCCTATTAATATATAAAGCCCAAAGTACCCATGAAAATTTTGAGAAATCTACGAGTCACGCCTCCATAAACCACATACTTAAAATGTTGGTCATGACAAGAAACCTTGCGCAAAACTATCCATTATTCCATTACAACCTTAAATTGCCCTTTAAGGTTGTAATTCCTTTCTAAAGGGAACTTTCCATATACATAATGTTATTTGTATGCTATTCTTTCAGTTCATTACCTTATTAAAATCAGGTGTGATTATTTGTTTGTATTAGGCTGCAACCACACGGGCGTTTTTCACGCACAAACGCAGCGTGAAAACACGCAAAAAAATATGAGCAGCATTAAATGTAATGGCGAATGCTACACATGATATGTTTTCCTGCAGTAGCGAGCGCCTCTTTGTTTCAATGCTACTCTAATTTTTCGCGTGTTTTCACACTGCGTTTGTGCATGAAAAAAAAAACGCCCGTGTGGCCGCATTCTTAATGATATCGATTACGGTGAACAGGAGATCATCTATAAAGTTGTTCAATTATGGATTAATGGTATCTTTGTGTGTATACACTATACACACACTTGTCTTGACCAAAGCTTTCAATTTGTCATAACCATATATTTATATCAATCTATTATTACGCAAAGCGGTTTGTTTCGAATAAGATTTTGGGCGACAAACAGCATTGACCACGATGCTACAGCGTGTCAGACGATTGTCTTTGGCGATAATAGCTTTCAAGAAAATATAATCCCATAGCAGCAGCCGATTTTAAGATAACTCATGGAAATCAAGCTTGAAACTAAAAAAAGTCCGTTTGGAATAGAGCTTTACTTGTGATTCGGATAGAAAATGTAAAAGAAATCTTCAAAACCACAATAAATCCACTGAATCCATTGGACTTCACTATAAACGCGGTGCGTAAGTCTGTTGTAACACGTAAATGTCTTCCGCGTTACTTCTGAGCTTATATATTTAATCCAATCTCACGCACGCGCGCGCGCGCACACAAACACTCACATCCTCATCTGGGTCTCCGAGAGCAGAAAGTGACACACATCTGGTCATGTTTTCCCTTTCCTCTAGTAATAGATTCTCGGCGCTGAGCAAGCATTCCAATCTCGCTCGGAATATGCGTAACAGGGGAAAATATGGCAAAAAGTAATCCATATTTGGCACCCGTTTGACGATCCTTCCTCGTATTTGGCGAGGATTATGTCGGGCACAGTGAAGACATTGGATATGAAAGAACTATCTCCCATCACATACTAAACATAATGCGGCAAACTATTGGACCCTCACGTGTGTTTAGCCGACTCCCGTTATGGAAAAGTATTAGGACAACAATCATTGAATGGCATGTTATGTACGTCATACGAAAAACAACTAGTATACTTCCTCTCATGAATTTTCTTTTCAAGGAAAACACCAGTGTTAACAATTTTAGCATATTATTAAAATAGTTTGTTGGATTTTTGTGTGCAGCAAATCAACCACTAAATATTTATTTTCATAATCATATTGGGTATCAACTTAAAGCTCTTACCTCTATATGTACCTTTTGCGAGTTTGGACGATATCTCGTAAACGTAATTTCAGAAGTTGTCATTTTTTGTTAATTCATCAAAGATGTCATCAAATAAACATCAATCATGAATGTTTCCGATTTTGAGGAAATGCGATTCAAGTGATTTTTCTTATATCAGTGAATTTCTCACATATGGGAGAGGTAAATCTGGCACCTAATTGGTATCATTAACACTTCAACTCGCATGTCTAATCACTATAAGCAACATCATACATGCATAACGGCCTGTAATTAAAATTGTACAATGTTATCACATGTTTTATAGTACAATTGACAATGTAATTGATTAAACGATTAAACCAACCATTTAACTAAATATAACAATTTGTAAACTATTAACCAAGAGTAAATCGTAAGCTGTAAAAAATGACCCTAAAATGGTGGAATAGGTTTAGTTGAACATCAACAAACCAAAACTAACACACTTTACAAAAAAAGCTAGAATAACAATCGCTACCCAATTTGCAATAAATTACAAATGAGAAAGGGAATATAATGAGAAGCTAATTTATAATATCTAAAGTGATAATCACTAGCATTGTTCAATAAGATCACAAGGTGGATCGAAAAGCAACAAAACATTTTACTTATTTGAAATTGCTACGGTAATTAATTCTCTCGCAGTCACAACTCCTCAGCAATTCCACAGACAAATCACCTGTTTCCATCTTATTAGCCGTAACCAGGAGGTATGCGGCGATGGTCAGCGAGGCGAGGTAGATGGACATCACTTTCGCTGCATCGCTCATCGCTCAACGTTCAACGTTCAACGCTCATTGTCCGGAAACATGGAAAGCGCCAGTGGCCAATGGTCAAGACTGGAATGATTCTATTCCGCCTCTAGTTTATAACAGGTTCCCACAAAAATATGTAGAACCTCGATAACAAGACTCGACTGGATTTTAAATAAGACTTGTTATTAAAGTTGACTTCTTATTGAGGTTGGCAATGACATGTGAATAACGGTAAAATAATATCTGTGGGATTTGAAAATAAAACTTGTTACCAATAGTGACTTCTTATCGAGGCTCTATTACTCTATGGCATTCGGTGGAAGTTTTCTAGGGAGACGACAGTCCTACTCACTCGTTCGAGAGGCCTATCATTTTTTATATTGAATACATTTCTAAAGGTATGTTAACATAAAAGGTCAGCAATCTAACACACAGGCCTACATCTTGATTATGGGAAATGTAACTTATAATGAAAAGTCGCCGAAAATGAATGGGCCGCAGCAAACTTAAATAAAACCTGATGACGCGTTGATATAATCTCATCTCGTACAAACATTTTAAACAATAATCATGAGTTTAATCACCACCATCTTAGTGGCTTAATGGATTTTTTAGCAGTAGTGAATTCCACTTTACGTTTACAATTTACATTGCTATGAATCGCCGCAGTCAATGATGGCCACTCGATAATTATTATTCTATCAACCATCATATTTCTCTTACAAATTTCTTTTCCTACATATACTTATGTTTATTTATATTTTTTGACGTTAACATTGCTGATTTGATTGATTAAAAATGCAAGCCACTGAAAATGCCATAGTAGTGTAATGCGAAGAAAAAATTTCATAGATGAAAATGTGCTTAAAAAAGCTAAATTCAAGTCAATAAGCCATTGAACATTATGGACCACGAATATAAACCAAAGACAACGTTTATTCAACTTTGAAAATAATGCATTATAATTACGTGTACAATAAACTAAATGAGGCATAAGATTCTAAACACAATGGCAAATTCAAATTGTATTACAAGGGACTGCAGTTCAAGTTTACCACATCAGTAAAAAACAATACCAAAATGCAACAATAACAATAAACAATACCACTCACGACCCCTTTTCAATCACTTTAACCTCCAACTTTAAATTTAAACTCCAACACCGTAACCCTCTCCACGGAACTATTCCACTACTTCCCAATATA